TATACAATATCTAAAAGAGCTGCTAACTTCTTTAAAGGTCATTACAGCATGAAGTATGAGTAATACTCAAATAAAACTTCTTCAAAGCCATGTCACACTGTCATGATTTATGCTATGATTCCCCACAAATTAGAACAAGAGGCCCATGGGCCACATCGCTCACCTGAGTAACTTGGGTGATGCAGTTCTTTACCAGATTCCCCATCTTGCTATATCTATCATGCCCCACTACCCCCTTTCCTTTTATGATTTTAAAACTTTAGAATCTACACTACCCCAGGATGCTTCCATATAAGTTTCAGCTTTCCTGACCCTGTGGTTCTTGAGAAGAAGATTTTTAAAGATTTGTTCTATATATTTCTATGTAAAACTTGGATTCCCTATTGTGGCCCCGCCCTACCCCTGGGGGTCATGATTTTAACAATTTAATATCGACACTACCCAAAGATGCTTCCACATTAGTTTCAGCTTTCCTGGCCCAGTGGTTCTTGAGAAGAAGATTTTTTAGTGACCCCACCCATTTTTTGCCTTTTCTTGATTATTTCCCCTTGTAAGGGGATTTGGCCCTTCATTTTAACAATTTAAACTCTCCTTCATCCAAGGATGCTTTGTACCAAGTTTGGTTAAAATTGGCCCATTGGTTCTTGAGAAGAAGTCAAAAATGTGAAAAGTTTACAGATGGACGGACAGACAGATGGATGGACGACAGATAAAATGTGATCAGAAAAGCTCAGCTGAGCCTTCGGATCAGGTGAGCTAAAAAGTTGAAAATCGCCGTTCATCGCTAGGCTAGACTTGCGATTTTTAAACAGTGTATGGAATATTTTGCTGCTAGAACGGCATGTTTATGATGTCTGTGCGACAAAGTACGAGGTTTTAAATTTTTAAGTATGAACTGAGGCGACAACATAAAATGGTTATGATATTCCTACGATTATGAAGGATTAAACGCAGTTACATATGATACTCGTACAAAGGACTACGATATGCCAAGTTACCTACACGATATTCCTATGAAGAATGGCGATTTCTTACAAATGTACATGTAGATGTAATTTTAAAGGCATATAGGGTAAAAGGAGAATTATCTGAAATTATTAAACATCATAGTAAAGTTATTTGATAAGGGTAAAAGCTACAGTTTGGAGATGTTGATTAAGTTCAGTCTCTTCATAAATCTTTATGCAGTGGACCTTCAGATATCCGGATGCCAGATATCCGGATGCTTCAGTATCCGGACGATTTTTCATCGGAACGGAATTTTTAATTGTTATTCTGTCTTGTTTAACTGGTGATTCAGGTATCCGGACACTTCACATATCTGGACAAATTGACTGGGAACCAAAGCGTCCAGATAAATGAGGGTCCACTGTATAAGTTTCTGTGACATTTTTAGCTAAATTCACTTTTATTAGCTTCTATCCTTTTATTTTAGATAGTATTTTGATTTCGGCTGTGTTAGCATTACACAATGTCTGCCTACATTGCATTAACGTGTAGTTCAATCAAAATACTCGTCCAGCACTTGCCATCAATTGTCCTTTTTTGTATCACATACCCAGGAAAATCGTTCTATGTTCCTATCAATTCAAACAACACTCGCAGTAGCTCTAGGGACACTTGCAGTGTCACAAATACTACGAAGTTCTGCGAATGTTGCAAGAACATTTTTTTGACATGCATGCTCAAAACAATTGTCGAGTTTGGCAATTTGCTGCAATCCAACACGATTAAGGAAGATATCTTACTACTACCTCTATGATAAATCCCGATTTGCTGCGATTTTTGAATTCGTGAGGAATCGTAGCTATAAATCGTGACAGTGTGACAGGGGCTTTAGCGGTCATTACAGCATGACATATGAGTATTACTTACTTCTTTAGCGGTCATTACAGCATGACGTATGAGTATCTGAGCTGCCCCTTCATAATGTCTGGCTGCCCTCACCAGCAGATCTGGGCGGTCTAACCATTTCGTTCGCTCCTTGGCCAATGCACTCACTCCTTTCTCCAGCTCTTTATTCTGAAGTAAAGGACATATATACCACTGTTATCTAGTAATACTGATACAGTAAAACACACTTACAGTGACCAGGATTATAATGAATTGATACTTACAGTGAAGTGATTTTTATTCCCTATGATCATTATAAAATATTTTATAAACTTTACAGATTTAATAATCACGCTTAGATTAACAAAGCGAAATTATCCATTATTGGCACTTTGTTCAAAGTCTGTTTTACTGCACAATCCATTGCAATTTCACATCAGGAGACCTGAATTTATTTCCCAACCACAGAAACTTTCAAAATTTGAGCATCATTTATATTTAAATATTAAAAAGCATAGTGATATTGCCAATCGCAACGTTTTCCACCCCAACCCCCTCCCCCCCAAAAAAAGTCACAGGAATTAATCTCCATCAATGATTTTTTTCAGAGGTCTTTAGACATTAATTTTGAGCCATTGCATTAAAAGAGAGTGACAAAACAAATTTTGAATTATGACACCTTTTTTCTTTTGGTTGCAAAAGTTGACCCAAAAATCTTAAGTCCTTGGAAGAAAGAAAGCCTTTGTCCACCCGGCCTTGGTTTCCTATAATGCTGACTCAGAGATTCTATTTACCTTCAATGCATGGAATTCCTATGCCCTTGTTTGCCTATAAGATTGAGATTGTAATTACCTCCAATAGTTGGAATATCTTTGCCAGGCCTTGTTTGCCTATAACACTGAGATTGTAATTACCTCTAGTAAATGGAATGCCTTTGCCCAGGCCTTGTTTGTCTATAACACTGAGATTGTAATTACCTCTAGTAGGTGGAATGCCTTTGCTCAGGCCTTGTTTGCCTATAACACTGAGATTGTAATTACCTCTAGTAAATGGAATGCCTTTGCCCAGGCCTTGTTTGCGGCCGGCCCACTCCGTAACCCTCCTTTCTGCCCGGCTTTTGAGCCCAGTACATCTGCAATGTTAGCCAGAGTCCTCGCCGCCACTCCAGGATCACCTGAACAACCTTTAGCCACTGTAAGAAAATTATTCTCTTTGCTATCAAAATCTATAATGCTTTCATTTTGTTTTGCTTTTAGGTACTAAACAACAATCTTGTGAAAATAAGGTGCCAAGGAATTTAAGTGATCTACAGGATAGATGCATCACAATTGCAAAGTAGTACATAATACAATAAATTCACTGAATTTGATGCTGTATTCAGCTAGGGTCATTGTCCATGCATCAGCAATTGTTATGTAATAAACACCACCTCAAATACAGCTTTAAACATTGGTTACAATGCCCATAGCAAGCTTGTGTATCTGAGCAGGAAAAAATTAGACATGCTTATGGTTGGATGAATGATTCAAAGAGTTCATCAGGAAATAATTCTAACACAGTACTAGTGGGAAACTTGGAAATAATAAAGGGCAGTTTTTAACCTTACTGTGACAGTACAACAAGGAAAATGTGGAGTATTCATGCAGTCTTCAACATATTACTGTATACAGGATTAATTTTGCCCCATGTTATTTTCGCTCTTTCACTCTTACAAACAATTCTGCCCCGTTTTAAATTCGACCAGTCACAGTTTTGTTTAAGAAATTATACTGTGTTATTTTTAATTCGCCCCGTTTTTAATTCGCTCACCTTTAAGTAGGGCGAAAGGGGCGAAAACAAAACAGTGGCGAAAATTTCCCTGTATACAGTATTTGTTCAAAGCACGACTATCTAATACATTTTATATAATTATAGACCCTTTAAGTGGTTAATTAATGCTTTGATATTTTTCCTGATGAATAAACCATATTCATCACCAAAAAAATTTGAAGTACCAAAATCATCCAAGTCTTCACAAACCTGAATCAAGTTTTTCCAGAATTGATATGGAGAATCCGTCGATTCCAGCACTGTTGTAGATCGGATGGAAGCCTTGGTGGAGCCGCTGAAGTAGGGCATTTGTTATTTCCTCCTTCTTCACTTCATAGAACATCTCTCTACAAAGACAAACGTCACCTTACTTAACAAGCTTAACATTCAACATATACAGATGTCACTTTACTTTACATGCTTAACATTCAACATACTGTAGAAGTACTTTTTTCTGTGTGGTATTAATTTACGCTATGTACGCAGTCACACATTTTCCGCGGAAATTTGTCCAAGCGTACTTAACATAAATGTAAGGCATATAGAGACAATCTAGAAAATCAGCGTAATTTTCTACCTGCTGATTAAAGGCTTTCTGAGCACTTTTAAAGAACTATGCAGGACTACTTTGTAATCATTTCTGAAAGCTGAGACGTGTAAATGAACGAGATTAATCCTTGGCAGTCATATTTATCTTTGTTTGGCTACATTTCTTGAGCCCCTAATGTACCTTTTATTTATCCATGGTTCCAAGTATTTCACTATAGCAGACTTTACACTTACATCAACATACCAGTAAGTATTACATGTACTCAATTCAAGAAATAAAGTCCGCGTTTTCGTGAATGTTGCAGAATAACCTCCGAGGTCGAGAAATGTTGTTTGAAAGATAAAAGCCGAGGTGCTAGCCGAGGTGCTAGCCGAGGCTTTTATATTTCAAACAACATTTCGAGACCGAGGAGGTTATTCTGCATCATTCACGACAACAAGGACTTTATTTCTATTCTACCAAGTATGGTACAAACGCTAAATTAGGGATAATCGTTTCCTCTATAGAGAAACGAATTAGGTCACCATGTCTAGATTACGCTGTTTCATTTAACACCAGAGGTAAAATTTGTTTGCTTACCTGTACATAGAATGCAGACGATTTGAGCTTTCGTTACATTAAAAATAGCCTTATTAAATTACAAATATGTTCGTAATATGTATGGATCAGTTAAAAAGAATATACAATAACAAAATCATGTTCCTGTTTTACTGCTAAAATCACGTTGTTTAATGCATAGGGAGGTCCGTGGAATAGCCCCGCTTAGCTATAAAAACCGACATTCATCAACATCTTAATGCAATTTACAGTGTTTATACTGCGAAAGACGACATATCGATGTGGTCTTAACAAGTATTTCATTCTACAGCCAAACATGCATTTGAATTGTTAAGATTTGATACATGTTTCTGATCTGATAATTTTTGATGACGTTCGTGATTTATTGGAGAATAATGTCCGGCGGTTTCCTTTGAAGTTTACGATAATCGTGGTAGAATACTTGGTAATATGATAAAATTATCAAAGTAAGCAACTACGAGGAGTGATCAAAAAGTTTGCGAACTATCTCTATATTTACTAAACCACAATTCAGATAAGAATGAAATTTGGCACACATAGAGTCATACACATGTTTGTATAAATAGCATATATATTGGAACAATTTACCCCATGCATGTTTGTGACGTAACAATGTGAAAATGACGTCATTATGTAGATCACCTGTGACAAAAAATGGTTTTCTCAGTTGTATGCAAGAAACAAAAAGCTGTAAAGTTAAACTTATATCATGGAAATTCCTTTGCAGAGGCTTATAAAAATTGTACACGGTTTATAAAGACAAAAGACTTGCCAGGAAATTTGTCATTTTTTGGATTGATTGTTTTAGTAAAGGCAGGGAGGTGTTTAAAAATGATTTTGTTCTGTTGCCCAGTGAAAGCAAGCTGAGGAAGAGACATGTCCTTTGTTAAGCAATTTGATATGAAATATCGCCGACTAACAGTTAGAACAATAGATGAATATCTTTACAATAAAAAAGTTATTCTAAATCCTTATAATATCGTTTACTTTAGACTTTAAACACATCAGATATGATAAAAAGAAGGCATCCATACTTTATCCACATGGAATAAATGGCGCTTCAAAGACAGACGACATGCATGGGTTTTGATAGTCACCATGCTCATTCTGGAAAAAGATATCATTATCCACCCATACTATTGCCGAGATTTGGCCATTTCTTACAAATGGAAATTTTGGTGTCGAAAATAACTTGCATGGTAAGAAATATAAGAGTCAGAAAAATTTTTAAGCTTCTGAAGCTAAAGAGCATGTCAGGTGATTGTCTACATCACTTGATCTGCGCATGGGAAGAATGGTTGCAGATATGCATTAAAATTGAAGAGGACTACTTTGAAAAATTTTCAACACTGAAATCCTATATCATTTCTTTTTTGAAAGTTATCCATTAGTTCGTGAACTCTTTGATCACCCTCTTATACCAAATCAGGAGAAAAGTAACATCAAATTTAGTTGCACAGTTGCAGAGCTGTAGAATTATGGTTTTATACATTTATCTTTGACCATAACACTACAGATCCCGTAATGCAAATTATGTGCAATTTATGGTTTTTCTGTTAATCATAGATATATCAAAAAGATTGAAGTGGTGTTAACTTTCTTAACCCTTTGTGTGCGGGAACCCAATATATTGGGTCTGACGTCACAAACGCTTGCGTGCGGGAACCCAATATGTTGGGTCTGAGTCTGAAATTAGCGCTTCGTCACATAAAACGTCGTATAAAACGTATAAATGAGCTGTGAATTATTCAGAATCTATCAAAATGTATTATACAACTACAACACATTGAAAAATAGGTAATTAAGATGTGAAAATATGCGAATTGTTTGTGAAATTGTGATTTAAAGTGAAGGTGTTTGACGTTTGTTACGATGAAAGTCAGTCCGCTATTTTTGGAAACAGGGAAAAAACGCGCATGTAATAAATATCTACTAACTTACTCAAATATAAAGGAAAATAAAGAAATAAATCCAAAAAATAGTTTAATATCAATAATTCTAATAAATTTGTGTTAGTAGACTTAAAATTACTTAGAAATTTTCGATATTTTAGCAGAAAAACTCTGGTTAACTTGACTTGACCTTAACCTTGCGAAGTTCTTCCTGTTAAAACGAAAGTAGGATGCACATGCTACTGAACTTCAGTCTGAAGCATATCGAGAGCTTATATGGTCTGCAAAGTTTTATATTTTGGACATACGGCAGTTATTATTTGTTTATTTGGTGTTTTGTAAGTAGACATACAATACATCGTCTAAATGAAAACAATAATGCGCGAGATTGAACCTGGCAAGTCACAGACGTTTTTCTGTGCACGTTGTTTACATACGTAAATCAAGCTTTGCTTTGAAATAAAGGTTAACAGAAAATAATTTGAGGCATTTTGTTAATTAAAAGCATTTGTTTTTTTTTTAACAATAAATAAACAAATAAATAAGTAAACATTTTTTTTTTAAATCTAAAGACCCATTTCAAAAATGTTGAAAGATAAAAAAGGTTCCATCTAATAAAAGTAATAAATGTGGAGGACCTTGAACATTGTAGAAAATTTTCCAATGAGTTATTGCATTAACAAGTGAGTGAAAAAGAGATATATACGAGAATATATATCCATCAGCATATTTTTGTGATCAAGCAAAATTAATTCATGATACACGTATTCGAAATATACACAATATGAATTTTATAATTGACAACCATTGAGTCAATTAAGTGGCCCTAATTACACCTAAAAATTCTGGTTTAAAGCTGCTTGATGTTCCATCTATTTGGGAAAACTTTCAAATATTTTTTTTATAACAGTATATGATAAATTGTAAAATTTTTAGCACAATTAAAAATTAAAAATAAACTTGATTTTTTTCTATAAAGTGTCTTCAAATGTAAGCTAGTTATCAGAAAAGATGCATTGATGCATTTGATCATGTGCATATACATGAAAATGGTAAAAAGTGATGAAAAATTTTGAAATGCTGATTTTCCCTGAAATGACTGTCATTTGTGTAAACTGTGGTATTTGTTTTATTTCAGTAAGTAATAAAATACCATTTTATTTCCTTGATGAGGATTATATAGACTCTCAATAATTTCAAAACGAAAATATGTTCCAGGATCTTTGGTATCTTAGAGTTAGATTTCTTCAAGGCATTTACATACTCTAGTTTGCATGGGACCTAATTAGTAAGTGAAAATAATTGGTACTACATGTATCAGAATTTTTTTTAAACCAAGTTTAAGAACATGTATCAGGGAGAAATTTTCTTTTTCTTTAAAATGGACTTTTGCCAGAATAAAGCATGTGGATTAAATTGCACATTTCCTCCACTTTTTATTTTTATTTTATTAAAAACCAAAAACAGTGAGACTGCCCCAACCTATACATGCACACACAAAATTATAAAATTCACTGGTTAAATAAAAGGTATCTCTACAGTTTAAAATTAAGATGAATTGTCATTTGTGTAGGCATAAGAAGGAGATCAGAGTCTTTAGAATGTGTAATTTGTAAATCGTATGGACTTGCATGTACATCTGTGCAATAAATTACAATAAAGACTGGGTAATACAGCAAAACTCATTTAGTACGAACACGAATATTGCGAATTTACAGATATAGCGAAGTCAATTTGGATAGCCAGCTAAATAAATTTAATTGATTTTTTATACAGTTATAAGGAATTACAGATATAGTGAAGTAATTTCATAGGTCCCAGTGACTTCGTTATAACTGAGTTTTACTGTAGGAATTGTACTTCTCAACCTCAAAAGTACACACTGTACAAGTTTTCACCTATTAATATGTAATATGTCCTCTAGTTTACAAATTTAAAAGGCCCAAGAAGCTTCTACATTCCATCCCTTCTAGATATGTAACAGTAAATGAATACAGAAAAAGGCTAAGATTTGCTGTGAGAATTTTTTTTAATGATGGTCAAAATTTTTTTTCTTCAAAAATGCAAATTCCTGTACAATTACTTATCAACAAAGATTACATTTTGGTCTCCAAAGATATGTTTATTTTTAAATATGAAAATATGAATAGTTACTAAGAATACAAAGAAATCCCATAGTGGAAATAAAATATAAATTTCATTACTGTATACAGGGTTATTTTCGCCCTGTGTTATTTTCACCCTTTTGAACTTGTGAACAATTTTGCCCTGTTTTAAATTCACCCAGTCATAGTTCTGTTTAGGAAATTATGAGGTGTAATTTGAATTCACCCAATCAAGGAGAGGGTGAAAGGGTCAAAAATAAAACGGGGGCGAAAATTTCCCTGTATACAGTATTAGGAATAATATTTTTTGTTGAAGTAAAAATTCAGGCACATTTAAAACTTGTGTAATAGGAAAGGAGAAAATGTATGGTATAAACTATGGTTGGACCAGGAATTGAACACAGGAACCCTGCTTCACTAGTCAGGTGCTCTACCGAATGAGCAACCCAGGTTGATACCCATAGCACAACCATTATATATCCCTCCTTAAAGTTATCTTTATCCTTTATACACAACCCAAATTCTTATTAGCGGCTGACAGGACTTTCACTTGCAAATCCAGAGTGGTCAATAGCATCAAATATGTAACAAGGAAGGAGAAAATGCACGGCTGGACCATGAATCTAAGAAGGGGCCTCACCGGTCAGATGCTCTACTGACTGAGCTTACTTGGCCTATATCCATGACCCATACCATTAGACTTGCATAAACTTAAAAGTATTTCATAATATATTGATTGATATTATGGTACATATCTGTCAACCATCATTAACTAAAATCAATTGAAAAAAATCAAAACTTTTATTCACCAGTGACCACATTGAACGAAGTCATTTTTGAAAACATTATAAATGACTGTTAAAGGTGCTTAAATTTCTAAAATTTAAAGTACTAGTTTTCCTGCTGGCAATTATTGTTGCCAGCCAGGAATAAAACTTCTAAAATAAATGCCACATTTCTTACAGAGTGAGAAGTACTGTGGGAGGAAAGTTGATGAATATGTAAACTTTACAAATAACATGGAGAAATGCATTTTCTTCAATAAAAGCAAAATAAAAAGAAAAAAAGATTTGAGAATTACTAGAGTATATTTAGGACTGTTAGATACCAGTCATTAGAAAATAAGACCTCTATAACTTAGTGTAAATGTTATTTTATTATTTTTTTTATTTATTTAACATATTGACTGCTTTAATTTGAAAATGAATACTAGTAACAGCAATTAGTTCATTGTTGTGCCAATTTGCTCCAAGATTTCCCAACCTCGAAAACTGCATATTCTTTGAGGATCATACTTTCTTATATAATTGCCCATATTTCTTAAAATAATCACTGGTTTTATATTTACAGGCTACTTGAATCTTCAATTTATACTCTTTTTAGTTAAAATCTGAAAAAAAAATCCATTAACTTGAATCAAAATTCACTTAAACCTATATGAATATATCCCTTACTCAGATAAGTATACAATGACTTTTCACAACATAACGGTATATATATATATATATAAAACACTGACTTTATCATTGAGTTATTGTTTAAATTAATTTTTTTTTGCATAATATTAAACTAAAATTGAATTTTTAAAGCGTTTGATTTATTTTTTTCATCAAAGTGCAATATTTTCTCTGAAAAATATAGTTAAAATGCTAAAAAGTCATTTAAAAATAATTTTTTTTGAAAATTTGGTTTCCATGGCAACATAAAATTTAAGATTTTTAAAAAAAAATAGTAAATATTAAAAAACACAACATTTGCTATATATTTGCCAAATTTCAAGTAAATTGGTTATCAACAATTTTAGATATTTGCATTTTAGTACACCATTGTGATAATTTTGTTGATATTACAAAACAACTCAGTCCTGAGGTTACAGCGCACGTAAAACAAGTCAGCACACAAAGGGTTAAGTACTTTAAACTTTTTGATAATATTTAGGGGTTAAATAATAATTGCGCACCTTGTACTGCTATCTTAAACTATAAACACGTTTTTTTTTATTTATACAAAATTTTATTCACATTAGTGAATGGGATTGGGCAGCAGGCAAAGCCTATTTTAGCCCTCTCCCTAAACACGCATATACACGTATATCATGTGGAAAAAAAGTCAATGTTTTATCGACACGATAGCCCCTACATGTACGTCTCTTTGAACAATGGTTTATAGGCCGATGTATTATAAATTGATATAAGGCTTCATAAAGCAAATTTTGTAAATTTGAGCATAGAAATAAAAGATTATACATCAGTTTAAATATTTCTTCCATAAATCTCAAAAAAGAATTGAAAATAAGTTTCCAAGGGACAATTCAAGTTGGTCTTTATTTTCAACACAGCTGAGTACTTGTAGTAGCCCACAATGCATTGCGACTCATTCATCAGTGGGTAAAGTAAACAGATAGCTAATTTACATGCAAATTTATGCTGACGTCAGAAAATCTAGTGGTCTCGACCTGTGTAGGCTGAAAGAACTGAAAAAACACACTGATCTAATGATTCATTGTGAAATTTTAATGTGTTATAAACTCACAAAGAAGGAATTATAAAACAATATGATCTAATGTAACTTTCTAAAGATCAGTCTGACATGAACTTACGTGTACTAATCTTCCACAAGAGTTTAATTAAATTGAGGGGGTCATGTAATTCAGCACACAAGTCCTAGCTGTTTAGTTTACAGACTGTCCCCCCATCCTAATGTCAGACAAAAAGCAATAAGTGACATCAATTTTAGATTTAAGGAGGAACAGGACCTTTACCTGAAAAAATTCCTGTCAATGAATTTTTTTCGTATTTTTTATATTACTGATATAATATGTACTTAACATTTTAAAACGTTCCTGTCATGGGATTTCTTGACTTATTTAAAAGATATCGCCCCACAAATACCACCCTGTTTAGAGTTTATATGGAGTTTAGATACCCGGTACTTCATGTCTACGGGCCCATAACGGAGTCCATAATGCGAATTTTTACGCCCAAACGATAAATATGATAGATAATACTATATACTCAAATATTTCAGAATATATATAGTGTTTAAATTATCTGAAAGCAATTGTTTTAATTTTATATAGTATTTGGGTGGAATAATTTCTGCATTTTTCAAGGCAGCTTCAACGACAAAAACCTCATTTGGAAAAAATTCTGTCAATAAATATTTCTAAATTGACGATTGAATGTCAGTCCTTCATCATAATTATTTACTGCATAAATATCACAGGGTGAAGCTTACCTCGATATCGCACAGGACATATGTCATAATGACATTATGACATAATATGTCTTTTTAATCATGTGACATGTTCCCTGTCTCCCCTTAATGATATTAATTGTCTCCCTTTCTTTCCTCCCAAATTACCTGTTTATCTCGTCCTAGATTTAGTTCTTGTACGTCATTTATTTACCTTCTACATACCAAGAACAATTAAATTACCATCTAAATAATATACTGTATGTTGTGCACCATTTATTTACCACCTATATAATATATGTTATTATACAATTGAATATCTACATTTGCTGTGTTTTTCTAGTAATTAAGCCAACTGTGAAATTGATTAGAATATCATTTTCATGTATACTCACAGAGAAACTCGTGCTAACATGATGTCCCATCACAATGAGCGTAAAGAGATGTTAATAAAAATATAACGATATAGGGCAGCGAGAAATTCAAATATTGAGTATATATTTCATGCTTTAAGACATGGAAAATGTAAACATAAGGAATGTTTTTAAGGATTAGTGTGAATTATTGGTGTGTAAATCACACATACTTGCACATAGGCATTTTCTTCATGAAGCGCTAATCTGCTTCATGAAATATACCTGCGTGACAAGTCTGTTTTTCAAAATCTATCCTATAAAAGAGCCTAAATCTGTTTTTATCATGGCAATTCTAAAAATATATTTTAAAAATTTCAAATTAATACGACAGGTAATGTTTATTTACATTGTATCTTTGCTTCTCTCTTTGTTATTGGCAAGGACTTATGCAAACGAGTAATGATTTGTATCATTTTATAATTGAATCATATGAAAAAACAATTATTGCTGTTTTTTGGTCAATGCATTCATGATTTAGCCATCCTTTTGGTTTTAATTATTGTACTCCTCAGATGGCTTAATCATTGCATTGACCGTAAAATAGCAATAATTGTATATTGTATACCATTTATTTACCATCTAGATAATGTATGTTGTACACCATTTATTCACCTTCTAGATTGTAATTCCTGTTCAGCATTTATAAAGGACAATATTTCACTCATGCTTAACCTCCATGATGATTGCCACCTAAAAAAATATAAAAAAAAAAAAGTAATAAATAAAACCTTTATAAAAAGTAATCAAAAGTTACAGAGTTTACCTCAACACATATTATCTTAAGGTACAGGCCAAGTCCCAAGGTTTTAAATAAGCTCCACCAACTTTGTTGGTGATGGTGGATGGATAAAAATTTTAATTTCAAGATCTTGTTGTTTTTTTAAGTATCAATCTAACTGTAGTGTACATGTACTCTAGACTTATAGAAAGATTATATCTGTACCTATAAGATCAAATACAGAGATAATTATTTTATTTTCTTAATAATTTAATTGTTTATTAATAAAAATTATTATTATTGTTATCATTAAGGGATCAGAATTTGTTCTGCTCCCTGACTGGTCTGGACTGTCTATCCTGGAGGGGACCCCACAGAGAGGTTTACCTTGGTATTTAGTTTTTCTGACTTGGCCATTCATAGATTAATTTGCTAACATTTTTATTAATCAATCAAAATACATATTTTTCTGGATATTTTGTTGTAAAGGTAAACATGACAGACCCTAGGATCAAAGACACTAAAAAATCCTTTACATTGTATTCGTTATTGGTTGAGTATTTGTTGATTACTAATATTGTTTTCCACTTTAAGACATTTTTAAATTTGGTGAAATATAATTAAAATAGTTGTTACACAACACATTATGAATATTTCTATTTGCTGGAGACTTGACAGGTTATTTTTCCTACATATTCTTATTTTATGGATGGATTCATCCTTCCCAACTATGCTTTGTGGCAAGTTAGCTTGAAATTGACCTAGTGGTTCTAAAGAAGTTAAAAATGAAAAAAAAAATTATAAATAGCACACAACAGACTGAAAGACAGAAAAACAGACACTTTTTATTACAAAAACTCACTTGAGCCTTCAGCTCAGGTGAGCTTAAGATTTAAGATTTTTCAAAATAAAAAAATCTGGTGAGATCCTCATCAGAAACATATCTTTGAACCCAGAGGAGGTCCTTTAACACTACTGAATTCCTATCCTAGAATAAGCTACTGAATAAAAAAATACCTTTTAAGCAAATATTGAATTCCTGGCCTAGATGCTAATGAATTAATTACTTTTTGAGCATCAACTGAATTTCTGGCAAAGAAAAGGTATTTTTTATTTACCTTTTTATCGTGGTATGATCATGAATTCCTAGTCTAGATGCTAATGAGTTAATTACCTTTTTTAGCATGGTATGATCCGTAATTCCTGGCCTAGTAGAGGCTGATGAATTAATTACTTTTGTAGCATGGTATGATCCAGCATTCCTGGTTTAGATGCTGATGAATGATTGAGTTACATTTTCAGCATGGTATGATCCTGCCAGCATTCCTGGTTTAGACGCTAATGAATTCATTACTTTTTCAGCCTGGTATGATCCTGAATTTTTGGCCTAGATATTTTAATGAGTTACCTTCTCAACATGGTATGATCCTGAATTCTTGGCCTAGATATTTTAATGAGTTACCTTCTCAGCATGGTATGATCCTGAATTCTTGGCCTAGATATTTTAATGAGTTACCTTCTCAGCCTGGTATGATCTTCATCTGGAACAGCTCCCTGAATCCAGAGGAGGTCCTCCAGCCCTATAGAATCCGTGGCATGGATGACAGGGAATAGTTTTGCCTGGAACATGGTCTGGTTCTCATTGGCCTGTTGGAATAATGATTGATTTAACACCGAGTACACAATATTTTGTTGAAATAATTAACAGACAGGCAATATTTTTTTGAAGAAATTAAAAGACAACTAATATGTGATTGCAGGGGTAATTGGTCCATGACCTAGCTATAGTTGAATTCTTTAATTTCCACCTAATTTATAACCTAAACATTGTACTTTTTGATTAACAAATATTCTAAGAATAATTAACTGTGACCAAAAATTTTACAGACAGACAGATGGAGAGATACACAAGGTTAAACAGTATATCCCCCTCTCCTTTGGAATGGGCAGTGTGATATTTACCACTTCAGTGCTCCATAAGTCCTCTTTTACAATTCCTGTCTTGTTCATCCAAACAACCATTGGCATGTTACAGAATGTGCTCGAGCTCTTCCAGTAGGGAACCTATAATATCAGGGTTGTTTCTTGTACACAGTTTGAAGAAATGCATGTATGCACTTTTGATTCATTAATCTGGTATGTGTATTTTTTAAATTGCTGGCTTCATTCTTTAGCAGCTTTGGTGCAGACAACAATGCACTAATTTATGAATATGTTAAGAATTTACTTATAAATTCAATACTCAGTGTGGACATATGTAGCACTAATTCATTATTTAGCAAACAACTCCATATTCAATGATGTATTCTAAATACTTTAATTTTTGTACATGTACAGTGTTCACTACAGAAGATTTCATTCAAAATTAATAGCTCTCTGGTTGAGAAATTTTGGATAGATGATGAAGATAATAAGCCTTCTGTTATTTGTTTGACATTTGGGGCAATGCATTTAAAAAGTATAGAAAGAATATACAAGAGGCCCAGGGGCCACATTGCTCACCTGAGCAACTGGCTAGGTAAAAGAAAAAATCAGTTAAGTATTGAAAAGTTTAAAAAAATATATAAAATTGGGTTCAGCGGAGTGGGGGTGTATTTGAACAAACTTAAATCTAAATCTACACTTCCTAAGGATGCTTTTAAATTAATATGACACAGTCATAATGGCAGTGATATCTATGACCAACCATGGATTTGCTGTTCCTGAGAAGAAGATTTTTCCTATATATTCCTATGAAAAATGTTGATCCCACAATGTGCCGCCATCCAACCCAAGGGGGTCACGACTTGAACAAACATAAATCTACATTTATTTAACAGAGGAATGCTTCCATATAATAATGACCAATCCTGGGTTTGCTGTTTTTGAGAAAAAATTTTTTTCTCATGTATTCCTATCCTAAGCTTTGATACCCCATTGTGGCCCCACCCTACCCCCGGGGGTCATGCCTTGGACAAACTTGAATATACACTACATGAGGATGCTTCCACATGAGTTTCAGCTCTCCTGGCCCAGTGGTTCTTGAGAAGAAGATTTTTAAAGATTTTTCCTATGTATTCCTATGTTAAACTTTGATACCCCATTTTGGTCCCACCCTACTCCCAGGGGTCATGATTTGAACAAACTTAAATCTACACTACATGAGGATGCTTCCGTCTGAGTTTCAGTTTTCCTGGCTCAGTGGTTCTTGAGAGGATGATTTTCAAAAGATGCCATTAATTTTTCACTAATTCAAAATTATCTCCCCTTGGAGAAGGGTGTGGCCCTTCATTTGAACAAACTTTAATCCCCTTTACCCAAGGATACTTTGTGCCAAGTTTGGTTGAAATTGGCCCAGTGGTTCTTGCTAAGAAGATAAAAATGTGAAAAGTTTACAATGATGACAATGCCAACAACAACGACAGTAACAGAATCCTGGAACAAAATTATGCTAATGATAAACAAACATTTTGTAAAAGAGAAGGAGAAGATGATTCTTAAAAAAATAGTGCATTTTTTCCGAGAGTATGTAATCAATACTGTACAACCTGGTATTTATATAAATCTGTATTAATGTCAGTCATCTATAAATCACATTCATTTTCAATACAATTTATTAAAGGTACAAAAAATTACTGTAAACTGATAATTATTCGTGATAATTTTGTGAGAACTAATTTTCATGACCTATGAGTTATCTTACAAAAAAGATATAGTTTGTAGCAGGAAAAATTAGCAAGTAAAGGAAGGTGGTGAAACTCTCACTGATTCCTCACACTTATTTAAGTTTTTACAGTATACTAGTAGTGACGGCCAGTCATGTGGATATTTCATGTAAAATATACACCTGAATTTTGTCGTATCTCCCATGAATGGTGAGGATTTCTCGAGTGATTCCAAGCGTTCTGAGGTGAACATTAAATGACTGTACAACCATGGAATCATCAATGGTAATAGTTTTCTAAAAGGAAGCAAAGGTTTAAAATTTGAAGAAAAAGGTATATGGAAAAATATTCTTTTAAATGAAAATTTTCTAGCACCACAAATTGTGTGCCTTACCTTAAAATTTTCCACTTTTAAACCAGCTATATAGCAGTCTTTACCAAAGGTGACATGACCTTTGACCTTGGAACAAGAGACCACAGTTTTCCCTCCTACTGTCACATTCCCGTATAAAGCACTGTTCAGCAAGGTGCTCTCTTCATCTACTTTACAGCTCGACTAAATTAGTTTCTTTTACTTTAATTTGTTAAACGCCCATCAACAAGTCAAAATCTTCAAACTTTTAAATACATGTAATCAAACATTCACCCTCTTTAAAATTTTCAGGCATAATGAATACTTATTGTCTGCTGATATATAAAGGCAAAGGGTTTAAAAGTAGACCTCTTTAATTCTTAAAATGAAGAAATGTGAACATTACTTTGATATTTAAAAAATAAATTAATTGTAAAGTATGCACTTATTGTACCTCTATAAAAGAATGAGTCCTGTTTGACCAGGAAAAAGTAGCTTCTGGAAAATTATTCTGATAGGGACAATTCTGTATCAGCTTCTTATGATCCTGTGCCTCCCCTGACAGATAATGGAACTGTCCGGACTCTACCAAGCCTAAAAAAACACAAAATTATCAAAAGGAAATTCAGTACTAGAATGAAATACTGGTATCATTTAAGGGTGAAATTGGTATCTATGGAAATCCAAAAGATTGTGGGAAGACCTGGAGTAAAATGCACTAACTTGAAGTACTTATTCATATCACCATTAATTAGCCTCTGACCAATTTTGATGCTAAATTTTTAGTCCATTGACAAACATGTTGATGAAACAAGGCTATGAACTGTCTTCTATAAAATCAATATCCCGCAAGTTCTATAGTCGATACAAGGACCTTGTCAGTAACTACAATCTATTGTTAAGTCCAGTGCTGACTAACATTTTTTGTACAAATTGTCAACCCTTTTTAATTAACACACTACATTGTCTACAGATTATCCATTTGCCACAAGGAACACAAGGCGAGTGTGACGTGTCAACAGGGGATACTTACTATTCCATGGCACCTGATCCCATCTCTATTTTGAATTTCTGTTTGTTCTGCTTCCAATTTGTAATGTATCGCTTTATTTTATCAGCTTAATTTTACTTCCTTTATATTAAGGTTTTTGCCTGTTTGCAGCACTGTACAATTATTACATTCTAACATATAATGATTGTTTTTTTACTTTGTGTCTAAAATATTATTCTCTAAAACAGTTGAGATCCAAAAAAGAATTTTGCTAAAGATATAGACTTATCATTTAATTAAAATCAAATAAGGAAACACTCTGAGTCTCTAATCAAATGTAAGCACGCTAATTTAATTTTAATTATTGTTTAAATCAAATGAATGCTGACATTGATAGAATTTTAAAAGCACATTATTAATATATATTTTTAAAAACAAAACCTTTGATATGAAAAATTAATTCATATGAAAATGAAATATTAATCAAGGTTCATCTTTCAACAAGCTGCTTTAATACTCATAGATGACACATGTAGGAAATACATGTACACGATTCTTATTTATAATAAGGAAGTACTAAATGCAAAATAATAAAACAGAACAAAACACTGTAAAGTATTGGGGAAAGAAGTAAGTTATTGATCAATCGAAATTGACATTCCTTTCCTGAAACATAATAAACTGATGAATACAAGAACTAAAGTCTAAATCTTCAAATATCGGGGCACTTCCTTCTAGCCACCTGCCATTTTTAACAATGTACCCTATGCAGATCTCACAACCCTGTACATATCATTAATAAACTGAAGAGGAAAGCAATTAGTGGTTAAGAAGACATAATATTTATGTAAGCACCATTAAAATAATTTCATTTATTAAAAATATTATTCCAAAATTTATCTGCTATATATGAGATGGTACTCTAGAGAGATGTGTCTCTCTAACAAAATGGTGAAAATTACTTTAACATTGCTCCTGTTATCTAGATGTTTTGATGGCAGAACAGGTTGTCAGACAGAAGGTAATGAATTCCAAAAAAAGCGGGAAGAATTGTACAGAGATCTGCTGGGTACCTATGACAACAGGATAATTCCCAAGTGTACCCACTATCCAGTAAATGTATCCATACAGCTAGTCCCAAGAGAAATCGTGGACGTCTTTGAACGACAAGAAATCGTCAAGTTCCGGCTGTGGATCAGGTTAACTTGGTTTGACTGTAACCTGGTTTGGGACCCGGATACATACTGTGGTATCTCCACTTTTGTGGTTCCCTACGATGACATATGGATTCCCGACGTAACACTCCTGGAAGGGGTGGATAATATTGCCAACATGCCGGATATGAAGGAGTACAGAGCACTTGTGAACAGTAACGGAACTGTCCATTATAACTTTCCCACAGTGGTGCCTACGGCGTGTTCCATGGACTTGAAATATTATCCTTATGACATTCAGAAGTGTAGTATTACATTCATGCCCTGGATTCATAACTCTGATGATGTTGACCTAGAATCTGAGTCAATGTACGGGGAACTTTCTCATTTCCTGGACAACCAGGAGTTCATTGTTAAAGAAGTACCAGCCTCACTTACACTAGAAAACTACCCATGTTGTGGAGGGAACTTCTCAAAAGTTAGCTTCACAATCAAAATGAGGAGAAGACCGGTGTTCTTCATGGCCACCATTGCAGTTCCATTTTTCATCATCACCATCATATCCTGTGCTGGGTTTGCCCTACCTTCCATCTCGGGTGAGAAGATCTCCTTCCACACAACAATAATGCTGGCCCTTGTTGTGTTCTTGCTTCTGGTACAGGATCAGTTCCCATCTGCCTCTGAAACGTTCCCTCGAATCGCCATTTACTTCACCATCAGTATGATTTTAAGCAGCGTCTCATGCGTCATGTCGGCCGTAGTGATGTATATATATTATAATGACCTCAGTGGAAAGAAAATGCACAGATGGGTCAGGATGGTCTTCATCGAGTGGCTGGGAAAAATAATGCTGGTCAAAGAGAGAAACCTTCCCTATCATGCATATCAAACAACTGATGGAGAAAAGGTTCAGTTACCACCAGGTGTCACATGGGATGACCTGAGTAAGAGCAGAAAAAGTCATAAAAGCTTCGTTATCCTGAACACTGTGTTTGATAATCGTCTATCTAAAAGTACGGAAACCGAGGAAACTCTACCGAAAATGAGAAACCATGGCTATGTATCCAACAATAGAAATAACGGCAATAAATCAGAAGATAAAAATGACGAGGAAGATGTAAAATCAGCAGATTCCGCTAACACAAGAAAAATGAATGACTGGGAACTACTGGCATATACAATGGACAGATTCTTCACCATCTTCTATATTTTCATGACCTTTGTGAATTCCTTGGTGTTTTTTACTGTCATGAAAGCCCATGAAACAGACGAATAAAACTGATCATCAATTGATATTAATTGCAGATTGACAATTTCTCCTGGATTTATATTGATTAGAGAGTACACTGTAAACCAACTTTCATTTGCGTGCAAGAAATATTCATGAGATTGGCGACCTACATTAAGTCTCCATTATTAATAGCCACAAACCATTTATTTTGCTTTGTTTTTTTAGAAAATGTTTCCATATTCGTGAAAATTAATCATCGTGGATTGATTTCCCACTGACAAATAGCAAATAAAAGATGACACGAATAATAGTTGGTTTACAGTATGACATGTAAAGCATGATTGTATTGAATTGATTGGTCATGTATATTTGAATTTTTATCTTTAACAATTTTCTTTATTTCCTGCATAATTTTATCATGTACATTCTCTTAAACTCTCACTTTATAAACTACATGTAATTACTCATCATAAAGTTTTCAAGTTAAAAATGCCATTTCTGTCAATGCGTAAATAGTGTGCATTTAATTTTGACTTCAATATCTTTCAAAAATCATAAAATTCCACATGAGTAATGAGAGGGATGGTGACTTTTAAAATAATTCCTATAAGTTCAGTAGATCTTCTGTATCTCAAACACTGATATCTTATACCATGGATATGTTGAAGTAATTTGGAAATCCCAACCACTTTTTTTTAAGTATTTTACCCTCGATATCTTGAATCATTGGATATGGCGTAATCATATGTTAGTGCTTCACCTCCGTAGAGTGTATTTTATATGTAAATGATTTCTTAGCGGCATTCATAAATTAGCACATTCTTGTCTGTGCCAATGCCGATAAAACATGAAGCTCACTTTTATAGTGCACAAACAGTATCAAAGTTTTTCTCCATCCCATCAAGTTCGAGATAACAAGATTTTCGAGTTAATGAGATTTATTAAGTTAAATCTATCTATGGAGATTTATTTGTAAGAAATACTTACAAGCCCACATTTTATATTCTCCCAGTTCCTTCCACAGCAATGACCTTGCCTTCTTCATCCTTCTCTGAGTGTCAAGGTCATCAGGTGTGCCATCCCTACTCCACTTCCCATCCACAAAGTCTGACTCTGTGACCCCTGTTGCCATTGGTAACATGACATCAAAGAACAAAGACAACTGGAAAATAAGAACAAGAGGCTTTTGCCATATAACTGGTCACCTGAGCAATTGGCCCCAAACATGATGACAAGATCATTAACTGTGTATGTAGTATACACTGTACATGTATTTAGATCTGTACTTGGCACTTAAAGATTATGAGCGGTGAACACTTTTCTTGAATTTTACACCCCCCCCCCCCAGAGTGTGTCATGATTTGAACAAACTTGAATCTACACTACCTGAGGATGATTCCCTATAAATATAACGAAGTCTGGCTTTGAAGTACTTGAAAAGAAGATTTTAAAAGGTTTCCCTATATGTTCCTATGTAAAACTTTGATCGGCCATTTTGGCCCCACCCTACCCCCGGGGGTTTCATGATTTATACAAACTTGAATCTACACTACCTGTGTATGATCCCAAATGAGTTTCATCTTTCCTGGCTCAGTGGTTATTGAGAAGAAGATTTTTAAAGATTTTTCCTATATATTCCTATTTAAAATGCTTTTATCAATTATTTTTTTTAAAAAGAAAAAAATCTTTATATTTTAAAGCACAAGTTCATGAATTTGAACAAACTTGAATCTACACTACCTGAGGATGATCCCACATGAGTTTCATCTTTCCTGGCCCAGTGGTTCTTGAGAAGAAGATTTTTAAAATATGCCACCATATTAAAATATGCCATCATTAATTCCCAATTATCTCCCCTTGAATGAGGGTGTGGCCCTTCATTTGAACAAACTTGGATCCCCTTCACCCAAGGATACTTTGTGCTAAGTTTGGTTGAAATTGGCCCAGTGGTTCTTTTATTTCAAGAAGATGAAAATGTGAAAAAAAATTATATAACAACGACGACAACAACATTTGACAACAGACAACGGACAAATTTTATCAGAAAAGCTAATTTTTCGGCTCAGGTTAAATTTTTGTTTTCCAATTTATATAAATGGTCAACCTTTTTCAATACTTTTCCCCAAACATGATGAATTAATTTTATTGCATTATACTGTATATGTATTATACATGTATTTAGATCTGTACTTGGCACTTTATACATGTATTTAGATCTGTACTTGGCACTTAAAGATTGTGAGCAGTGAGCTTTACATCTTTTTCTGGGAACCTTAAATTATATGGTTTCATCCAAAGGAAGGGTCTACAATTTCACAATGTAAGGATCAGAACATTTATACCTTACCTGTAAAGGTGACTCTCTGCTCTGTATTAAGGATTTACCTGTATGTGAGAGGGGGAGTCCCCATCCTCTGTTTTGATTTACCTGTAAGTGAGACGTGGGGTGGTGGGGGTGTCTTCATTCTCTGTTTGTGATTTACCTGTATGTGAGAGGTGGGGGGGTGTCTCCATCCTCTGTTTGTGATTTACCTGTATGTGAGAGGTGGGGGGTGTCTCCATCCTCTGTTTGTGATTTACCTGTATGTGAGAGGTGGGGGGGGGTGTCTCCATCCTCTGTTTGTGATTTACCTGTATGTGAGAGGTGGGGGGGTGTCTCCATCCTCTGTTTGTGATTTACCTGTATGTGAGAGGTGGGGGGGGGGTGTCTCCATTCCCTGTTTGTGATTTACCTGTATGTGAGAGGTGGGGGGGGGGGGTGTCTCCATCCTCTGTTTGTGATTTACCTGTATGTGAGAGGTGGGGGGGTGTCTTCATTCTCTGTTTGTGATTTATCTGTATGTGAGATGGGGGTGTCTTCAATCATTTACCTGTGATTTACCTGTATGTGAGAGGTGGGTGTCTTCATTCTGTGTTTGTGATTTACCTGTATGTGACAGGTGGAGGGGTGTGTCTTCATCCTCTATTTGTGATTTACCTGTATGTGACAGGTGGGGTGGGGGGTGTATCCATTCTCTGTTAATGATTTACCTGTATCGGGGGCTCTCCACTGTCCAAACCCATGTAAGTACAGGCATCCAGTGGTGGCTTGACATGGAAGGCCAGTAGTTTCTGAGCAATGATGTGATTAAAGTATACCACTGAACACACCTGAAGAAAGGAAAGCACACCTTCTAGTATACTTATTGAATGTATGTAAAAACTGTTCTAATCATTCACAAAGAGAATGTGACACATTTATCTACTAGTATATCATATACTTTACAACTTTGTCATCCTTACAAAATTAATTTTTTTTCATGCTTTCTGATGGTCTTAGAAATATGATGAAGATATTCAAGCTCAGTCTATATAGATTGATTATTATTACAAAGCAGAATCTTTTAGCTAATTGGTCACATATATAACATCCCTTAAGGTGGGCTAATTGGGATTGCATCATTCATCACGACATGGCAGCTTTCATTTGATTCATTGTGCTTGATGACTCCTTTTTATAAGGAAGTTTTTTATCAAAGGTGCAAAAGACTGTGTTAATTACAGGTGTTAATTATTGTTAATGAAATGACTCACCACAGGGACCTTTCCTCCCTTGATTTCACAACACTCCAAACTTCCCACATCTCTCTGATACAATATATTCTCCACATATCCCTGAATATTAAGACAAGAGGTCCATGAGCCACATTGCTCACCTGAGCATATTGGCATGGAAAAATAAGAAAGCAGTTCATTATTTAGAGTATACTGGGGGAGAGGGGTGGAGGGGAAAGGGGGCAACAAACATGAATTACAATACCTCAGTCAAAATAAGGAGGCTTCCAATTTTATTAATATTACTTTTCACAGCTTTTTTGATCTTCATAGAATTACAATCTTACTTCGACTTAACCAAGGTAAGTCTCGTCAAATTTTTTAATTTTACCTCTTTATCTATCTTGTAGACTCCATGTTGTTTACAGTATTGGGGGGTAGCAGGGACTGTGATAGCACAGGCATCACAACTCCTCCACTGAATATCTACAAACAGGACCACAACCATTGCAATATTAACGAATATATAAACAAATATAACTCATTCTTTTACAACAAATACAGTTGAACTTATATATCTTGAACCCTTAGATCTGGAATACATGTTGAAGTGATATAGAAGTCCCAATCATGCACTTATTCTTCCTGTATTTTATCCTTGATATCATGAATCCTAGCATATCTTTGAGTTTTTCCTTACACCCACTGAGGTCAAGATAATTGGATTTGACTGTAGATCTTTAAACATTTACATGACTTAAAGATATAAAACAGATCACCAACACTTCGTAAGAATGCAGCAGTAAATTTATTTGGTTAATTTGGTGAACCAAATAAATTTACTGCTGCATTCTTACGAAGTGTTGGTGATCTGTTTTATATCTTTTAGTTTATAACTTTAGGTACAGAGCCTATTGAATACCTTTCGGTATCCACACATGAGAATCTTCCGCAATTTGAACCTCAGGGTGTTGGTCTCCAGTTTTTATTGTTTTGTAATTTACATGACTTGTCAGGGCTTGGATGCTGGTCAAATTTGGTGTACAAGTATGAATTACCTTGACCTTTGACCTTGAACATTGTTTATTACAAATCAAAATCAAAAACTCTGAAAGTTTCTCCTGAATGATTAATTAGAGGGGTTTAGGAAGCTCACGTGTACGTAGATGTTTATGTAAACTACAAGGTAGAATGTCACCCGGCTTTTTCTTGTTTAGCGAAGTATAACCCATATATGTACTTGTAAGTGTTCTAAATATTAACATGTTTAACATTACAAAAAATACAAAACAATAACTTAAATATGTAAATACATGTAACGCTATTATCTTTTTAAATAAATATACACAGTCTATATATTTTTCAAAATAGGATTGAAAAAAGCTCTTACAATTTTAATCCATCAAAGCCTATTTTGATACTGTAAATCACTTTTTATTCGCGAGAACTTTATTTTCGCGTAATTGCGCGGGACAGTGTGCTCGCGAAAATTTAATTCTCGCGTATAATTATAGTATTCCTTAAGATTATACAGAGCAATAACCAGAATTCGTGAAAATTTTGTCTCGATAATCAAGAGTCAATGACTATCTCGCGAAAATAAGGTGTCGCGAAAATTAAGTGATCTACAGTAGTCTAGATGTTGTGTACTTATATAACACTCTATAAAATTATATTTTCATTTTTATATATCTGTATGGCATTAAATCTATAGGCTTTAGAAAAATAAACATTTTTAAAAAAAATAAACAGCTATTAAAGAAGTATAAGCTAAAAGTTTTGACTTATGTGTACTCGGCAATCTACATGTAGGTGGAAATATAATGTGATAATGTGTAGAAATTCATCAACAAAACTTATGATGTAATGTTTGTATTTTGTTTGAATTCACTAACTCCCTTTTTAACACTACATATAAACAGCATTATTTTGCTCCAAAGCAGCTAAATAGCCATTGCTTTGATAACAGGAGTAATGAAATGTAAACTTTTCTGTCCTTTACAGAAATATGTTTACAAAAAACAAACTGGTTGATGGAATATTTCACAACATTTATATTTCTAAATATTTTCCCTTAGGATTCTTTGCAAATAAAAAGATGATGTGGATGAGTATGAATATGAGGTGTGATCAAATTTGGCGAACGAATTGAATAACTTCCATAAAACAAATAAAATCAGGATTCAGTGTTCATTATTTTTTTAATTAGCCCTCTCTGACTTTAATGCATATCTGCCATTGTTCTGCCCATGCACGAATCACATGATCCAGGCGGTCACGTGATATGCTCTGAAGTATTCTGTTCCTAGACGCTAAAATATTTTCCCGTGTCTTATATTTCTTACCATGCAGGTCATTTTTTAGAACAACAACAGTCCATTTGTCAAAAATGACAAAATCTCAGCAATAGAATGGTTGGATAAGGATATTCTTTCCCATAAAGAGCATGGTGACCATCACAACCTGAGTCCTCTGTCTTAGGAACGTTGTTATCCAATATGGATATATAGTTTGGGTGCCTTCTTTTTATCATATTTAATAATATCATTGTTAAGATATTCAACTATTTTCCTAGCTGTAAATTCACAATCTTTTATAACAAATTGCCCAACAAAGGACACATCTCTTCCCCAGAATTGCCTTGGCGGGCTACAAAACAAACGTCATTTTTAATCATCTCCCTCCCTTCACTTTGACAGTCAATCCAATTTATGATTGACTGTGACAGCCATTTTTCATCACAAGTCACCTACATGTTGACGTCATTTTCACATTGTGACGTCACAATGATGGAGAAAATCATTACTTTTCATATGCTATTTATAGAACATGTGCGTGACTATAGGTGTGCCAAATTTACTCTAATCTGAGTTGTGGTTTTGTAATATAGAGATAGCTCCTGAACTTTTTGATCACCCCTCGTACCTCCATTGTTACGTCATAATACTATACTTGACGTCAAAACTATAGTGCAAACTGTTTTGCTTAAAAAAAAATTTAATGGCGTAAATTGTGGCAAGTCATCATGAACTACAACAATTCACGCCTGCATATTTATCATTAAGCACTAACGCAATTCATGAAATATGCTGGCATGAAGCGCAGTAGTTCATGTCCTCTTGAATCTTCAAAAATTCATCTCTTATGTGTGCACCATGTACCCAAATTTAAACGTACTAAAATAAGAAACAAAATAAAAGTGCAGTGTATCTATAAAGGAACTTTGAAATTTCTTCTTTTTTATGGCTAAGAATTTTACAGAAATTGCATATGTTTGTCAAAAAAAGGCACTATATGGCCTTTTTCTTTGTGGTAATTGTAGTATTTTGTTTTACCCTTTCTTGCACAATTTGGTCTTGGGTAGTTTTTATTTTAAACACAGTTGAAAAAAGTGTAAAACATGTAAAACTAGAAATATGTCCATAGGACATGAATGCCCAGCCGAGTTTATATTAGTAAAGTAACATGAAAATTTGTATTAGTGTATGAAATTTGATCAGAATATCTTGAATAGAGATGCAGTTGAATTGCTTACATCAGTATGTATCAGCATATGAAGTTTGACACTAATTTCCTTAAAATTAGGTCAAGGTCAAAGGAAATGCCAAGGTCAAAAACTGTTGATGCAGTTGAAAAGTATGTTTCAGCATATGAAGTTGAAAAAAATTTTATAAATGGTTTCTTTAAAACTGACTAAACACATTTTGGTAAAAGTGAGGTCAAGGTCAAAGGAAAGGTCAAGGTAAAAAAAATTGTGATGCAGTTGAATAGCTTTCATCACTATGTATCAACATGTGAAGTTTGATAACACCATCTTGATTGGTATGTTTAAAACTGATCTAAACACTAATTTAAGAAAAGTGTGGTCAAGGTCAAAAGTAAGGTCAAGGTCAAAAAATGTTGCATAGCTCTCATCAATATCTATCAGGTTATGAAGTTTGATGAAAATGTCTTGCATAGTTTCTTTGAAACTGAGCTTTATAACAGAGCTAAACGCAAAGTTTGACAGAAGGACAGAAAGACGGAAGGACGGAAGACAGACATGACAAACACTATATGCCCCGGCCATATTCATGGCGGGGCATAAAAAAATCTGTTGGCATTTTCTTTCAAAATATTACTGGGAATTTCACAAAACATTGGGAGTTTTGAGTGATACTAACCACAGTCTTTAGGCAGTGATAAGAGCATATCTGTACTGCTGACCCATAGTCCTGGCCCAGATTTAACTGCCAGCTACAACAAGACAGGCAAATAAATTAATTCACTGCTAACTATAACAAGAAAGGCAAATAAATTACTTCACTAACAAGAAAGGCAAATAAATTACTTAACTAACAAGAAAGGCAAATAAATTACTTCACTAACAAGAAAGGCAAATAAATTACTTAACTAACAAGAAAGGCAAATAAATTACTTCACTAACAAGAAAGGCAAATAAATTACTTCACTAACAAGAAAGGCAAATAAATTACTGCCAGCTACAACAAGAAAAGCAAATAAATTAATTCACTGCCAGCTTTCAAAAAATTGCAAAAGCCAGATACTGTATACAGGGTTCTTTTTGCCCCGTGTTATTTTCACCCTTTCAGACTTGCAAACAATTTTGTCCCATTTTAATTTTTGTTTTTCATTCATAGTTTTGTTCAAGAAATCATACTGTATTCTTTGAAATTGCCCAGTTTTAAATTCAAGTAATTGAGGGTAGGACGAAAGGGGTTTAAATAAAATGGGGTCGATAATTTCCCTGTATACAGTAAATTACTTTACTGTCTTTATGACAAGAATGCCAAATACGAGGGGTTATCAAAGAGTTCATGGACTTGCGCCATAAAATTAAGACCGCTTAGGGTACATCAATGAATTTTAAAATATCTAGTAAGCATCATCTTTTCTATCCAAAGAATAAAACATAAATCATAAATTTTATTTTTTCATAGATAAGTAATGTTTTTGTAAGCAATGGTATGTCCAGGCGGCACAACCTCGAACACGACGTTTTTGAGACCTATGTGTAACTGAGAAAACCTCTTTTGATATGAACATTTGACAGCCAAAAATCCAGTTAGTTCAGGTATGTGTTGGGACAAAATTGTTCCATAAAATACAAAATTTTTATTTCAATCTGGAAGTTCTATGAAATTTTATCGTAAAATTTACAGGGAGCGTCCAAACAAATATGGCCTTGAAAATGACGTCAAAAGGGGGGAGGGGTTTCCTTTTCCAACATTCTAGAAAGTTTGCCCCTGAAGAAACTGGTATAGACCTAAGAAATGGGTAAACTGGCTACAGAGAAATATAATGCATCCAGAGTACTTGTCTTTTAATGTCAAAATAGATAAATAGAGAAAATTAAGGGATGCACATTTAATGTCAAATTGTAGTCAACATGTGAAAAATCAGTGAAGTCAAAAAATGACGTTGATCATGTTTTGTAGATATTGAACTCCCAAAAGCAAATATGCTGGCATAATCAAGCGAGGATCTCTTACAGTGTGTAAATCCAATTGGAATAATATATTCACTGAAAGCCACTGTTCTTGACATTGTAAACCCACATAATCAAGGCTGTTTAAGTTCTTACTCAGCTCCAGGGAATCTCATCAAAATAAGTATATGAGGTAGAAGAAGCGGACATTGAAAAACAATGACGTTGTCGGACATCATGAAACTAAACGGCGACAGCGCCGTGTGATCATATAACATCATTTTTATTTTATAATAATTTGGCAAAAAATGAACCTATCACGCTAAAAATTTCAACATTTCTTTATTTTTTGTTGTTTTATGTTCCATATAGATTTTGAAAGCACGGACTAAATAGTACTAATTTTATAGCCTCAGTCCACGAACTTTTTGACAACCCCTCGTAAATTTGTTCTCAAGATTTATTTGGTACATTAAATTTGGCAAAAAATAAAGCAAATCAAAATGAACATACCCCGGTACTAAATATTTAATGAACTGCATTAGTAAAACGTGAAAGAAACCAATGACCAAAAAATAAGTATAAAAGAAATGTTGTAGATCTAATTGCTTGCCTTTTCTGTTATGTTCTTGATAAGTATGTCAATGTTACAAATCAGTCCATCATACTCAGGGGTCACGTACTGAGCAGGGAGGGTCACAAATCCCCTCCCACACTGGTCGTAGGGGTAGTGCCGGCCCTATGTAAAAATAATAGCATTTAAATGACCTTCAAACTTACACAATGAGAATGAATATTAAGGAATTAAAGACATTTTTGCAAGATAAAGCTGAAATATGTGGGAACTATGACATCTTTAACATTTTATTGTATATTTGATGTCATAATTGGCATTTTTAAATATGTCAAAATATAACTTGTACAGTCAACTTTTTTTAAATGTGTCACTAGATTACTGGTACAATGTTCCTAATAACCATGTAAATGTGTCCCTGTTCTATAAATCTTAGGCTGTGTAATATTAACACCAATGTTCCTAATAACCATGTAAATGTGTCTGTTCTAAAACTTACGCTGTGTAATATTAAGACCCAGGATTCCTCCAAAACTTCAGCGCTGATCACCTTAAGGAAATAAAGGGCTAATATTCAGTTCACTTTCTTGCTTAATTAATGATTAAAGATGAATAACTCTATTTCAAAAATCGCCATGACTTTTTGCATAGCGAGTTTGGAGTAACACTATAAGTTGAGTGTAAATTTTTTGGACAAAATATAAATTAGCACACTTATTTGATTAAACTTCCCAGTTGTTCATAACACTGTAATAACTGACAGGGATCATCTTATAATTATTTTTTCAAAATAATTCTCTCCTCTCTCTCTCTCTTTCTGGAAAAACTGGAAAAAAAAATTGAATGAACCTTTTTTACTCCCACTTTGAAGAATGTCTTGTAGTAACAAGAAAATTGAAATTAGTCCATTTTTTTCTGTTCAATCAACAGTTTTATCCTGTGCTACCATAGATCATGATACCCCCCTGACTAACTCACTGAATGCCCCTTTTGAGCACTGATGTATTCTGTGATGGTTAGCAGAGCATTAACAGTGGCACCTCCACTCCCCACATTATTTTTTGGATCCTCCACAGTTAGGACAATTACATCCTTATCTAAGTATCCTTTAGCTTGCCGCAACTCCAACTCTGTTTTAAAACAAAACACACTTATTAATCTTAAGTTGAATTAATTCACTGTATACTATGAAATCATTAAATTTTCGTGGTGGTTTAATTTTCGTTGTTTTCGAGGTATGAAGAGACCCACAAATTTATGCCAACCACGAAATGTAAAATTTCAGATGCACAACTACTAAAAAGTTCTTCATCCACGAAATCAAATCCCCACAAATGAAATTTTGACCCAATAAATGTACCGGTAAATGATTTTACAGTATGTACTTTAAAATGCGGGCTTAATTCTGGTGTGGTCAACAATGAGTTCATTCATGAATACTGCTAAAAAATCATTAACACAATATATGGTCAGAAGTGTGTAATGCTAATTCTGAAATACACAACCAGCTCAATACCCAGTGATTGTGCTAAGGCTAAATAAAATTGAAATTCTGGTTCTCAGGCTTGCGTGCATCCATTTTGAGGTAGCCGCATGGCTAATTTTATTGTATTTTTGATAAAATAAAAAGTTGGTATTGCGGAGACCAATCCGGAAAAAAGTTCTGTCCTCATTTTTTCATAGTTTAGTACTCAAATATCACTTCCGGTAGTCATTTGCAAAGAGATTTTGGCTACTTCGATTTTAACAAAAATTCTTAATATAAATGTTATGAATTATACAATTTCTATTAAAAGTGTAAGTTAAGTTCTTCTGTCCTAAACTATCTTGTTATATTTCAGAAATTAACATTTGGAGATCTGCATGTTGATGCAGATTTCTTGAAAATTTTATACAAACATCAATGCTTACCTTTCTGAAAAGCATACGTCCACTCTTTGCTGGCTGTCGTTAAGACTATGGCAGTCCATTTCACTCCAGAATGGGTCATTCTGAATTTAAAAATACAATATTTAAGTAAACACTTTCTAAACCTTTCATTTTATATTGTTGCCTACATAAAGTATATACCTTTATCTTTACATGCAGTCAATTAAACCAACTTTTATTCCTGTAGATTCATAAAGTATTTGGCGATGATTAGTTGTCATGAAACATCTTAAGCTTAAGTCAAAATATTCATGTTGTACTAGAATTTTGAGTAGACAAAAATTAAAATATTTTTAAAAATTGCTTAACAAAAGTGTTGTTATCTGCGAACCAATAATTAATAAACATTTTACAGGGAATTTCATTCAAAAATAATGATTTACCTTTAATTGAACATTAAAGTAATCCCCTTTTTCTTCATATCATCTTAAAGCTCTAAGGATTTTGATCAGTTTTTGTTCAACAACTGTTAAGAAATTCTTTTCGTTTTTTGAGCTTTTAGCAAAAGAAATATTTAGGGGCAAACCCATCAACGCCTTAATGGGGACGTTAAGCAAAAAATGAAAGGTTGCATATGTTCAGAACATTATCTTGAACATCTTTCGTTCACATCACCAGAGTTCTGTGTTAATTATAAACATGCATTGCCTACATAAAGTATATAGCTTTTTGATAAGATTTGCATTTTTTGTTCACAACTATTCAAAACTCTTTTTCGTTTTTGAGCTATTAGCAAAAGAAATATTTAGGGGCAACCCTTCAACTCCTTAATGGGGACGTGTACAAAAATGAAAGGTTGCATATTGTTTAGAACATTATTTTGTGTTTTGTTCATTATTGCTTATCAAAATATTTCAATATTTCACATGCAGTTTGAAGAGACAGATACTGTAAACCTACTTTTATTCCTGACAACTTTATTTCATGATTTACCAGGGTAAAGTATTTGGTGATTATTTTGATTTTTGCAAAATATTTCTTCCTTTCGGATATAAAGCTCCAGGGATCATGAAACATCATATTTGTAAGCATTTTTGCTTCAAGTCAAAATATTCATGTTGTACTATTAAAGATTTTCATATTTTGCACAAATGTTGTTCAATATGTTATAACAAAAATTATATTTTCAAAGATTGAAAAAATCACTCATAAAACGTGTAGACAAAAATTAAAATATTTTTAAAAATGTGGCCCCTCTCATGTTATAACAAAATAATTATATTTTCAAAGATGCTTAACAAAAGTGTTGTTATCTGCAAAATTATCACAGACAAGGAGGTCCTCCAAATTTTGATCAATAATTAACAAACATTTTACAGGCAATTAAAAATTTGACTTAAAATTTTGTCTAAGTCTGTTGCATGATCCTGGGGCCAGGTCTTTGAAAACACCGCTTCAAATTTTTAAATACGAAAATCGCCTTTTTCGATGTTGTAAATAAAAAAGACAGTGAGAAAACTGTCATCTATAAAATGACAACATACCAGTTCCAAAATGGTCACTAAAAATTCGCAAGAAATATTGATGACAGTGAGGCTGTCGCGAACTTCGCGAAAATTTCTCGCACGCAAATAAAGGTTGGTTTATATGCAGTTAGGGATCCTGGGGCCAGGTCTTTTTCGATATGTTGTAAATAGACAGTGAGACTGGAAATAGCAAATTTATGACAGTGAGGCTTCCCCGACGCAAATAAAGGTTGGTTTATATGCAGGAAACTTTATTTCCCGAGGCCGCCGAGGGCAATAGTTTCCTGCCAAGGGGAACCATACATTTGCTATTTCCCTCGTACCAATTCCATAACTGTTTTATTATACCGAAACAATCATAGGTGATTTTCCTTTTAACCAGATACTTTGACTTTTTAAAAAACACTATAGAGGCATAATCACAACGCATGCGGTTTAACAGATAATTTGATTTCATGTCCGAGAACAATAAAATTATTTTTAAAAAATAGTTTCACTGACATTTCGAAGAATTACCGTTGTCTTCAATTTGCAAGAATTCAAGTATGACTTTGACATCGCATGTCGAAATGTTTTGACGTCATAGTTACATTGCTAATAACATGACGTACGTCACAGACTCGAGATTCCTTGAATGCTCCACCCAAATAACTCTTTGATTGGTTAAAATTACTAATGAATAAACATGAGGGAGTAGTCCCAGGAAGTAGCTCTGATTTTCCAGGGAGTAGTCTTCAGATGAGGGAAATAATCTGTTCTCGGGGGAAATAGACAATTTTATGGTTAATTAATTTTATACAGAGTATTAAATTACAGTAGAGGCATAAGAATTTCAACTAGACACTCGGCTGTTTCCGTAAACCCTGACCAGCTCTCGTGTGACGTCACATCTAGATGTCTCATGCGACTTGATGTTTGAAGTGGTGGGTCAACGTTTTAGGTGTATTTTTGAAGGTACAACTGCACTCAACCCAATGGTCACACTGTAAAACATATTTTTGACGGAAGACACACTCAGAAAGTGATAGCAACGGAGCCTGCGAGGTCCCCATCATTTTCTGTGTCTAAATGAGGTCAATATCACTTGTCATGAATCTTTGGGACGTATTCTGTGGTTGGGGAGGGCTTGTCCCAAGACACACTTAGGTTTTCTAACTAGCTTTTATGTAAAATAAAGTGAAAACCAAAATATTTTAAATAATAGCTAATGCTAATAGCATTATTTGACCTTTTGTTGACATTTAAAAACCTGGATCAGTAGAAATGTTGGGTGTTTTGCAAAATTATTGCTTGTTTCACTTCAGCAGAGTCTGTCATATGAATTATGTTAGCATCGGAAGTTTCAACTTTAAAGTAAATTTGGTTTTCTAAAAAAAATCTGACGATCCGGAAGACTAAAAAGATCTTTTAAAAGCTGGGAAATCGCATTCAAGATAGTTCTCAAATAAAAAATAAGCAATTTATCGTTGATTAAGTTCAAAATTTTCCGTAAAAAATATCAACATTTACAGAATCATGGTCCTGATTAAGAAATGGGGTTCTGTCTGGTTCTAATGCTTACACGGCCAACTACACTTCCAGTAACAGTTGTTCAACGTGCATCATGATCATCATGCACTTTGACTTGATTGACACTCCCACGCACTGTCGTCAGTGTGTTTCTGTCATTGTCATTGTGTCTTTAATTCCCACAACTTTTCCTGCATATTAGCTTATCTCATTGAGTTTATTTATTGCGGTGCATATCCAGGTAAATATACACCTGTAGACCACGTATCGTATCTGTCGTATGACGGATTAATAGAATTGACCTGTTTGTAGCATCTTTTTATTACTCTTAAATTGTCAAGTCTCTCATACAAGAAATATCATTTGATTTTTTTGAACTTCTAAAAGGTATCCCCCTCCCCCCTGAACTGAAATTGCTTCCATATATATTAGCCCGAATACATAAATCTATAATGCTGGTCATCTGTCCTGTCTTAAAGTCAAACCATTGAATCAAGTTTTTAATTAAAGATGTATGCATGTAGCTGCAGAACTGTAATGTTATGGTTTTATATACTAGTGTTAGTCTTTGGCCACAACGCTACAGATCCCATAGTAGAAAAAATTTGCAATTTATGGCGCAAAATTTTTTGCACTCTGTTTGAGAGAATTTCTACACTTTCCAACTTTGTTCAATCATCCACCCTTTACCCCATAATTCCAGACACATTCTTAAACCAATTTGCATATTTTTTCCTCATCTCAACCCTTTATAGTCGCATCTACAGGCGAAAATCTGGCTTGATTTGAATTGTCTGAGGGATTGCAGAAAATTCTAATTCAAGCGAGTTTAACGCTTGTAGAGACAATTATAAAGGATTGGAAGGTATATAAAATATAGAGATTTATTTTAAAATTTGTCTAGAATTATAAAGGGATAGGTAGATGATTGACCAAAGTTTGAAAGGGGGAAATTCTCCCAAACATTCTTGCGCCTTAAATTGCACATATTTTGCACTATGGGATCTGTAGCGTCATGGTCAAAGACTAATATGTAAAACCAAAACGCTACAGTTTGCAGCTAGTATGCATGTAGTCTTCCTCAGAGTCATTTTGAATTGCTTTTTTCATAGAACCCCCAAACTTAAAGCTATATATGGCGTATCTGAGCCAAAAAACAAACAAACAAACAAATCAAGTATTTACATGAAAGTTGCAAATTTACATTCAAATTAAATATTTCACTGATTTGGAACTTCAACATCCCCACATTTCTATAATTATTTAAAGTGACTTATAATTAAAGATGAAATAAAATATTAATTATATTTTCATGTGAAATGCTAATGCAATATATAAGTGGTGGTATATTATACAAAAGATTCTAGAAAATATTAAGTTCAAATCTGTGTCTATGCACCTTTAAAATGCTCCTATTACAGTTTTGGTATATTTTAATATAACTTGGCACACATATAGACGTCACTAAGATACATAATTTAGTGCATCGGTTTTTGCATGATTTCTGTGAAATTCCTCTAAAACGCTACTCCTCCTACAGTTTTGGTCTAATTTCAATATAACTTGGCACACAAGTAGACTACACTAAGATACATAATTTAGTGCATCGGTTTTTGCATGATTTCTGTGAAATTCCTCTAAAACGCTACTCCTCCTATGGTTTTGGTCTGATTTCAATATAACTTGGCACACAAGTAGACTACACTAAGATACATAATTTTATTTATTGCTGCCTGTTGCAAAGTTTCAAATCCAAGTGCTACTTTTCCTTTGCTATACATACAGACCAGTAGAGCTACAGTCTCATCAGAGACTTCTGGTTTTGCTCTGTAATCAGAATGTCTTATATCCTCAAAATATATTTACACAGAATACATTTACATTTCATATATTGCAATATCATACATACATTTGTATTTTTTTTTCTTTTCCAGAAGACGAACATTTGGCTGACATGGGGATATTGGGATTAACGACCTTTATGGATGACAACCTTCATCTCATAAAAGAATGGCAGCTGCATGACACCAAAGTGGTTATTGATGGTAATAACCTGTACCATCTAATCTTCTACAACAACCATGTGGACTTTCTTCATGGAGGAGATTATGATCAGTATGCCAGAAAAATTAAAGAATTCTTTGCTCTCCTTCAAACCTGCAACATTCAGCCTTATGTTGTGTTTGATGGTGGATATGAGCAAGATGACAAAAAATTCCACACAATTTTAGGAAGAGTTCAACAGAGACTTGAGATGGCTATACGTCTAGCAAAAGGACAGAGGGGCAAAGTAATGCCTATCCTGGCCTATGAAACATTTAAGGAAGTTTTGTTACAAATACACATACCTTTTGCTGTCTGTGATTTTGAAGCCGACAGAGAAATTGGAATCTTAGCTAATGACCTGAACTGCCCAGTTCTGTCGTATGACAGTGATTTCTACATTCTGCCTCTCAGTGCTGGGTTTATACCATTTGACAGTGTCAATTTTACATTGCAAGAAGACAAGAGAGAGGACGGTACTACATATCATTATCTGCCTGCAAGGAGATACCATGTGGACAATTTTGTGAAATTCTTCCCCTCCTTAGGGAGAGAAGTTTTACCCCTGTTGGCTACCCTGCTAGGAAATGATTATGTGGATATTCGTATTTTTCAGTCATTTTATTCTTCAGTCAGATCATATGAAGGAAGGACACAGTTTAGGATTCCTAAGTCTCATTTGAAAATCCAGAAGGTGATAAGCTGGTTAGAAAGCCTAGAGACGTACAAGGAGGGCATTGAAAAACTGATGGAGACTGCAGGATCTTTAGCACAAAAGGAAACTATATCTGTAGCCATCAGAAAAACTAAAGAAGCATTCACCACCAACACAACTGATTCTGGATTCTCTCTGCACAGCTACTTCAGCGATAATTATTCTGTAGAAATCCAAGGTGTAGAGGTAAAGGTACCTTCTAGCATTAACGTAGTCCAAGGCTACAATGGGTCTGCAATTCCTGGCTGGTATTTAACCAATCATCGTCAAGGAATCCTTCCTCCCAGCTTCTTGGACATCATAACTTTACATCGAATATTCCTCTTACTCCAAGTGGAACATACAAAATCCCAGTCATCTCACCAATGTTCTCTTAAACTAAGGCAGCTAATGTATGGAATTCTTCTCTCAGAGGATATCACTAGTCTGGAAAAGAATGGTGAGCTAGCAGTAAACAGAAAATGTGGTGTTGAGGAGTATGATAGAGTTGGATTTGATTTAACCAAAAAGATTGTCTTACCAGCCCTTGTTTTAGAAGGATATGGACCAGTGCCAAGACTCCCTGCACTACCAGACCTTTTATCCTCAGATAAAGAGAGCTTTCTCCGTGAGGCACTCAATATGCCACTCTTCAACCTAGAACACATGACTAAAGATCTGGAACTTGTTTTAGGAATCATTCTATACTGGGTCAGAAATGCCAAACCAAAAGTAACAGTTTATCATCTACAGGCTGCTCTTGTCTGTTTGATAATGCTGAAGGTGAAGTGGGTACTTATTCATCGTGGACCTACAGGGACCGGGGAAAATCTGATAGAGACAGCTGTCCTGGAAACACCTATAGAAACTGTAAAGGAGGTCAGGACTAGACTTCATCCCTTCAATGCAAAGCCTGAACACAGCAGCAAACACCCCGTAGACAGCGAACTGATCCATGGATTCGCTCAGTTGCAGTCCTGCATTCTTGTTGGTTTACAATTAAACTTTCTTCTCCAGTGCCCCTTCCCTACTCCCTACCTTCCCCACATATTCTCTGGAACGTTTCTGTATAATTTCTGTCAAGAGCTTCAGAAGCGGAGAAGTCCAGACCTGTTTATACGCGATGTGCTGGCCAAGGACTCAAAGCTACCCCAGGTTTACCAATGCCTTTATGATGTTTTGATGAATTCTCTTGACCCAGATGGTTTACTCTCAGACTCTAAATATAAGAAGAGAAGTAAATCTCACAAAGACAAGGCAAAGAAAAGCAAACTGATTGCATCTGGTTCTAGCAATCCGAAAAGTCTGGAACTCTCCCCAAAGACAGAAAAGAAAAGTAAAACAAGGTTGCAATATGTGGCGAACTGTCAACTGACCAACAGATTCGCAGGGCTAGACCTGAGTGAGGACAGTCATGGAGAAAGTGATTAGGACTGCTTGTAATCAAAAAATTAAAATATGAATAAAAACTGTTTGTGATCAATTAGAACTGTAAATCAAACAACAATTAAGTTCTAATATTAAAAATTATTAGAGATTGAAATACCGTATACTTGTATAAGTATATAAGTCGGTTGTATTTTTGAATCCTATATTAGAGGGATTAACCTTCTAAATTACCAGTCTTTTTATAACTCGCCTATAAGTTGGACACAGAGTTTTGGACCAAAGTTTAACTCCCAAAAATCCGACTTATAGGCGAGTTTATACGGAACTAGTATATGTATTTACCGGTATTTTTACATTGTCTTTGATAATTCTTTTAAAAAGTTAACTTTGTTAATTTTATGGTATTAACAATTTCATCTGATTGTAATTTTATCACATGAAATGATAAGTGTTTTATATCATAAATGTTTTCATAGTTTTCATTGTGCCTGATACATTAACGGCAGGGACTACAAAAATTAGCAGGAAATGCATTGTGTATTTTAATGATGTTAGAAATTTTTATTTATATTTACATTTCAATTTTTCATATTAATATAAATACAGGTTTAAAGAATCACTGTTTAGTTTGTTGGGTATGCCAGGGACATTGATTACAGTTGGAAATATAATATGAGATAATTTGTTCTTATCAAATATTTTGATGTATTTTTCAGTAAGTTATATATAGAGAGTCCAGGCTTTTACAGAGTCATATTGGACTACTTTTGCAATTTCAATTATGACATCAAAATGTATATTTTCCATCTTTCCAATGTAAATGACATAATTTCATACCTATCCCTATGACAAAATCAAAATGTATATTTATAAAAAAATATGCAAGTATCTTAAGTAAGTGTAGATTCAATTTTGGTAAAGTCATACCTCCTGCCTATTGGGGGGTAGGTTAAGACCAGTAATGCATTAAAGCTTTTCAAAGAACTGATTTTTGCTTTTTTCCTACAGTGCTCAGGTGAGCGGTGTGGCTCATGGGCCTCTTGTTTGATAACTTTTTTCTCCCACCCTTGTAGTTTTTGAAACATAGAATTCATTTCAGGCAGTCTTAATTACCCAGTTTATATTTATGTATAGGAACCGTGAAGAGTGTGTGTGTTGGGGGGGGGGGGTGTATTTCAATCAACTCTCCCTCATTCCCATTTCCAAGCTGAATTACCGAGTCCAGACTTCCTACATCTAAAAATGTTAAAACACACTTGCAGAGGTTTTCACCGAATAAAGACATTGTAGTGTTTTTTTAGTGTTTTTATCGCGTAACATATATACAGTTATGAGTAGATGAGACTTCAGTAGTTAAACTTTTATACTCAGTAATGTTACGTAGTAAATTTTCTTATCACTAGCAATAGGTAGCCTAATGGTATTTTGGGTGTCTATAATCATGTTAAAAATGTTTAAAACACACTTGCAGAGTTAGGTAGTTTTTGGGAGCAATAGAAGCCTAACAGAGGCCTAATGGGTGCCTAATATTGGGCTGTCAGCAAGTATATATATGAGAATGTATTTTAGGCACTTCTCCCTTATTTCTTGTATTAACAAGATGTCATGTTGATGTATATTTCCATAATACAATTCGTTCTACAAAAGCAAAGTGTTGTTCTCATTGATCTATAAAGATCTGTAATCCTACGCATATATTGCGAGTAGCACAGGATCCACATTATTTTGTGACTGGCCTGAGGTTTAAGCAGAGTCGGACATAATCGTTAGCTATATTATCCTCAGTTGCGTTACAATATGGTATTTATAGATGAAGTTTTGTGTATGGTCACTATGTAGAGACCGTATATACCCTTTTTGACCTTTGTGTTCCAGGGAGTTTTCGGAGACGGGTATTTTCCCCCATAATAAATCAATAATAATGAATACTAGTGATACATTTATTAGGTAAATCGGCAAATCTTTATCTAATAACAAGATGGCAAAAGAGAAGGGAAAATATCAATACAATCGATGCACATCTTTAATTTTTCTACAATGGCGTATCATGGCTTGATGTACCTAGACGTTAAAATGAGAATATTTGATAATTTAGAAATATTAGCACAAAACACAAGTAAAATAATAAACCAACAACCACGACATTCAAAAGTTACAAAATATATGATAGATTAAATGCAGTAAAAAAATTAGAATTTTTTTGTTTCCATTTTCTAAATACAAGTACATATATTTTTTTAAAATCATATTCTGCAATGCATGTATATAACTACACATATGCCAAGCAATATGGCGGATGAAAAATAAACAGTATGACCATCAATTCACTTTTTTGTCAAAAACATAGAATATAAATTTATTTGAACTTTTAATTAATTACTATAAAATAAAAATCATAGTGAAACGTGCGTCCATTTAAATTTCATTTATTGGGGTCTTTTACCACGGACAGTCACGTGGACGTATTCTCCTTGGTCCATAACATGCAATATTCTCTTCGACATTGCCTGGAAATTCGGGCGACAGAAAACGGACTCTTCCCTGACGACATCTTTGACGACGCAGCCTTCTTCGGATCTGACGCTCGAAGTCGTTGCCACGTGGTCTTCCCCGAAATTCTCGTCCACATCTTCTTCCCCATGGTCTGTTCTCCTGACAGTCTGCACTGTACTGGTTGAGAATCCTGACAAGTTTCCGTGCTAGTTTTCTGGGTCTCATCCCTTCGTCATTCATTCGAACTTTCAAAGTGAGGATTCTTACGCCGTGTTCTTTAGTATTTCTGCATTTTGTGGAACCATCTCTATCCATAGATTGGTGGTTTACCTTTATTTTGCATTTTCTCTGCCGTTTTGCTTCCATCTCATCCTCTTCATTCATTTCCCAGTTTTTGGCGGGGGTTTCCTGAGCTTCACCAGAGTGCTTCTTACGCCCACACCTGTGCTTGCAGTGATACTTCCTTTTCTTTGTCTCCTCTGATTGATTGTTCTCATCTGTTTCATCATCCTCACCACGATGTCGACGGTATCTGCAATTTCTCCTTCTACTGACACCTGTTCCTGTGTCTCTTTCTTCGGTGCCTTCTTTACCCTCCTCAGTGGTCTTTGTCCCTGCATCCGATTCTTCGGTACCCTCTTTATCCTCCTCAATGGTCATTGTTTCAACAAGTTCTGAAATTCCAGGTTCCTCGTCATGTTTATTCTTGGAAGCTGAATCATTGACTTTCTTTGACGTTTCGTTTCCAAGCATAGCTGCTCTTCTTCGATAGCTTTTACAGCGCCGTCTATGACACCTCTTCTCTTCTCCACTGGCGGAATCAGTAAAAGACTCGCAGACGTGTGTAGGAGAACCGTCTTCCTTGATCTTCAGCCATATTTTTGCATTTTGGAATCTACTTTGTCTGCATATCGGAGAAACTTGAATTTCGTCATCTTTTTCCTGCCTGCACACAGGGACGGATGTTGATCGTCTGCATCTTTTTCCACGCATCATCATCCCGAAATCGTTAAGATTTCTTCCAAAACGACGAGTAGTTGGAGCCGAATTTGCTCGCTTGCAGCATCTTCTCCTTGGGCAACATTCCCGATTTCTCCTTCTTGAGCGGCAACTACCGCGCGCCATATATGCATCATCCAACCTCTCTTTTAGATGTCGGACGGAATGCTGATTGCATCTACGACGCCAGTAGTTCCCGTTCCAGCGGCAAAAAGAGCCAGTTTTTTCGAGGCAGTCTTCACTGGGCATTGCATTCCGACGACTGCCACATCTGCTTCGGAATCGATCGATGCTACCACGAGGTTGATCAAATCTTTCACGGGTTTCAAATTTGCGACGCATAAACCTTCGCATCCTCCTTTCAGAGAGAGATTGATCATTCTCCGGGTGCTGCTCGGCTTTTCTAAACCTACGAAGTGGCAGTGGACCCTGACCTTGACCCAATCCTCTCCAATAACGTCGGCGGCTTCCCCAGCTCCTGGTTCCATATTCTTCAGGAGTCAACGTATCCTTCAATTAAAAAAATACAGTAAGATTGAATTTTCAAGTGTTAAGATTGCCTAGGAATTTCAGGGAGCAAGATCCTAACTAGAAATTGAAATAACATATTCTCTTGCAGAACGAATAAAAATTAAGAAAAACACCCTTCAACGGACCGAAGCACATTATAAATATTATTAGCTCACCTGTTCATTACCAGGATTATCATCATTAAATTCCATGCCCCCCTCCGATTTGGACTGATCTACAAAATACAAAAATGTATTAAGAGGCATGTAAATAGAGAGGACTTGTTCATGTTGTTTATTCATAAAAAAAATTTAAAAACATTATTTTTAAATTCATATAAAAGCTTGTGAAAAATTTACCTTCTATTCTTCGAAGAAAAATTCTCAGGGTCTCCTTGGCTGCGCCTTTCATCACCTCTTGAAACTCCTCAGAACTCGACATCGTGATTAAATCACCCTCATCATCTACAAATTAATCAATATGTGTTAATTAAATAAATTCCATTCATTTCAGAACCAAAATAATATAGAATAAACAATGATTCAAGGGGAACAAATATTTGGGGGAAATGTTTATAAATCGTTTCATAAACTATTAGTTTCCACTGTCATATTCCTTCATATTTTATTAGAGGATGTGACAAGCTTTATCATTTTTTGATAGGAATTTTTAGTGTCTGGAGAGATTTTCCTTTAAAATCCACTTTTTATACAACATACAAGGTATGTTAATGGTTTCAAAATAACTGTTAAATTCAGACTTTTCGCTAAGAATACTGTCTCCTTTTTATCTCATTTGCAATTACTAGTATATTACAGTGGATAAAGGTAGCCTAAAAAACTAGGTAAATGGAGGATTATATACGTCAAATATAAAATGACTGATTTTACCTTTCCAATGGAACGTAAAAGATCCAGTCGTTTCGCCGAACAACTCTGACACTTTTCTCTCTAATTCAGCGAAATCTGGATCATTTTCCAGCGTCGTCCGGCGTATTTCTGACTCTTTGGCAGACATGAGCGTAACTTTCACTTTCAACATGATTTGTTGATACACGTGGTTTTGTTTACAAATAAATAATAACTTGAATTTTTTTCTTTTAATAAGAAAGTTTGTACCAGTACCTTTTAGGAATTTGATAGTCTTATACGTTCAGCTGCTATCAAAATATTCACCTGGGCGCTTCTGTGCTCAACGGCGCTTTGGGCGCCTTTATATAGGCGCCGAGTGGTTAGTCATGTGATTGGTATTTCGTAATCGAGTCACGTGAGGGGTCATGGTAAGTTCACGTATCATTAATATTCATTATTCACAAAGTTTAATAAACAATATTTCTTTAATTACATGACTTTTCTGCTAGCTAAAGATGCAGAAATATAGGTTTAAATAAATCATTATACAATACATTGCAGATAATGCCTAAGAATTAAGATATAATGACTTAGAAGACATGCTAATTTAAATATTCATTACGTGTGGGTTGGCGGAAGTACAAGATTTAGAACATTCTTGATATTTTTAGAATTAATCACATGACTATTATTAGCGCCCTATAAAAGCGCCTGTTGGCGCAAAAGCGCACTTATTGACGCTTATACTTTTAAGGAAAATTACATTGAATTACATTTGTTAGTAAAAAGAACTGAATAATTTTATACTTTCAAATAAATACTTACACGTGGAAAATGAGAGTAAATATCATATCTGAAAAAGGTATATTTCATGCTATTGATTTTGTCGAGGGGAGTCCAGAATTTACATCAATGGTGTCATTAATCAAAGAAAATTTTCCTCATATACAGAGGTACACTCTTCAATGGAAAGGTATATGTAAAAAGAACTATAAATAGTACAATCTATAAATAAACAGAATATCTTAATTTCGTTGTTTTTATTGGTGTGTAATGTTTTTGTTTATGTATGAAAATATGTTATTGTTATAAATGAAACAGCGATAGGGATTTTGTTTATCTGATAAGCCCTAACCATGGTACCTGATTAGTGCCCTTATCTTGGAAGTCTAATTAGTGTCCTAATTATGGCGCTTATCAGATGCCCTAATTGTATCAAGTGTCTTGACACCTAACGATGGTGCAGAGGCCCTAATACTTGGAGCCGATTGCCCTAATAGGTGCCCTAATGATGCAGCCTAACGCCCTAACAGGTGCCCTAACGATGGAGCCTAATGCCCTAACTAGGTGCCCTAAATCACGTTAGGTGTCAGACAGGGTATATAAGGGGAGAGAGTTAGTGAGTTGATATACATAGCTTGGATTTGATTTGTAAAACTACTCTTGGATATTGTTAATACACTCGTTGAAACGAACTCTGGTGTTGTTCTTACGTTAGATTTATAAAGATCTAGAGTTCCTGACTTTATACACGGGATCCACAATATTTTGTGACGCGGGTAACAACAAACACCCCATAGAAAAAACGTTACAATTGGTGGCAGTGGTGGGATCCATAGAAATTATTCTACGTGTAACACAGGAACGAGACAACACAAAGTTTGAAATGGAGACACCCATCGTAAGGAGGAGAATTACGCCTAGAAAGGTAGGACAGTACTTCACCAGTCCAGCTCCTCTGAATGACTCTGGAATAGAGGTCGATGCGGGGTGTAGAACAAGTTTGCAGCCCACAAGTCGAGTAATGCCAGACAATCCTAACTTTCAGGAGTTCGGGCAAAATTCGCAGGGTCTTTCTGTTCAAAACGAGTACAATCTAAGGCCAAGCTTAAAGAGAATCCTATTTATTTGGGTACTCTTTGCTTTGATGGGATACTCCCTGATGGTGATGACCTGGATCTATTTTCCAGAAAACGAGATCGTGCAGGAATCTCAAGAAAATGCAGTAATTTCTCTAGTAGCGATAACGAGCATGTTATTGCTTGTTACGGTAATCAGAGTAATATGGAGGTATGGAGGATCCGGTCTGCCAAATGCCAGTAAGGAAAGGGAAATTTCTTTGATACCCAGTGATACACCCTATACTGGTGGTAGTGCACCTAACGCCCCTAAAGGTACCTATCAGGAACCTAAGGTTTTGGGGCAATCTGGACGCGCTACTCCTTATTTGGGCAATCAGTCTCTTCAGGGACTTGGGTGCAATCTTGAATTTCCTATGGCTGACGGGACACCTAAAAACAGTCCTATGACACCAAATGCTGGTCAACGAACCAACGAATATCCAGTAAGGAGGACCTTCTCAGGGGCCAATGATGATGTTTGGGATGAGTTTTTACACTATTTTGAAAACATCTCAGAATTAACTCATGGGGACCCGAGAAATCTCGCAGAGTTTTGCTTAGCACCTTGCGAAGACAAGCCGAGAGCTATGCATATGGAATGCCCCTTACTGTACAGAAAGACTATGAGCAACTTAAGGATAAGATGAACCAAAGATTCGGGCATTCTGCAATGAAAGAAAGGTATATTGCAGACGCCAATTTGAGAAGAAGACTACCGGGCGAGTCCCTGCGAGATTTAGGACAGGCCATCGAAGATTTGTACCGAAGGGCCTATCCAGGAAATCCAGATTTAGTTGAAGAAAATGCTATACAGTCCTTCTTAGATAAGTGTGGATAATCTGAGGATTTTGGACTCGCAGTGAAACGGACCAGACCTAGGACACTTCAAGAAGCAGTTCTTAATGCAATGCAAGAAGAGTGCTTGCGGATTGGGGAAAAAGAATTGCCAAAGGAGACAAAACCAGGCTATAAGCCTGTGTATGAGATCGAAGATGGGGAATGGAATAATGAAATAGCAGCTGCGGATACTGCCAAACCTCCAAGCGCGGGTGACGGATGCAACAGTATCTATAATAATATGAGAACCCCAAGTGCATGTACCAGTACAGGACCAGGGAGGAGGGGACGCCCTTACAACCCGTGGAACCAGAGAGAAGGAGGAAGACTTCAACAAAGTGACAGTTCTCAAGACCATAATTGTGTTGAAAAGAGAACTGTAAGGAATTATATTAACTAAGATGACTGATGCCGCAGGTCAGGTGTCAGTCAACTTTATACGGCCTAAAACCTAAGGAAGAAAATCCTAAATCAGGAAAAAGGGAAGAGAAAATGTTGAAAATAAGGCCAGGGAAATCCAAATGTGAAGCTACCAGTGTGATAAACTTTTGATTTAATCTAGTGACATTTTTATTTGATATAATTTTGTTGTTTTACTTTTTGTCGTTTTATTGATTGTTTGGCTTTTGTGTATTGGGCAATTTTTTTTTATTTGCATAATGTGATTTTACGTATAACTCATGTTCATGTTTTAAATATTGATGACAATGGAAGTCATGTTTCAAAAGGAGGGACCAATGTAATGTTTTTGTTTATGTATGAAAATATGTTATTGTTATAAATGAAACAGCGATAGGGATTTTGTTTATCTGATGAGCCCTAACCATGGTACCTGATTAGTGCCCTTATCTTGGAAGTCTAATTAGTGTCCTAATTATGGCGCTTATCAGATGCCCTAATTGTATCAAGTGTCTTGACACCTAACGATGGTGCAGAGGCCCTAATACTTGGAGCCGATTGCCCTAATAGGTGCCCTAATGATGCAGCCTAACGCCCTAACAGGTGCCCTAACGATGGAGCCTAATGCCCTAACTAGGTGCCCTAAATCACGTTAGGTGTCAGACAGGGTATATAAGGGGAGAGAGTTAGTGAGTTGATATACATAGCTTGGATTTGATTTGTAAAACTACTCTTGGATATTGTTAATACACTCGTTGAAACGAACTCTGGTGTTGTTCTTACGTTAGATTTATAAAGATCTAGAGTTCCTGACTTTATACACGGGATCCACAATATCTTGTGACGCGGGTAACAACAAACACCCCATAGAAAAAACGTTACAGGTGCATAAATTTGTTTTCAAACCAGATATATTTTGATGACAATCTTTGAAAATGTAAATGAATCTTATGTTTAGTGGAGGTTATGTAAATATTATTATATAAAAAGAAATTGAGATTTAAAAAAAAAATAAATTACAGACAGTGATGGAGATATGATTACGCTTTCCTCCCAAGAAGAGCTGAATGAAGCAATCACCTACAGAACCTCCTGGGATCTCAATATCTATATAACAGGTATACCTAACTAAGGAACTCTATCTAATGTTTTATCTCTTCTTAAAAAATTGCCTCATGATAATGTACACCTTGAAAATAATGGGCACTCTCGCACACCAAATTAACTTTATACTAGGTGCGAGTGATTTAATCGAAATATAGATTTTAATTAATTGTTGGCACTTAATGGAAAGACGAAAAAGAATATGTTATAAAATTAATGTAGAGTATGCACATTCCATATTTTGTTTCGTTCTAAACAATAAGAAGTGAGGCAGACGACGAGAAAATATAACATCTCAATTTTTATGTATAATCAGTCGAAAATGAAATATTAAAAAAAACAAACAAAACTTTTAGGGTTATTTGTACATTATCGATATCATGTAATGTAGTTAGAATGCAAAAATAGGAAAAGGATATGTCGACCCCAGATTAAGAAAGGCCAAAAATTTTATGGAAAAGGGGGGTTCAAACCAAAGTGCCTGTGCTGACACAACCTTCCTCATTAAAAGATCAAGAAAAAATCTTGATCTGTGTTTGTTATTGGTTAATTTAAATATTTTCTCTTTTTCAGAATTCTCTGACGAAAATTTGAGTGGGTTGTACGGTACAGAAGATACTGGTTTAAACAGACGTGATAGTACCACACATCACAATACACATCAAACAAATCCACACTGGGACAGAATAAAATGTTGTAAAAGAGTGGAAGCAGTAATGGAGGAATCTCCAGATAGTCTGCCGGATTTCTTTTCAATTACTAGAGTTCCGTGTAAAATCCATCGTCGGAAACCCACGGTCGGTCTCGCTTCTCTTACCTTTCTTACCTCTTAGGTAAGAGAAGCGAGATCGACCGTGGGTTTCCGATGATGTGAAGCGAGGCGACAGGAAGCGTCTTCGTCATCGGTTTCCAGCAACCATCTGCTACCTATGTCACAGAAATGGAGGGAGGAAACGTCTGCGTGATGTAAATAAATCACTAGAAAACATGTGTATTTCATGATTGATAGATTTATAATTGTGTTGACACAGAATTGCAGTTGATGACTTATTCCGACTTATTCCTTTGCCTAGAATACAGTACCCAGTGTCGAAATAAAGGGGGGCGCACCCGGCGCAACCCTAGAATTGTCAGAGTTAGCGTAAATCATAGTTTCGTCGGGAAAATGTAAAAAAAAATGCCTACTGGGTAGACCTCATTTTTTTACCCTAAAAAATCTCTAGAATCCAGAGGCTTTAAAAAAAAAGAAAGAATTTGGACCCACTGGGGGCCTCAAGGCGGCCCCCAGACCAGCTGCCTACATTTAAATTGATGCCTCCTCTAACTTCAATTCCTGGATCCACACCTGATACCTTATTTCTTATTATGATGTTTTAAATGTATTTTAGACCAAATTTTTTAAATAAATGCAGCAGTCCTAGTTTCTTGTTTATCTATGCTGTGTTTTTTAAAACAGAAAAAGTGTGTGAGGTGATCGGGGCTGGGATAATGTTGAAAATGTTGACTAAATTAAGAACATTGTAATAATAAATACTGTATTAAATGCATAATTTTTTTCCTAAATATATGTATTATTTTTAAGCTGGAACAGTTTGTAAATAATTTGTATACAGTTAGGGGATTGTCATGCTTTTTATATTGATGAATAATATTAGATTGTGAATCTTTTTTTTTTTTTCATTTTAACCTTATTGATTATTAAGTACAGGTATTATTATTTAATATCTGTATGTTGACCTATTATACAAGGAGAGGATGTACATAGGCCTTGCCTGTTGCCCAATCCTCACTGTATTATCCAATAAAATATGTTTAAAGTAATGTTGAAAATAAATATGCCCTTACCTGGTGCTACCCAACCGCACCCAACAAGATGAGTTTCTTCTTTTGTTTTTGTCAAAGTTTTATACAGTGGAGAAGCCTTAAATATTTGTCCCTGATATTCTTGGAAATAAAGTTATTCCTCATTAAAATAAAAAAGAATAGGTCCGTGAAATAAATCTCGACAGTCGACATTATGAGTACATGAATTGTCTCGATATTTTTTATGACCACTGGTGAACAAGGCGTGACTGTCTGTAGCTTCAATTGCTTAAAAATTCAATTCAATTTGTGAATAAAGTATTTTAAGAGCAAAGTTCCTATTATTATAATAAAATACTAAAGTATAATAATTATGACAACAACATTTTTCGCAAAAAAAAATCCATAACAAAAATATTCTGTGGTCGAAAAATAGTTCCTCTGTAATTGAGCCTGGTACCAAAGTATCCTAACTAAAAGTTCCTTCGCATGGAGCAACCCGCAAACCAAACAATTAAACTATTTTCTAGTGAGAAGCTCATTTATCCTTTTCCCACCTTACATATAAAAATTAGGACTGAATATCATCTTAAGGAACGCTCCCAGAATGAAAAAAAAAGTTTTATCCCACCTCCCCAAACTGAAATTGCTTTTTACGGACCTCATAGTACTTCAATTTGTGGGAAACTTTCATATACTTGTGAAATTGTTGCAAATTGTGGTGTTTTTACATAAAATGAGTTAATGCTCCTTCGAAATTCTTGGTTGTTAAATTTGTTTTCTTCCCTCCCTCCTACGATTTGAAGTTTTTTTTAGTGATATTAAACGAAAAACAAGATGTGTTTGTGAAACACTACGCGCCCGGCGGCAACAAAGTTCAAAAAAATATTTTTAGCAGATAAATCACAGTCAGGGTCACAAGGTAATTGACCTTGGTGTCATTTGGAAGAGCTTAATTAGTGAAGTAAGCATACCAAATATGAAGTCTATGTCTCGCAAGGTTCAAAAGTTATGGTGAAAGTTCTGAAAAGCTATTTTTAGCATATTGGTCAGGCAAGGTCACAAAGTCATTGACTTTGATGTCATTTGAAAGAACTTTATTAGTGTTGTATGCATATCAAGTATGAAGTCTCTACCTCTCATGGTTCAAAAGTTATGGCAAAAGTTCGAAAAAGCTATTTTTGGCATATAGGTCAAAGTCAAGGTCACATGGTCATTGACCTTGATGTCATTTGAAAGAGCTTCATTGGTGGAGTATGCATACCAAATATGAAGTCTTTATCTCTCATGGTTCAAAAGTTATGGCGAAGGGTAAAGTTGACAACAGACAGACAGACAAACAGATAAACAGACAAACATACAGGACAAAAACAATATACGCCTCGTATCTACCGATCCGGGCGCATAATTAACTCACCCAGTCTTACTCAATTTATTTGCCCATGAGGAATTTGAGTCTGAAATTGTTGTTCTTACTTTGGGACGATCTTTGAATTAATGTTCCTCATCCTTAAAGAGGTTTTCCCAGAATAAATGTATAGTACGTACGTAGTACCGTTTTATGTATCATGGTCACTCGATACCACTTTTTTTGTCCGTATTCTGTGTTCAAGAGACTTTTCAGAGACGGGTATTTATCCTCAATAAAATAAATAACAATAAATACTAGTGACACGTTTATTACGTACATTATAGTAAATTTTTATTCACAAGAAAAAGACAAGAGATGGGAAAACATTAATATAAACTATGAACATCTTTTAAAAATTCTATATACTGCGGCATTGATGTACTTGTGACGTTAATAATAAGAATATTTGATAAATTCTAGCACAAAATCAAGCAAAATAACAATCCAACAACCCATTAAAAAGTAACTTAATATATAAATGCAATGAATTTTTAAATGCAATGAAGTGCACATGCATCTTTTAAAAATCAATCATATTCTGCAATGTCTATCAAGCATGCAGTATGGCTGTTGATATTAAAAACAAAAATTCTGTATATGAACATTAATTTATTTTTTTTCAAGAGAAAACAGTAGATAATTTTACTAATATTTGAAAAAAAAATACAATCACAATATGTTTAACGTTATACCTTTCATATCAAATCCATAAAAAAGCACACAAAACCTAATGTTAGATATGAGTAATAGCTTTAAAATAAAAAGAAAACGTGCGTCCATTTCGATTTCGTTTGTCGGGGATCATCTACCACGGACAGTCACGTGGACGCATTCTTCTCGGTCCACAAGATGTAATAATCTCTCCGACATTCCGTGGAAATTCGGGCGACAGAAAACGGACTCTTTCCTGACGACATCCTTGACGACGCAGCCTTCTTCGATGCTGACGCTCGAAGTCGTGCCCACGCGATCTTCCCCGGAATTCTCGTCCACATCTTCTTCCCCACAGTTTGTTTCCTTGATCTGCACTGTACTGGTTGAGAATCTTGTCAAGTTTCCGTGCTAGTTTTCTGGGCCTCATTCCATCGTCATTCATTCGAACTTTCAAAGTGAGGATTCGTATGCCGTGTTCTTTAGTATTTCTGCATTTTGTGGAACCATCTCTATCCGTAGATTGATGGTGTACCTTTATTTTGCATTTCCTTTGTCGTTTTGTTTCCATTTCATCCTCTTCAGTCATTTCACGGACTTTGGCGGGGGTTTCCTGAGCTTCACTAGAGTGCCTTTTGCGCCCACATCTGTGCTTGCAGTGATACTTCTTTTTGCTTGTCTCCCCTGATTGGTTCTCATCTGTTTCGTCATCCCCGCCACGATATCGACGGTATCTGCAATTTCTCCTTCTACTGACACCTGTTCCTGTGTCTCTTTCTTCGGTGCCTTCTTTACTCTCCTCAGTGCTCTTTGTCCCTACATCCGATTCTTCAGTACCCTCTTTATCCTCCTCAAGGGTCATTGTTTCAACAAGTTCTGAAATTTCAGGTTCCTCGTCATGTTTATTCTTGGAAGCAGGATCATTGACGTTCTGTGACATTTCATTTGCAAGCATAGCTGCTCTTCTTCGATAGCTTTTACGGCGCCGTCCAAGACACCTCTTCTCTTCTCCACAGGTGGAATCAGTAAAAGATTTGCAGACAGAACCGTCTTCCTTGATCTTGAGCCATATTTTTGCATTTTGGAATCTACGGTGTCTGTATCTCGGAGAAGCTTGAATCTCGTCATCTTTTTCCCGCCTACACACAGGGACGGATGTTGACCGTCTGCATCTTTTTCCATGCATCATTATTCCGAAATCGTTAAGATTTCTTCCAAAATGACGAGTAGGTGAAGCCGAATTAGCTCGCTTGCCACATCTTTTCCCTAGACAACATTCCCGATTTCTCCTTCTTGAGCGGCAACTACCGCGCGCCATATATGCATCATCCAACCTCTCTCTAAAATGTCGGGCAGAACGCTGATTGCACCTCCGACGCCAGTAGTTCCCGTTCCATCGGCAACAAGAGCCAGGCTTTTCATGGCAGCCTTCACTGGACATTGAATTCTGACGACTGCCACATCCGATTCGGAATCGATCGATGCTATCACCAGGTTGATCAAATCTTTCACGGTTCTCAAATTTGCGACGCATAAACCTTCTCATCCTCCTTTCAGAGAGAGGTTCATCATTCTCCGGGTGTTGCTCGGCTTGTCTGAACCTACGAAGTGGCAGTGGACCCTGACCTTGACCCAATCCTCTCCAATAACGTCGGCGGCGCCCCCATCTCCTGGTTCCATATTCTTCCGGAGTCAACTTTTCCTTCAATTTAGAAAAATATTTTTAAAAATAAAATTAGGATTGAAATTCTAAATGTTTAGATTACTAATAAGAAATCTCAGGGAGGAGGATTCTAACTGGAAATTGACATAAAAGGTTATGTTGTTCGTTTTTCAAATCGTTTATGTCAGAAAATGTATTCGATCTCTTGCAGAACGAGTAAAAACTAAGAAAAACATCCGTCAACGGACCGAAGCACACTCTAGACATTATAAGCTTACCTTTTCATTACCAGGATTATCATCATTAAATTTCATGTCCCCTTCCGGTTTGGAAAGATCTACAAAATACAAAATTGTATTAAGAAACACATAAATAAAGAGGGCTTTTTATTCAGAAAAAAAACTCAAAGCAATATGCCTAAATTCATTTGAAAGTCGGTGAAGCATTTACCTTCGATTCTACGAAGAAAAATTCTCAGGGTCTCCTCGGTTGCGCTTTTCTTCGCCTCTTGAAACTCCTCAGAACTCGACATCGTGATAAAATCACCCTCATCATCTAAAAATTTAATCAAAGTGTTTTATTTTAATAAATTCCATTCCATTCATTTCAAAATAATATAGAATAAATACTGATATATGGGGAAAACAATTGTTTGGGGAAATATAGATAACTCTTTTCATAAACTAGAGAAGTGGGTTGTCATATTCCTTCATATTTTATAAGAGGTGACACACTTATCATTTTTATAGGAATTTTTAGTGTCTGGAGAAAGGAATTTTTAGTGTCTGGAGAGATTTTCACAACTTTTTAAAATCCGCTTTTTATACAACACATGTTAATGGTTTCAAATTTACTATGTTATTTAGGCAGTATTTTCACTTACAATCGGTTCCTTTCTATCTCATTGCAATTATGTTAAAGTGGGAAAAGGCAGTCTACACTACTAATTAAATGAGGATTATAAGTCAAACATAAAATGACTGATTTTACCTTTCCAATGGAACGTAAAAGATCCAGTCGTTTCGCCGAACAACTCTGACACTTTTCTCTCTAATTCAGCAAAATCCGGATCATTTTCCAGCGTCGTTCGTCGTATTTCTGGCTCTCCGGCAGACATCAGGGTGACTTTCACTTTCAGCATTATTTGTTGATACACGTGGTTTTGTTTACAAACAAATAATAACACCTTCAATTATTTTCCGTTAACAAGAAAGTTTGTACCAGTACCTTTTAGGAATTTGATAGTCTTATACGTTCAGCTGCTATCAAAATATTCACCTGGGCGCTTCCATGCTCAATGGCGCTTTGGGCGCCTTTATATAGGCGCCGAGTGGTTAGTCATGTGATTGGTATTTCGTAATCGAGTCACGTGAGGGGTCATGGTAAGTTCACGTATCATTAATATTCATTATTCACAAAGTTTAATAAACAATATTTCTTTAATTACATTACTTTCCTGCTAGCTAAAGTTGCAGAAATATCGGTTTAATTAAATCATCACATAATACATTGAAGATAATGCCTAAAAATTAAGATATAATGACTTAGAAGACATGCTAATTTAAATATTCATTACGTGTGGGTTGGCGGAAGTACAAGATTTAGAACATTCTTGATATTTTTAGAATTAATCACATGACTATTATTAGCGCCCTATAAAAGCGCCTGTTGGCGCAAAAGCGCACTTATTGACGCTTATACCTTTTTAGGAAAATTACATTGATTTACATTTGTTAGTAAAAAGAACTGAATAATTTTATAAACACTCAAATAAATACTTGTAAACACGTGGAAAATGAAAGTAAATATTATATCAGAAAAAGGTATATTTCATGTAATTGATTTTGTCGAGGGGAGTCCAGAATTTACATCAATGGTGTCATTAATCAAAGAAAATTTTCCTCATATACAGAGGTACACTCTTCAATGGAAAGGTATGTAAACAGAACTATAAATAGTACAATCCATAAATAAACAATATCTTAATTTCGTTGTTTTTTTGTTTTCAAACCAGATATATTTTTATGATAATCTTTGAAAATGTAAATGACTCATATGTTTAGTGGAGGTTATGTAATATTATTATATAAAAAAAACTGAGATTTAAAAAATAAAAAATTACAGACAGTGATGGAGATATGATTACGCTTTCCTCCCAAGAAGAGCTGAATGAAGCGATCACCTACAGAACTCAGGAGGATCTCAATATCTATATAACAGGTATACCTAACTAAGAAACTCTATCTAATGTTTTATCCCTCCTTCAAAAATTGCCTCATGATAATGTACCCCTCGAAAACACTCTCGCACACCAAATTAACTTTATCCTAGATGCGAGTGATTTAATCGAAATATAGCAATTTTGATTAATTGTTGGCACTTCATGGAAAGACAAAAATGAATATGTTATGAAATTGATGTATGCACATTCCATATTTTGTTTCGTTTTAGACAGTAAGAAGTGAGGCAGACGACGAGAAAATATAACATCTCATTTTTTAGGTATAATCAGTCGAAAATTATATATTAAAAAAACAACTAGGAGGATTATATGATGTACATTATCGATATCATGCAGTGCATGTTAGAATGCAAAAATAGGAAAAGGATATGTCGACCCCAGATTAAGAAAGGCCAAAAATTATGAAAAAAAAGGGGGGGGGTTCCAGACCAAATTAAGTGCCTGTGCTAACACAACCTTCCTCATTAAAAGATCAAGAAAAAAATCTTGATCTGTCTTTTTATTGGTTAATTTAAATATTTTCTCTTTTTCAGAATTCTCTGAGGAAAATTTGAGTGGGTTGTACGGTACAGAAGTGATTGTTTTAAACAAACGTGATAGTCTCACACATCACAATACACATCAAACAAATCCACGCTGGGACAGAATAAAATGTTGTAAAAGAGCGGAAGCAGTAAAGGAGGAATCTCCAGATAGTCTGCCAGACTTCTTTTCAATTTCTAGAGTTCCGTGTAAAATCAAGAGACGTCTAAAGCGAGGCGACAGGAAGCGTCTTCGTCATCGGTTTCCAGCAACCACCTGCTACTCTCGTCACAGACATGGCGGGAAGAAACGTCTGCGTGATGTAAATAAATCACTAGAAAACATGTCCATTTCATGATTGATAGATCTATATTTGTGTTGAGATAGAGTTGCAGTTGATGACTTATTCCGACTTATTCCTTTGCCTAGAATACACAGTGGCGAATTTAAGGGGGCGCACCCGGCGCTCCCCTAGAATTGTCAAAGTTAGCGTAAATCATAGTTCCGTCGGGAAAATGTCAAAATGTCTACTCGGTAGACCTCATCTGTACCCTACAAAAGCTCTAGAATCCAGGAGCTTTAAAAAAAAAGAATCTGGACCATCTGGGGGCCTCAAGGCGGCCCCAGACCAGCTGCCTACTTTTGGCGCCCCCTCTAACTTCAATTCCTTGATCCGCGCCTGATACCTTATTTCTTATTTTGATGTTTTAAATGTATTTTAGACCAAATATTCGATAAATGCAGCAGACCTAGTTTCTTGTTTATCTATGCTGAGTTTTTTTTAAACAGAAAAAGTGTGTGAGGGGATGGGGGTTGGGATAATGTTAGAAATGTTGACTAAATTAAGAACATTGTAATAATAAATTCTCTATTAAATGCATAATTTTTTTCTAAATATATGTATCATTTTAAAGCTGGAACAGTATGTAAATAATTTGTATACAGTTAGGGGATTGCCATGCTTTTTTTATATAATATTGATGAATATTATTAGATTGTGAATCTTTATTTTTTCATTTTAACCTTATTGATTTATCATGTACAAGTATTATTATTTAATATCTGTATCTTGACCTATCATACAAGGAGAGGGTGTACATAGGTCTTGCATGTTGTCCAATTCCTATTGTATTATCCAATAAAATATGTTTAAAGTAATGTTGAAAATAAATATGCCCTTGCCTGGTGCTACCTAACCGCACCCAACAAGATGAGTTTCTTCTTTTGTTTTTGTCAAAGTTTTATACAGTGGAGAAGCCCTATATATTTGTCCCTGATATTTTTGGAAATAAAGTTATTCCTCAATGAAAAAAGAGGTCCGTGAAATAAGTCTCGACATTATGAGTACATGAAATGTCTCGACAAATTTTATGAATATTGGTGAACAATGCGTGACTGTCTGTAGCTTCAATTGCTTAAATACGAGGGTTGATCCAAAAGTAATGTCACTACTTCGATAAAATTGCTACTTTTCGACGTAAATCAACGAAATTATACATGATTGAAGCTGTATTTATTACAAATCAGTCCTGAAAAATTCCAATTAAAATGATTCATACTTTTTAAAATATGGAATTATATACAAAGTACAATTACGGTAGTCGCCGCACCTAAATAACGTCATATGACGGATACGCGCCGTCATACACTTGAACGCTTCCCCTTCATTTCATTAAAAATATTTGAGATTTACAAACACAATCACATATATAAGAATTTTTTAATAAGAATTATTGGCACCCATTATACACTCACTATACATATAATTTAGTCCGCTGTCAAAATTCTTTGAATAGTACCATAAGACAAACTCAAAGTTTTTTATATCGCTGTAACTGTCAAACCGTCTCTCTTTTTGGACAACGTTAGACACCATTGAACATTTCCGCCCGACCTTCCTTTTTCGGTCTTTCTGTCCTTTCCTGATCATTCAGCTAGTGACCCATGACTCGCTGAAAATTGCTGAAACCATCTATAAACAAGTCTCTCCTCTGTATGTCCGATTAATCATCGTAACTGTTTCTAGGGGCGATTTCCCCATTTTGTAGCAAAAATGCATTACAGCTCGTTTCAGCGGTTATCCTCCATTTCGACATTTCCATTATTCATTACAGCAGATTAAAACAGCAATGTTTATGATCAAAAAGCAATGGCGTCATTTTATTTTCAACTTAAGACTAGAAAATGCCGTAAATTTTGTAATTTTGAAATATTGGGTGATTAGAAGCTTTTTTAGATGCTTTTTAATGTATTTGTCTTTTCTCATTTTAACAATTTACACTTTAAAACGTGACGTTTAGTTGTGACGCGGCGACATCCCTTATGTTTAATATTTTAAACGTCTATAAAATAGATTTAATTAAACGTTATTCAATGAAAATCTCAATTTTGATTAAATTTACTTTTATGCATCTTTTGGTATAAGATATTTGATAATATGACGCCAAATACTAAAGATATTGACACAGTGACATTACTTTTGGATCAACCCTCGTATTAAATTCAATTTGTGGACAAAGTTCCTATTATTATAATAAAACACTATAGTATAACAATTATGACGACAACACTTTTCGGAAAAAAAATTTCCATAAAAAAATATTCTGTTGTTTAAAAATAATTCCTCTGTAATTGAGCCTGGTACCTAAGTCCTAAGTATCCTAACGAAAAGTTACTTCGTATGGAGCGATCAGCAAACCAAACAATTAAACTATTTTCTAGTGAGAAGCTAATTTATCCTTACCTAACCTTACATGTAATAATTAGGACTGAATATCATCTTAAGGAACGCCCTCAAAATGAAAAAAAAGTCTTATCCCATATCCCCAAACTGAAATTGCTTTTTACGGACCTCATAATACTTTAATTTGTGGGATATAACTTTCATATACTTGCATGTGAGATTGTTGCAAATTGTGGTGATTTTAAATAAATGGAAAATCCTGGTTAGGAATCAGGAATCAAAATCCATATAAGAATTTGAACCTGAAATTGTTGCTCTTACTTTGGGATGATCTTTGAATTAATGTTCCTCGTCCTTAAAGAGGTTTTCACAGAATAAATGTATAGTACGTACGTAGTACCGTTTTATGTATCATGGTCACTCGAAACCATGACTTTTTTTGTCCGTAGTTTGTGTTCAAGAGAGTTTTCATAGACGGGTATTTATCCCCAATAAAATAAATAACAATAAATACTAGTAACACGTTTATTAGGTACATTATAGTAAATTCTTATTCACAAGAAGAAGACAAGAGATGGGAAAACATCAATATAAACTATAAACATCTTCAAAAAATTCTATGTACTACGGCATTGATGTATTTGTGACGTTAAAAACAAGAATATTTGATAAATTCTAGCACTAAATCAAGCTTAATAACAATCCAACAACCCATTTCAAAGTTACTTAATATATAAACACAATAAATTTTTAAATGTAATTAAGGGCACATGCATCTTTTTAAAAAATCATTCATATTCTGCAATGTCTATCAAGCAGTTGTTGATATTAAAACAAAATTTCTGTATATGAACATTAATTTACTTTTTTTCAAGGAAAAACAGTAGATAATTTTACTAATACAATGTATTTTAAAAAAAATACAATAACAGCATGTTTAACGTTATACCTTTCATATCAAATCCATAACAAAGCACACAAAACCTAATGTTAGACCTGAGTAATAGCTTTAAAATAAAAAGGAAACGTGCGTCCATTTCGATTTCGTTTGTCGGGGGCCTTTTACCACGGACAGTCACGTGGACGCATTCTTCTCTCCCCACAAGATGTAATATTCTCCCCGATATTGCGTGGAAATTCGGGCGACAGAAAACGGACTCTTTCCTGACGACATCCTTGACGACGCAGCATTCTTCGATGCTGACGCTCGAAGTCGTGCCCACGTGATCTTCCTAGGAATTCTCGTCCACATCTTCTTCCCCACGGTTTGTTTCCTTGATCTGCACTGTACTGGTTGAGAATCCTGTCAAGTTTCCGTGCTAGTTTTCTGGGCCTCATTCCATCGTCATTCATTCGAACTTTCAAAGTGAGGATTCGTATGCCGTGTTCTTTAGTATTTCTGCATTTTGTGGAAGCATCTCTATCCGTAGATTGATGGTGTACCTTTATTTTACATTTTCTTTGTCGTTTTGTTTCCATTTCATCCTCTTCAGTCATTTCACGGATTATGGCGGGGTTTTCCTGGGCTTCACCAGAGTGCCTTCTGCGCCCACATCTGTGCTTGCAGTGATACTTCTTTTTGCTTGTCTCCCCTGATTGGTTCTCATCTGTTTCATCATCCCCGCCATGATATCGACGGTGTCTGCAATTTCTCCTTCTACTGACACCTGTTCCTGTGTCTCTTTCTTCGGTGCCTTCTTTACTCTCCTCACTGCTCTTTGTCCCTACATCCGATTCTTCAGTACCCTCTATATCCTCCTCAAGGGTCATTGTTTCAACAAGTTCTGAAATTTCAGGCTCCTGGCTATGTTCATTCTTGGAAGCAGGATCATTGACGTTCTGTGACTTTTCATTTGCAAGCATAGCTGCTCTTCTTTGATAGCTTTTACAGCGCCGTCCAAGACACCTCTTCTCTTCTCCACAGGTGGAATCCATAAAATATTTGCAGACAGAACCGTCTTCCTTGATCTTGAGCCATATTTTTGCATTTTGGAATCTACGGTGTCTGTATCTCGGAGAAGTTTGAATCTCGTCATCTTTTTCCTGCCTACACACAGGGACGGATGTTGACCGTGTGCATCTTTTTCCATACATCATCATTCCGAAATCGTTAAGATTTCTTCCAAAACGACGAGTAGGTGGAGCCGAATTAGCTCGCTTGCCACATCTTTTCCCTAGGCAACATTCCCGATTTCTCCTTCTTGAGCGGCAACTACCGCGCGCCATATATGCATCATCCAACCTCTCTCTAAAATGTCGGGCAGAACGCTGATTGCACCTCCGACGCCAGTAGTTCCCGTTCCAACGACAACAAGAGCCAGGCTTTTCGTGGCAGCCTTCACTGGACATTGGATTCCGACGACTGCCACATCCGGTTCGGAATCGATCGATGCCATCACCAGGTTGATCAAATCTTTCACGTTTCTCAAATTTGCGACGCATAAACCTTCGCATCCTCCTTTCAGAGAGAGGTTGATCTTTGTCCGGGTGCTGCTCGGCTCGTCTGAACCTACGAAGTGGCAGTGGACCCTGACCTTGACCAAATCCTCTCCAATAACGTCGGCGGCGCTCCCTCCTCCTGATTCCATATTCTTCCGGAGCCAACGTATCCTTCAATTAAAAAAATAATATTAGGATTGAAATTCTAAATGTTTAGATTAGTGATAAGAAATCTCAGGGAATAGGATTCTAACTCGAAATTTACATTGAAGATTATATTGTTTTTTTTTCAAATTGTTTATGTCAGAAAATGTATTCTCTTGCAGAAAGAGTAAAAACTAAGAAAAACATCCGTCAACGGACCGAAGCACACTCTAGACATTATAAGCTTACCTTTTCATTACCAGGATTATCATCATTAAATTTCATGTCCCCTTCCGGTTTGGAACGATCTACAAAATACAAAAATGTATTAAGAAACATATAAATAAAGAGGGCTTTTTATTCAGAAAAAAACTCAAAGCAATATGCCTAAATTCATTTGAAAGTCGGTGAAGCATTTACCTTCGATTCTACGAAGAAAAAATCTCAGGGTCTCCTCGGTTGCGCTTTTATTCGCCTCTTGAAACTCCTCAGAACTCGACATCGTGATAAAATCACCCTCATCATCTAAAAATTTAATCAATACCGGGTATGTTTTAATTAAATAAATTCCATTCCATTCATTTCAAAATAATATAGAATAAATAATGATATATTGGGAACAATTGTTTGGGAGAAATATATATAAAACTTTTCATAAACTAGAGAAGTGGGTTGTCATATTCCTTCGTAATGTGTCTGGAGAGATTTTCACAACTTTAAATTTTTCAAACCGCTTTTTATACAACACATGTTAATGGTTTCAAATTTACTATGTTATTTAGGCAGTATTTTCACTTACAATCGGTTTCCTTTCTATCTCATTGCAGTTATGTATAAAGTGGGAAAAGGCAGTCTACACTACTAATTAAATGGAGGATTATAAGTTAAATATAAAAAGACTGATCTTACCTTTCCAATGGAACGTAAAAGTCCCAGTCGTTTCTCCGAACAACTCTGACACTTTTCTCTCTAATTCAGCAAAATCCGGATCATTTTCCAGCGTCGTCCGTCGTATTTCTGGCTCTCCGGCAGACATCAGGGTGACTTTCACTTTCAGCATGATTTATTGATACACGTGGTTTTGTTTACAAACAAATAATAACTTGAATTAGTTTCTATTGATGAGAAAGTTTGTACCAGTACCTTTTCGGAATTTGATAGTCTTATACGTTCAGCTGCTATCAAAATATTCACCTGGGCGCTTCTACGCTCAATGGCGCTTTGGGCGCCTTTATATAGGCGCCGAGTGGTTAGTCATGTGATTGGTATTTCGTAATCGAGTCACGTGAGGGGTCATGGTAAGTTCACGTATCATTAATATTCATTATTCAAAAGGTTTAATAAACAATATTTCTTTACTTACATTACTTTTCTGCTAGCTAAAGATGCAGAAATATAGGTTAAAATAAATCATTACATAATACATTGCAGATAATGCCTAAAAATTAAGATATAATGACTTAGAAGACATGCTAATTTAAATATTCATTATGTGTGGGTTGGCGGAAGTACAAGATTTAGAACATTCTTGATATTTTTAGAATTAATCACATGACTATTATTAGCGCCCTATAAAAGCGCCTGTTGGCGCAAAAGCGCACTTATTGACGCTTATACCTTTTTAGGAAAATTACATTGATTTACATTTGTTAGTAAAAAGAACTGAATAATTTTATATACACTCAAATAAATACTTGTAAACACGTGGAAAATGAAAATAAATATTATATCAGAAAAAGGTATATTTCATGTAATTGATTTTGTCGAGGGGAGTCCAGACTATACATCGTTGGTGTCAGAAATCAAAGAAAATTTTCCTCATATACAGAGGTACACTCTTCAATGGAAAGGTATGTAAACAGAACTATAAATAGTACAATCCATAAATAAACAATATCTTAATTTCGTTGTTTTTATTGGTGCATGAATTTGTTTTCAAACCAGATATATTTTTATGATAATCTTTGAAAATGTAAATGAATCATATGTTTAGTGGAGGTTATGTAATATTATTATATTAAAAAAATTGAGATTTAAAAAAAAATAAATTACAGACAGTGATGGAGATATGATTACGCTTTCCTCCCAAGAAGAGCTGAACGAAGCGATTACCTATAGAACACAGGAGGATCTCAATATCTATATAACAGGTATACCTAATTAAGAAACTCTATCTAATGTTTTATCACTCCTTAAAAAATTGCCTCATGATAATGTACCCCTTGAAAATACTGGACACTCTCGCACACCAAATTAACTTTATCCTAGATGCGAGTGATTTAATCGAAATATATAGCAATTTTAATTAATTGTTGGCACTTAATGGAAAGACGAAAAAGAATGTTATAAAATTGATGTATGCACATTCCATATTTTGTTTCGTTTTAGACAATAAGAAGTGAGGCAGACGACGAGAAAATATAACATCTCAGTTTTTATGTATAATCAGCCGAAAATGAAATATTAAAAAAAACAACTTTTATAAATGTACATTATCGATATCATGTAACGTATGTTAGAAAGCAAAAAAAAAAAGGAAAAGAAAAAATCTTGATCTGTCTTTGTTATTGGTTAATTTAAATATTTTCTCTTTTTCAGAATTCTCTGACGAAAATTTGAGTGGGTTGTACGGTACAGAAGAGATTGGTTTCAACAGAGGTGATAGTATCACACATCACAATACACATCAAACAAATCCACGCTGGGACAGAATAAAATGTTGTAAAAGAGCGGAAGCAGTAACGGAGGAAACTCCAGATAGCCTGCCGGATTTCTTTTCAACATCTAGAGTTCCGTGTAAAATCAAGAGACGTCTGAAGCGGGGCGACAGGAAGCGTCTTCGTCATCGGTTTCCAGCAACCACGTGCTATCCACGTCACAGAAATGGCGGGAGGAAACGTCTGCGTGATGTAAATAAATCACTAGAAAACATGTCCATTTCATGATCTACATTGCGTTGAAACAGAGTTGTAGTTGATGATTTATTACTCAAAACTTGTAGCTGATCGGCAGTGCATGCAATGCCTGGAATATCATATTTTAGTTTCATTATTGATGTTTCAAATGTATTTTAGACAAAATATTAAATAAATGCAGAATTCCTAGTTTCTTGCTTATCTATCATGTGTTTTTGAGATTGAAAAAGCGTGTGTCGGGGGTTGGGGGTGTTGAAAACTAGAGTCACAGTGAGCACTGAGCTCAAGAATGCTCCTACCTTTCTGATCGACATATTTCATTTTATCAAATAAAATCTGCAATTTGACTATTTTTGCAGATACTATCTAATACTAGAGGTACTGTGAGCAATGAGCTCATTAAATGATGTCCTTCCATATGAATATAATGGCAGTGTTCATAATTTTGAAAAAATATAGCTTTCATAAACTCTTAGAATTGAGAAACGTCTTCTCAGAGCGGGGGATTGTCCTCGCCTTGTACGCCTCCATTCTTTGATGAGACTTTCACAGAATCTTTATTGCATGTTGCCATTGTGCACCTCCTATTTTTACTTTTTGAACCGACATATATTTTGGGTTTCTCATAGCTATTAAATAAAACATGGACACTGTCATTATATTCATATGGGAGGCAGGGGGTATCATAATATAAAAAGTGCATAATAGCATTATTAAGGGTACCCTTCAACAGTTCAATCTTATACAATGACAGATCAATGTTTCGACATGGGAAACACGAAATATGTGTCGATAAAAAAATAAAATAGATGCGCAATGGCACTATGTAACATTCTGTGAAAGTTTCATTACAATTCATTTGGGTATATGAGTTGTGGATAAAAAATGGGTTACCAAAAGAGTAAAAGATGGATGGATAGTCCGATCACTTTCTACCCTCCCACTTTTCAAAGGGGGGGGGGTTATATCTGGAGCTACTATAAGCTAAAGCACTGAGCTCATTAAATGATACCCTGCCTCTCAAATCATTATAATGGCAAAGTCATTCAAGGCCGTAACTACCATTGAGGCAAGTGAGGCAAATGCCTCACTAAATTTTTAGAGTTTTCTGAAGAGTAAAAAAAATTACATTGAACTTATGAATTATGTGTGTCTTCGTGCAAAATTAATATTTCCAACTTTTGTTTCAATTTCTGTAAATCCTTCATCTCACCAGGTACCTCATTTTCATTTAGAACGCATGTAAAATATAATTCAAAATGTTTGTTTTGTAAATTGTTTGATTGTTTAAAATTCCTTCTAAGAATTTCTCATTCATATTGAGACACCACTACTTGACGGTGGAGGGCTGCAAGTTTTAAATTTGCACTGAAGATGATTCAACAATGAGAGATCTTTTTGTGCCATCATTTACTGCGACATAGGACCTCAGTTTTTACGGTCTCGTCCGAAGTCCTGACCGGTCTCCACATCCCGCAGTGGGATTCGAGCCCGCGATGAAAGGACTTAGTCTGTTACTCTAGAGCATTGTGGCAACGCACTTTGAAAAAATTACGCACTTTGAAAAAAAATCTTCAAAGTGCGTTAAAATTGGGACAATATCAACGCACTTTGAAAAAATTTTTCAAAGTGCGTTAAATTTGGGACCAACTCAACGCACTTTGAAAAAAAATTTCAAAGTGCGTTAAGATTCTACATCAATATATTTTACCATGGAGACACTTAACGCACTTTAAAAAAAATCATATTTTAGTCATGGAAAGATTTTATTTGTTATTTTACTTATTTATCTTTCAAAAAACTAAGCCTAATCCTAACTTCAAAAAGAATTGATTTACTCTCATCGAAAAGAGGAGAAGACGGTATAAGATCCCTCAGTCCAAATCTTTATCTTTCCTGTGCTGTTATGCGATCATTATGTTTAATTTGATCGGGTTTGGTATTTCATTTTTTGTAAACTGGTGTATAAAATTATCTCCTTTGACTGAAGATTCATTGTCCGTGCAGTTTTAGCGCCATTAGTTTGTCGGGGTAGCCAAGTCACAAATGTAAGTTTTATACTTATTCTTTTTGATAATTTGGTTCAAGAATTTATTTGAATTGTAACATTTTAAAGGTTTATTGCTATACAGATTTGCGTATGGAAATTTATTATTTATTTTCTAGTGTAAACTTTGTAATTCTTTCTGCAAGTTTGTAATTTTATTTGCTTGGCTAGACTATTGTATTTTTGGTATTTTTGAAGGTGAATTTTCTTATTTACTAGTGTTTAAATGAACTTGTAACATTTTTGAGCTGTGTAACATCATATTTATGAAAGTTATTGTTATTTTGTAGCTTCTTACCGCTAGACGCTATACGCTATACGTTATACATTACCATCGTTAGTTACCATCGTCAGTTGTCATCATACATCATACAGTTTACTTAAGACTTACAAGATGTGAATAAAAGTATAAACTGTTTCCAGTGCTTTGCGTGGTGTATCATTAGCGGTTAACTATGCAAAGGGCAGAATAGTAAGAAGATTTACTCTGGCTACTCGACAATGGCCGACAAACCTGATCCAGGAGAACCTGATCCAGGGAATATAGAGCACGGAACACATGAACCTGCTCCAGGAGAGACTGATCCAGTGAAACACAGTTCTATACTACAGGATGATGAGCGAGTTTACAGACACAGGCAAAAAACAACGGCAGGCCAGGACCTTTATCTTAATAAAATTGACGACTATCAAAGGAAGTTAAGTAAACTATGGAGGAAAATGGAAGACTCTCTTATTCTCATTGATCAATCTAAGGATAGTGACTTAAAGAAGTTGAGAAAAATTGAAGATGATCTTATAAAACTTCATACAAAATATTCTAGAGTAAGTGAAGAATACCTGTCTTATTTGAAAAGACATTCAGATCGTGAAAGGTTAGAAAAAACGTCGCACGATTTACAACGAAAAGAAGGTGTCATTGACTCTGTACTGAAACAGATGGAAAATTTAAAGTTAGAGGCAGCAGAACATCTGTCACAAAGAATGTCGGAAAAAGGCTCATCACATGGTTCTTCCATAGGATCACAGATCGACAAGAAGGAATGGACTGAAAATTACGTAACCGCTCATTTCAGTGGAAATTTGCAAAGTGATAATATTCCTAAGGACATCGAACTACCTCCAAATAATCTTCCTCCAATCAATCCTTTGTCCTTTGAATCACCCAGAGAAAAACTTAACGTTCAAGCAACGCCAAAACCAGAGAAACCATATATGTTGAACCCATTAGCACCTTCCTTCGTACCAGATCTTCATCTAAGTGAAACAAAGAAAGATGACCCTATGTTAGGAGGACTTGTCCAATTCTTGTTGAAGAAAGATTTGTTGCTCACTCGTTTTAGTAAGTTTACTGACAATCCTGAACAATACACTGTGTGGAAAACAAGCTTCAAAAACATCGTTAAAGAACTTAATGTGTCTGCGTTTGAGGAAATGGACTTGCTTGTAAAATGGCTCGGACCGACATCTGCCAACTTTGCGTCAAGCATTAGAGCTTCAAATGTTCATTCGCCAGAGAGAGGACTTCGTAAAATATGGGAGCGACTACAAGAAAGATATGGTCGTCCAGAAATGGTTGAAGCAGCACTAAAGAAAAAGTTAGACAACTTTCCCAAACTTACTACAAAAGACATGAACAAGTTGTATGATTTGTTAGACATTCTGTCTGAATTAGAATCAACCAAATGTGATGAACACTATTCTCATTCACTGTCGTACTTTGACACATCAACAGGAATCATTCCTATTGTCAACAAACTACCCTATGCTCTGCAAGAAAAGTGGACAAATCGTGCAGCCACATACAAGAAACAGTATGGTGTGCCATTCCCACCATTAACATTTTTTATTGACTTTGTTAGAGATATGAGTCAAATGAAGAATGACCCGGCATTCATGTATGAAAGTTCACGAACATCAGCTAGTTCAACACCAAAGAAAGAAAATAAGAAAGACTTTATTGTGAATCGCAAGACTTATGTACAGCATGAAACTATGAAACGTTGTCCAATACATAAAGCTGAACATTCGTTACTGAATTGCAGACAGTTTCTAAGCAGAACACCTGAAGATCAACGCAAGTTCTTGAAAGAGAAACATATATGTTTCAAGTGTTGTGAATCGACTAGTCATGGATCACGTGACTGCAAAGTGAAAGTAAAGTGTGAAAAATGTGGCAGTACAAGTCACCGGACATTAATGCACTTTGACAGATTGAAGAAGATGTATGACAATCCTGTTGAACCTACAGTAGAGCATGGCGGGGAGAGTCAATCGTCTGAAAACGTGTCATCCAAATGTACAGTGTTATGTGACAAACCTTCCATTGGACGTTCATGTGGAAAAATTGTCTTGGTAAATGTTTGTCTTCAAGATCAACCCAGTAAAGTTGAAAAAGTCTACGCCATATTGGATGATCAGAGCAACAGAACTCTTATTTCTCCAAGTTTATGTGATCGTCTAAATGTACATGGACCTTCTACCCAGTATTTGCTTTCATCATGTGCAGGAACAACCACCATGGCAGGAAGAAGGATTGATGGCTTACGTGTCGAGTCAGTGTCAAACAGTTATCAGTGTGAACTTCCTGTAGCAATTGAGTGTGATGAAATCCCTAATGAGAGATCAGAAATTCCCACGCCAGATGTTGCATTTTTCCACAAACATTTGAACGCAATTGCACATCAAATACCTTCATTTGAAGAAAACGTTAAAATAGAACTTTTAATTGGCAGAGATGTTCCAGAAGTACATCATGTGTTGGATCAAATTACTGGACCAAGAGGAGCCCCATTCGCTCAAAAGTTAGGATTAGGATGGGTGATAATTGGTGATGTCTGTCTTGGAAAAGTACACGAGCCTGACCATGTGAATGTAATGAAAACTTCAGTTCTTAGCGATGGACGTGTGACACAATTTGAACCATGTGAAAACCATTTTCATGTGAAAGAATTTCATACATCAGAAACATGTGACTATTTATTCCACCGATCACGTGATGATGACAAGTTAGGTTTGTCTGTGGAAGACCGTAAATTCCTATCTATCATGGATCAAGAGTTCCAGAGGGATCAAAACGGCAAATGGATTGCTCCACTTCCATTTCGTTCACCAAGGCCCGTTTTACCAAATAATCGTCCACAAGCATGGAGAAGAGCACAGATTCTGGACGCAAGTCTGCAGAGAGATGAAGTGAAAAGAACTCATTTCATTGAATTTATGAAGAAAGTGTTGGACAGTGGTGCCGCAGAAGTAGCCCCTACTCTCGGTGCAGATAAAAAAGAAGTTTGGTACCTTCCTATCTTTGGTGTGTACCACCCAAAGAAGCCAAACCAAGTGAGAGGAGTATTTGATTCTTCTGCAGTCTACGAGGGAATCTCGCTCAACAAAGTGTTGATGAAAGGACCTGACCTTACTAACAGTCTCCTTGGAATATTGATTCGCTTCCGCAAAGACAAATATGCTGTCATTGCTGACATAGAACAGATGTTCTACCAGTTTTACGTAAAGGAGGAACAAAGAGACTTTCTTAGATTCTTCTGGTATAAGGATAATAATCCAGAACTTCCCCTCATCGAGTACCGAATGTGTGTACACGTATTTGGCAATGCTCCATCTCCGGCAATAGCAACATACGGCCTGAGGAAAGTAGCAGAAAACTGTATAGACTCTTACGGTTCTGATGTGAATGACTTTGTGCTCAAAAACTTTTATGTAGATGATGGTTTAGTGTCGGCACCATCTCGAGAAAAAGTGTTGGATTTAGTTTTGCGTACGAAAACAGCATTACATGATATGGGCAAGATCCGCCTACATAAGATTGCTTCAAATGACTGGGAAATTTTGAACAGTTTTTGTGAAGAAGACTTGAACAAGAATCTTAAAGATATTCAGTTTGGAGAAAATACTTCTGTGTTGCCTATCCAACATAGTCTCGGTCTATCATGGGACTTAAATACAGACTGTTTTGTGTTTCAAATTCAAGAAGATGAAAAACCACACACTCGACGAGGAATGCTTTCATTTCTTAACAGCATTTTTGACCCACTTGGATTTCTGTCGCCTATTACAATAGCAGGGAAAATTCTCCTTAGAGAAACAACTGGTATTGATTGGGACCAGCCTCTACCAACCTCTCTAGACTCCAAGTGGAAGGACTGGAAAACATCTCTGAAAGATATACATGAACAGAGGATTCCACGAATGTATTTACCTGTATCTTTGAGCGATCTCAGCAACGTAGAATTGCACGTTTTCTCTGATGCATCAGAAAAAGCCATTGCAGCTGCCGCATATCTAAAAGTCGTAGATGCAGACAACAATACCTACCTTGGATTCATTCTAGGAAAGTCCAAATTAGCGCCAGTCAAAGGACATACTATTCCCAGATTAGAATTGTGTGGAGCCGTCCTTGCATCAGAAATCGGAAATAGTGTATTAGAACAGTTAGACATGAAACCTAGTGTGGTGAAGTACTATACAGACAGTAAAGTTGTTCTGGGATACCTTCATAATGAGACAAAACGATTCTACACGTATGTATCAAATCGTGTGTGCAAAATACTGAAAAGAACTTCTGCTGAACAGTGGAATTACGTACCATCTAGCAAAAATCCAGCAGACTGTGCTACACGAGAAAATACATCATGTGAACAACTTACAAGCAGTGAATGGCTACAAGGACCTCGATGGCTTTTAGAACAGTGTAATGATGATGAGACCATTGAAGATTTGCAATACCCATTAATTGATGCAGAGGATGACAAAGAAATTCGACCAGAAGTCAAAGTCACAAAAACTACTGTTGAAACATCCAAGAAACCTTCTAGTTTAACAGAACTGTGTGAAAAATATTCAGACTGGAGAACTCTAATCAAATCAATTGCTATTTTTCGGCATATCGTCCAAACATTCAAACACAAACTTCATCATGTGTGTTCTGGATGGCATGTGTGCAGAGAAAGTACAAGTGTTCAGTCATGTCAAGATGCTGAAAAATTCCTATTAAGAGAATTACAGAAACAGTTTTTCAGCAAAGAGATTCAGTGTCTAAAGGAAAAGAGCTCTCTACCAAAGAACAGTACGATTTCAGCTCTTTGTCCATTTTTGGATGGTGATGATCTACTTAGAGTTGGTGGGCGACTCAACAATGTGAAACATGTTCTACCAACAGGAGAAATCAATCCGATCATAGTTCCTAAAAACCACCATATCACTACACTTCTCGTAAGGTTCTACCATGAATCCGTCAGACATCAAGGTAGACATATTACTGAAGGAGCCCTTCGGCAGAATGGATTCTGGTTGATCAGTGCAAAACGAACTGTATCATCATACATTCACAAGTGTGTTACATGTAAGAAATTGCGCGGAAAACTTGAATATCAAAAGATGGCTGATCTACCGTGTGATAGACTTACATCTGGTCCTCCCTTCACATCAGTCGGGATAGATACATTTGGCCCATGGAAAGTGGTAGCTAGAAGAACACGTGGTGGAGTGATCAACAGCAAGCGATGGGCTATTATATTCAGCTGTTTGTCTACGAGAGCAGTTCATATAGAGATCATAGAAGAAATGTCAAGTTCTTCATTTATTAACGCTTTACGTCGCTTTGAGTCATTACGTGGACCTGTGAAAGTGTTCAGATCCGACAGAGGCACAAACTTTGTTGGTGCAACAGATGAACTTGGCATACAAGCGTTAAATGTGGAAGATGGACCCATCAGTAACTATTTAAATCAAACTAAAGCAGTGTGGATTTTTAATTCCCCTCATTCGTCCCACATGGGAGGTTCATGGGAACGCATGATTGGTCTGACTAGGAGGATTCTTGATTCCATGCTCCTGGATCCAAATGCTAAACAGTTAACTCACGAGTCCTTAACTACTTTCATGGCAGAAGTGTGCGCCATTATGAATTCCAGACCTTTGGTACCGATTTCTACAGATCCGGAATCAACACTCGTACTCAGTCCTGCGATGCTATTGACAGGAAAAGTGAACTTCTTACCTGTGTTACCAGAAAGCGTCGACACAAAAGACATGTATCGTGCACAATGGAAACATGTACAAGTACTTTCCGACATATTTTGGAAACACTGGAGACAAGATTACCTACACAATTTACAGTACCGACGCAAATGGAGAGATGACCAACCAAATTTGAAAATCGGTGACGTAATTCTTTTGAAAGATGCAGCAGTGAATCGCGTCAATTGGCCTTTAGGTGTGATAACCGAAACTTTTGAAAGCAGTGATGGTAAAGTCCGCAAAGCTCGCGTTCGTGTTCGAAAGGATGGACAGAATGTGATTTACACGCGTCCTGTATGTGAAATGGTTTTCCTTACAAGAGGATAGGAAAATTCTGTGATGTGAAATAGTGTTATCAACAAATTGTGTCATTTGTGATGTCATGTTCCATGATAATTGTGTTCCACAAAATATTATCTGTAAAATGTCGTGACAGATGTTAATGTAAATGTCATGTGTTGAGTACATGCATGTTGTTTTATCATGATCCATGGTAAAATAGAAGCTATTTTGATAATTCGATGTTTCATCAAGATTCATGAAGTATTGTTGATAATTTCAGTCATGTGTGTTTACTGTGTTTCATAGTGAATATTGTTACCTATCATGTTCCATGATATTGATATTTTTTGAATTTGATGGTCCATCAAGTTTCTTAATTGTCATTTCTTAGAACGTACGTTACTATTGTCCGGAAAGCGTTCCGCTACACTTTGTATATACTTGTATGTAAGTTTGTTTAATTTGGTAATATTTTAAATATTAGACGGGGAGTGTGCTGTTATGCGATCATTATGTTTAATTTGATCGGGTTTGGTATTTCATTTTTTGTAAACTGGTGTATAAAATTATCTCCTTTGACTGAAGATTCATTGTCCGTGCAGTTTTAGCGCCATTAGTTTGTCGGGGTAGCCAAGTCACAAATGTAAGTTTTATACTTATTCTTTTTGATAATTTGGTTCAAGAATTAAGTTGAATTGTAACAAATTTTAAGGTTTATTGCTATTCAGATTTGCATATGGAAATTTATTATTTATTTTCAAGTGTAAACTTTGTAATTCTTTCTGGAAGTTTGTAATTTTATTTGCTTGGCTAGATTATTGTATTTTTGGTATTTTTTGAAGGTGAATTTTCTTATTTACTAGTGTTAAAATGAACTTGTAACATTTTTGAGCTGTGTTACATCATATTTATGAAAGTTATTGTTATTTTGTAGCTTCTTACCGCTAGACGCTATACGCTATACGTTATACATTACCATCGTTAGTTACCATCGTCAGTTGTCATCATACATCATACAGTTTACTTAAGACTTACAAGATGTGAATAAAAGTATAAACTGTTTCCAGTGCTTTGCGTGGTGTATCATTAGCGGTTAACTATGCAAAGGGCAGAATATTTCCAATACATAGGTGTCGGTAATAAACGGGGGAGGGGAGCAATAAACCTAAAAAGGGTACGCTGCATTTTCAATGCTTATACGATGTATATATCTTTCCAAAATAAGTGAGGGGCTTAGCCCCCATCCCCTCCCCTGGACCTTCGCCCAGTCTCGATGTCGATGCTATTCCCCATTTTCAAAAGGTGAGTTATTTCCCCTGAAGGGAACTCTTTTACTGTGTTTAATACGCATGCGCTATAAATTAAGTCACTTCCGCGGACGTTCTTGATGTTCGTGGTGTAATGCCTCTGTCATATGAAAAAATGTTATTGTGTTTGTGAAAAAAAGAAATCTTTACCGATTCGTATTTTTTTTAAATTGCCCACTCATAGTCTCTTTCTGGATTTGTATTAATCTGTGTAGTACTATAATAAGGTGCTGTGTGACCCCCCCCCCCCTTACAAAAAATGAAACAAATTACTGATAAAATGCTGACACATATTCGAATAGGCCTATTAAAAAAAGCTAATAAGCTAAATTTCGGTAGTGGATATTCTGCAGACGGATCATCATTATTTACAAAATGTGCGGAACAAATTTTTAGTTATAAAGTTTTTACGAATTAATCTAGCCTGCTTCAGCCATATTTTCTTTGTATCTCTAGGAATTTTTTGGTGACTGATGACATGTCCATCTCTGAAATTGCTGCATATACAGCAGTAGTTCTCTTCCGCGACCGATACCAAGGCACTGCGTTTTTGCTCGATTGTATGTCATAACATAGAACTTTTACTTACAAGAACACATTTGGTGACAATTAAAGTCCTATTTCATTTGAATTAACAGTGTTTCTAGAATTTTTTATTTGTAAAATAATTGATTCACTATATAGTATTAAAACTTTGAATGGAATTCTAAATGAATAATTTAATCTCATGTCCTTATCTAACGAAGAAAGACTAATTAAAATAGCATTGACCTGAATTCGTGTTACATATGTCGTATAAAGTCTGAGCTGCATTTAATCAAAGTTTTAGTGAAGGATCTAAGCATATATACATGTATATTCCCGAGTAAAATGCACATTTTGTTTTAGATCAGAGAATTGAGAGCAGAAATACGAAATTGATACAATAATTTCCTAGCGTATTTCTCGTTAATTAACGGAAAACATTCTTTTCTCAAGTGTTATTTATCTTTTTTAAATCCTTTCAGTGTAAGTACATCTGTTTATTTTCATAAGTTATTCTTTTTTGCAAAGTGTGTAAAAAACAATATCAGAGAGAGAGAGACTCATGCAACCCCGTGTAACTGACATACATGTACATCTGTGAAAAAAATATATGTACCGTAATTTTATTGAATTCACAATAATTCTAATGATTTTTAATTTTCACAACTATGGTTCATATTCAACTGTTCAACCCATTTACATATTCAGTATTCATTCTCTGTACCTGTACGCACGGCGGGGGGGGGGGGGGGTCAAGGGGCTTAGCCCCAACCCCACTTTCGTCCCAATGTTACTTTTTCTATTGAAAATGTTCGATAGACAGGTTGCCACCCCCCTCCACACACACACAGTTAATACTACGGTAAAGTTATATAAGGGAAATGTAGTATTGTATGCCAAGGAACTGGTACTGAAATAAGTAGCTTTTTCAACATTGGGCAAAGTTTTTCTTTGCTTGTCAACTTTTCCAGGTAAGAAAAAAATATTTATTTGGCTACCCCCCCCCCCCCCCCCCACTTTTAAAGACGATGCTACGTGTCTGGCTAATTCGTATAGCTTTCTAAAAGGGGGGGGGGCTAACAGACCCTTTATAAAATAATTTATTATCTTAAAAAAATGCAAACCGTTTCCTTCTTTTAAAATTTTTAAATACAGCGTGTAAGTTGATCACTATTTTATTGGATTATCGTATTGCGTAGTCCGCGGAAGTTAGGCTAGTGTAGAAGAGTTCCGATTTTGAGGGGAGATAACTCACTTTTGAAAATGGGGAATACTCAAAGCATGCATTCATATACATGTATGTATTTACCTAACTGGTATGACGTTGAAAACTTTCAATAATAGAGTTAATTAAAACAGATGAAAACAAGAAATTTTTAAGTACAGTAAAACGTATGATAGAGAAAGAATTTTCATAGTTTTGAACAATCAAATTGGCCCCTTTTTATTATGATAAATGCTAAGTTGCTTAAAGCTGTCCTCTGTTAGTGCCCCTATACACCTTTACATCTACTTATCAAAGACTAGAATTTAAAAAAAAAAAGAAGAAACGAATTAATGAACTTAAACAATCGTCACTCTTTTTTTCAAGACCATTTAATTTTCCCTTTTATTTTATCAAAACCTTAAATATTTAAAACGTCAATATCTCAGGTCCTACTGTGACTTTATCATAAAAAAGTTATCAAACCAGAATCTGTATTTTTATCATATCGATTATTTGAAGGAATATTGATCAATCTTTACATTTTTTCAAAGTGCGTTAATATGGTCGATATTTACGCACTTTGAAAAAAAATTATTTTTTTCAAAGTGCGTTAGCTTGGTCCCAAATTTTAACGCACTTTGAAAAAAATTTTCAAAGTGCGTAATTTTTCAAAGTGCGTTGTAACAAAGCTATATAACCACTGTGTCATGCGGACGACAACACAAAACGTACGAACTTTTAAAGATTAAATCTTTTATTTTCTAATACCTAGGTCTCAGGATCCCCCTCCCCCTGTAAAACCCCATCACTGGCCATCAGGTACAGTGTGTACTACCCTTATGGGACAAGGAGGGCCCAGCACTCTTGCCTCACTAAAATTTTTAGCCTAGTTACGTCCTTGACATTGTTTTGCTCTGAGTGACTAGAAACAAGTGTCTGATCAAAAAGTAAAATAGAAGGTGCACAAAGAAATTATGCAATAAAGAATCTGTGAATTTCATTAAGTAATCTTCAGTGGTATAGGAGGACTTGTGGATAAGAGATGGGTACCCTTCAATATTTTAGAGAGAATGGCAGTGTCCTTGTTTTGCTATGGGAAAATTGTAAATAAATGCACATAAAAATTTGACACTATAATATAGTTTATATTTTATTTAAACTTTTATATCTATTTAGTAATGAACAACACTTCTTTCTCTCACTGATACATTAACAACATGGATTTTTCTGTAAAACATGACCTCTTCACTGAAAAAAAAGAAAGAAAAGTATTAATGATACAAATCATGCATATAAAAAATCCACTGTATCTATCAGAAAATGAAACTCTTCAGGCTAGTTGAAATGTTATATTTAATGTTTTTTTTTTAATTGGTTTATTTCATTTTTCCAAACCTAGATACTTACCTCTCTAACCAAGGAAATTGATGACAACTAAATGAAGTATAACATGTGCAAATATAAAATCTGCAAAGGCTCTTTCTGGACTGATTCCGACAAAATCTGTCTTATTCTGAGGGTTAACCTGCAGCCTCAAACAAACTGTAAATAAATAATACAAATTTATTACAAATACTGCCATACTGTGTCAATTACATGTAATTTACTATACAGAACTGCAGTATTAAATACTGTAGACATGTGTCTAAAATTTCAGTTTGTTCGAAAGTTACCTTTCACAGTGATTTTAATTTCACTGTGAATTCAGATACTTTGTCTGTTTTTTAACTAAAATTGAAGTGAAATAATATTCACAATCGATGGTTTAGAGTTCGTGGAAAATTCTTAAATCGTGAACATAGTGAAATTTAAAACATCTATTGTATTCCACTTCTGCATGAAAACACTGACAAGGGTACCTCATCCCAGAACAGTTATTTGGAGTAGACAGTTACTTAGAACATTATGATTATTATATATTTATATACACAGAATATTTTTGTTCTTTTATTTCTTATGAAGACCATTGCCCAGTCTAATTAAAATCAAACCTTCACTAGCTCCTTTTTATTGTTTTGTCACGTGAAGCAATAAAACAATAAAAAGGAGCTAGTGAAGGTTTGATTTTAATCAGACTGACCATTGCTATTAATCAGTGCATAAAAGACACTAAGCCGGCCATATTTCTTGAACAATTGCTGTTCCATTAGTTTATATTCAATGACATATTCATTAATAATAAAATACTTAATATATTAAATTTTACTTTGAATGTTTTTTCATACAGATGTAAATATAAACAATAAAATGTCTTTCTTTGGTTAGTACAGGAATTAATGTCGCAGATATTGCAGAAAAAATTGCATGTCACTGAGAGCTGTTGTATGGGTTAATGTCAATGTATGTTACCATACTTACCAACAAGACATATTTTACAGATTACTTTTTGTGTGAAGGGTATGAAGTGTATCCATTTCTAAAAGGTTTGTTAGGATTAATTTGACAGTTATTTAAAATGCAACTCTATTTATTTTCTTCAAAGCGTTTCAGTGGTAATCTGCAATTTTCTGCTATATTAATTGCAGGTATGAGGTATTCTAACTGTGATGAGGGCCTGTCCAGAGACACAGGTTATTTATCCCATGATAAGAGTTGTAAATCTTTGAATGCCCATAGTGATTCCCACCCTACCCCTGGAGATTTTTAAAGATCCCTTCCTGAAAGATTCTTCCAATGTATTCCAATGCAAAACTTTGAACATAGAACATTGTGGCCCCAGTCTACCCTTGGGGGTCATGAGCCTTTGGCTCAGGTGAGCTCATCGTCGCAAACCACGGCCAAAATGTACGATCCTCTCCCATTCTGGCCGTGGTTGACCGAGGAGAGAATTCTTCGTAGCTCATTAAAATTTTGACCAATGCGAGTAAAGCATAGTCGGAAGATGAACTTTATCCCGACCTTCAATATCCAATCCAATTTTTTGTATACTGTTGACGTCATTTGTTGATTTCAATTGCGATGGAAACAAAACTTGCCACTGACTGAATATGACGTCACAATAGAGAGGCGTAAATATTCAAGATTACGACACTTTTTGTGATCAAGCAGCCACGGGTAGGAGAGAGCTATATGCGGACTCCGGACCGTGGCTTGAGACGATGAGGTGAGCTAGATGTCTATGTATAGTTTCTGGTGTGAAAGTCATGCACATAGTGCACAAACTGTATAACACTGTGTGTTTTCAAAAGTGTATCTATAGGAATTTGCAGTGGACAGAGGACATCAATCTGGATAGCTCAGTGGTTAAACTACCTGACAAGCAATGCAGGGAACCCGGGACGGGTTCGATTTCCACTCCAGCCATGTTTTTCCTTATATATGTATTTATGAATTTTCACTGTATGTTAACTCATTTCATACTACACACTGAATGGGCAAATTTTGTATTGTATTAAAAATAGCATTCCCGCGGCGAGGAAATTCGAACAAACCTGAAATTGGCTTCAGTATAAGATGGGGGAAATGTTTTTAAAATCATACCAGCTAAAACAAAGGAACCAACAGTTGAGATGAAACCAGAAAGAAATGAATTGAAAGGAAATGTTCCAACGATGGCACAGTAAGCGAACTGCACAACACCGGTCAGAAGAATGTAAACGAGGTAGGCATCCACGATTTTCAGCTTCCTGGAAGTGGATGTCATGTACTCATCGTAAAATTTCTTGACCACAGTCACCAAATTGTCAGACTGCAGTGACTTTGCAACACTCGTATCACCTCGTTTGCTCATTTTCTACCGGCTTTTTCGAATGCGAAGAGCCAGACGTGGCAAAATGATAGTAGTTCCAGATCGAAAGTAAGAAAATACGCAAGTCTGATATAAACGGAAAACTTTAAAATGATTGTCCCAAAATGAAAAGATTAAAATTCAGAGATTCACATGCAGCTTTCATATAATTTGTCTTATTAAAAATAAATATTGTGTCAATAAACAGTCGATATTTAAATATTAGATTTGAAGGCGTTTGATTAGCCATAAATCGAATCTATACCTAGCACAAATCGCGTCATTGGGTTGCTCTAACTTTTAATTAATGAATTCATTTCACCAAGAAATTTTCTTGGAAAATGAATTAATGCTATTTGCCGATTGATTCGTATCAATTCATGACATATATCATTCTTGATCATCACAAGGAACATGATACGGCGAATGTGACCGGTTGCGGGGGATGATCACTCCTCCATGGCACCTGATTCCACCACTATTTTTTTTAGAGGTCCGTGTTTGCTCGGCTCCTATTTTGTAATGTTTAAGGGACTTTTGAGCTTGAATACTGTTCGTTATTTTCATATATTTCATTCATGACATTTTTGTAAACTTATTTGCAATTCGAATTATCTTATTTTGCAACTTGCGATTACCTCCTACATATATCAACTCAGGCAAAATTTACAACTTTGCATAATAGTTATGATCTTCAACTAGAAAAAAGTGTTTACAATATCACCAAATGATAATACATTTATATCATCGACTCCAGAAACTTTGGATTTGGGGGTTAAATTAATTGGGATATTTTTTTTCTACTAATTGAGTGGTTACTAAATTATATTTTCATTGAAGTGTCTAAGTTATCGCAAAGCATGTAAAATGGGGGCTAGGAGGGGGAGGGGCACTTCAAAAGTTTTTTGCAAAGATAGACATAATATAGGCTTTGGAAAGTGGACGTAAGTGTAGCCTCCCACTTTCAACAGGTTACAGTATAGGTCAATAAAACTGAAAAAAACTGGTAGTGTTTGGCAAAAAAAATGGTACTCAAAGAAGTTCGAACCCCCCCCCCCCCCCCCCCCCCCCCCCCCCCCCCCGAAATAGGATTTTCGTGTGTGGACAATTAGCACATTTTCCTTTTTTTTTTTTGCTGCTGCTTTGTGGGTTTGATTTTTTTCTCTCTCACTTTGCCCCCCCCTTTCAATTTGCTTCGACGCCAATGCATTTATTTGTTCGTTGACATCACAGGGACTTACGACAATTTTAGCAAAATCGGGTATATAGTATAATAGGCTCCCCTATTATACTATAAAAAATTATACCTGGCTTTGCTAAGATTGTCTCAAGTTCCTATGGTTGACATTGACTGTTTTCCACACCATATGTGAATTTCCCATGAATAAAGCGAGGATTCTGTGGTAATGCACTCTGTTGATTGTGTTCACAAAACTGCAAGATGGTACTTCGAGAAAGTCTTTTTATTGACTATTGTTCATAAACGAAAAAAAGAAAATTGTTTGGAATCACAGGAACTTGACGTTACCTATTTTTCTTTTATATAGAATTAATAACCCAATACCTAATGTGTATTATTAGACATGTGGTTATAAATATTTTTTAAAGAAAACATGTAACGCAATAAATGTAAAGTATCGGCGTGTTTCTTGAACTTTTCCGTAAATATCCGGAAAAAAAATTCAATCGACCAAAACAATTTCGAGAGAAAAGAAAATTGTAGGGTCTGATTGAGTGGAGCTTTGGATAAGGAAATGTAAATGATGAAATCAGCGATCAAGTATTTCCAATTTGTTTTTTTAATCATATGCATTATAAATCCCGCGAGGACGAGAGTTCTAACCATGTGACTTGCTCTGGCGTACAACCAGATCACGTGACGTATTTTATCGCCATGATGGACAGTTGAATTTTTTTGTATCAAAGAAGCTGAATTTGTAAGTATTAATGTTGAAAGAAAAACTTCTTAACAGTAGCACAATATGATATATCGTTCTATTTTTTCATTCCATGACTAAACATTTTCGGACAAAACACTGTCCTATACATAAACATGCGCGCCAAGGTTTGTGTTGCGCGTCTCGTCAATAACAACACGCGGTATCGAAGATTGTAAATCATTGTTTAATCGTATATGAGAACAGAAAAGAAGTCTTACTATTACAATTAGCGTATGAACGTGCTGTTTAAATTTGTGCAATGTGTGAAAATCTATCTGAAGCAGTGTACGTCAACATAACATATCATATTACAACTTCTGTATATGGAAATCCGGTGCCACGGTCACATGATGCATATTAAAAAGAACATGCACCGAAAAAATTACTTGCAATATTTCAACTTTTTAATGGAAATATTCAGTGCAGTGTTTAATATTGGACGAACTACTGACTGTCACACATTGCACTTTATTCTTTAAATGTTTTTTATCAGCAGTTTTTAATATTTATATTTTTTTTATCAAAATGAGTTAATATATTAATTTATGGCACTTAATGACTAGAATTAATATCTCTTAGTTAAATTCTACCTGTGTAAATTTGTTGATTATTTTTATTAAACTTATTATGCTTAAACCGACCAAGATTTATATTTTGACTCACTCCAAAGCTCGAACTATAGCTTAATTTGATATTCATTTAAAATTTCAAGATGAAGTTAACCTTTAAGGCTTTATAACACCATGCAATAGAGAAACTTTGATTTAAATTAAATTTTCTGTGAAAAATTAGATGCTTTAATAGAAAGTTAGTGCTTTCTTTTGAAATAAAGGAATGTTTGTACAACTTGTGCACCCATGCAGCAATAAGTGCTTCCTACATAGCCTTCTTATACATGTATAGATAAATAAATGGCTAAATCTCTTCTGGTTAGACCATTTGCTTTAGAGTGGTGGAGTAAGAATTTGATCTTTGTGTTTCAGCATAGGCGTCAGAACTTGGGGGGGGGGGGCTTAGGCCTTATATAGTTTTTAACATAATGTTTTGAAGTGTTATAATTTATGAGTTCTTTAACAATAGAAGAATTTTGGAGTTATATCCCTTTGTCCATCTGTACAGTCAAAATAATGTTCATATTTCAATATTTACATTTGCTGTGTTTTTCTAGTAAGCCAACAGTGAAATTGATTTGAATACCATTTTAGTGTATAAATTTCAATTAATTACGTTAATCTCAAATATAAACAGAGAAACATGCGCTAACAACATCACAATGATTTTGACTTTTTTTGCTACAGATGCTTCAGACGTCTTAATTTGAAAGCAAATAAATACGAAATAGGGCAGCTTTTCTGTCTGTCTGACATGCGCGCCAAATATTGACATGGACAATATAAATATAAGGAATGTTTTCAAGTTTAGTGTGAATTATCCCTGGTGTGTGACATCACACAATATTTACATTGCATGTAGGCCTGAAATTTTTGAATACATTTTAGAAGCACTAGCGCCTACGTGACAAGTCTGTGTGATTCACACACCAATAACTCACACAAAACTTAAAAACATTCCTTAATTAACTCAGTTTTATCTGAACTGTTTCAGAATTTATACAGAAGTTGGACATGAAAATTATTTTAAAATGAATTTTACATAAATATTTTATTCATATGATAATTTAATTTAAACAATATTTTATTTATGTACATTTAGGTCAAGGTACAAAGCAAACAGTGATAATAAAAGAATGTACAAAAGAAGAGAAAAAAAACACAAACAAGAATGAATTTAGAAAAATTTAAATAAAATGAACAAATTCAAATAACAAAAAGGGCAAATTAGAGGGGGAAAAAGACATAGTACCGGTTTGGGGGGCTTCCCATATCCTTAACCTATATATGTTGTATCTGACAAAGTCTTATATAAAATGTTTTGTTGCTGCTATAAATGTATGTACAGCTTCAAATATTTGTATATTAATATCAAGTCCATGGCAAGAACTACTATTTAAAAATAAATCACATTCAGGGATATTGTCACAGCTTATGTGATAATTTAGATTAAAGTTCATGACATAATATTTCCACATATCCTTCCCCTAATGGTAAATTGTACTCTAAACAATAAATAAAAAGAACAGTTGTCACATTCCTATGACAACACTAAGGCCAAAAAAAAAAAAAATAGTCTTGTTTCCTGCTAGGCACCCGACCCTCTCTCTAACTTATGAAAGCATTCCTGAATTTTTTTGTTTCAAGTTGTTACCACTTGACACATGAAATTTAATTTTAAAAAGATGATATAGACCCGTGACATTTTTAATGTGATTTTGTATTAGTTCATATCCAAAAAATACCTTTAGAAAAAAATAAAATGAAAAAATAAAATAATTTTCCTACCTACCTACCTTATTTTTTTCAGGTTGGTAGCAGGAAACAAGAAATTTTTTTTTTTTTTGCCTAATAGAGGCTTTCTCTAACTATGACAGCTTCCTAATTTTATAGTTACCTACACATTGCATTATTTTATTTCATATATTAATAAAATTACATTTTATATTTCAGAAAATGGAATCTCACCGAGCTGAATCTCTTATGGCATCATGACAGAGGTGGTCAACAAATCAGATGTGGTTCAGAAGCCGTGCAGCAGCAATAAAAGAATCCCCCAGAATGTCACCATCAAGAGATCTGACGAAATTATCGCCATGGCAGCGTTGTCCTCCATTGGAAATGTTGCTGCAGCTTCCATTGACAGGAGCCACACACAGGAGGCAGCCGAATCATCAACCACTGCCGTAAATACCTCAAAAACCAACCAATTAAATGATATAAAGACTGAAGAACCCATCCCTAATGTCATTTATGTGTATGATGGATCAAAACTCCCACAGGTACATGGTAGGGTGGAGAAAGCCAGTATATCAGGAGTGTATCCCACCCCTCATAATGTAACAGTCCTCAAAGACGGAGACGGGATTGGTGTCAGTAGTGACCCTCAGGTCATCACACCAATAGCCAATCAGATGGTGGTCAGCAAAGAAGTCTTCAAATGTGGGGAGTGCAAGTATTCCACCCACAACCGCAGCTACCTGAAGCAGCATGTAGATCTGATCCACAATGCTGTGAGGCTGTACAAGTGTCCATTCTGTGACTATGCTGGAAAGAGGAGTCACTCATTAAGGGAGCACCTTATTGTTCACTCCAATGAAAGGCCATACACTTGTCCCCATTGTAATGCCACTTTCCGCAAGAAAGGCCACTTGACAAATCATGAAAAACTGCACAAAAAGTCAGTGAAGTGTCCCATTTGTACAGAATGGTTTCAGAGTTCAGAGATTGAGAAACACATGTTAGAAAAGCATAATGCAAGGAAATTTTTACTTTGTGACATCTGCAAATTTATGGCTCTGGACGTTCCCACCTTTAACAAGCACATGGAATCTCACCACACAACGGATGTTCAGAAGAAGCAGATCGTGTGTAGCAGCTGTAAGACTATGTGCCCTGACTACGATTCTTTCCTAGAACATGCTAAACTTCATGAAAATGAACTTGATGAAGAACCAAAACAAGATATGTCTAAAACACCAAAAAATGTCATGATCAAGTGCTCTGAGTGCGGGATAGTGACCTCGGACCAGGAATCCATGAGGGCACACATGTGGGTGCATATTAATCCGTCGCTTAAAAAGGAAATAATGGTTCCTGAGGCACCTGAGAAAACTATCAAGCATACTGCCTACAAGTGCCTGGACTGTGACTTTACCTGTGAAGAAGCCAAAGTATTTGTTGCTCACATGGTGCAACACAAACCAGATCTACAAAACATTATGCCTGAGCCAAAGAAATCTCACACAGTTTTAGCCAGTGAATCTCAAATATCTACAGAAAAATCACCCACAAAACTAATTTCTGAGAGCAGTGAGGAGGATATTGTTATACTTTCTGGTTCAAGTCCAGCAACAAAACAACAGATTGAAAAATATCTTGCAGAAAAATTTTCTAGACCTACTGTTGAAAAAGAGGCAGTTATAAATATACACCCTGTGATTCAACAAGTAGTTTCAAAGCAAGTTCCCCAAGGCAGCCAGAGTAATGCAGAACAATTACCATTTGTGCATGACCAGTCAAATGCCAAATTTCGGTGCACAATTTGTGGATACACCTGCGACCATCAGAGAACAATAAAAGCACACATCTGGAAACATTCTGGAAACAAAGACATCGAGTATCCTATGTTCAGGAATGGTCCTCTAAGTGTTTATGAAGATATGAGTGTTTCAGCAGTTATGAAAGAGTACGTCATCCCAGCAGAAAAGATACCTACAAGTGGATCTGAACCTGACCCGTCCAACACAGTCAGGGAGAAACCAGTGAAAATGGCTGTCAGCCCGATAGCCCCAGCATTGGCCAGTATGCTTGCTCAGAGAGCAAAGCAGAAACCAGAAGAAATTAGCAAGAACTTACCTCAGCCAGAAAAGCAAAGAAATAAAGTGAAAAATGTGGACTTGAATGTTCGTAATATACCAGGAACAGACTATTATGAGATTAACATTTGTACCAAAAATCCAGAAAAAATGGAAGTAAGCATTGAACAGAAACAGGACATGGGTCAAAAGATATACAGTTTTGAAGACGTAGAAATGCATGAGGCCACCAAACAAGGAGTTGTTGATTCTAGGCCAGTAGTGGTGGAAAGTGTGGATACATTATCATCTTTATCAACATACACAGGAATGAGAAGTGGTGAGAGCAGTCCAAAGTCCACCGTCCCTGAAGACACTGCGAGTGAAGACCAAGATTCAGGTGTTGCCTTGGACTCTTCTTCACAGGTGGAAGCAGATGCTCTGAATTCCAACCTGGCAGAAAACAGAAAGAACAACAAGACAATGGAGGTATTCCACCACTGTTCGGATGAGTTGCAGACGGTAGAGTGTGAGGTTTCAAGTGGAGATGGCCCTAGAAGTGTGGATGGTGATGATGAAGGAGTTACAGAAGATGAAAGATTGGAGGAAGTGCGGGAAAAAGCAGGAAGAGAGTCATCCTCCAAGAGAATGAGAACCACCTCTGTAACCACAGAATCCGCAGTGACTCTCCTTTCACTGCTTCAGAAAGGCCCCAACAACAACCCAGCTTGTCCTGTGAAAGAGGATAGCCAAAGTGATGGACAACAAAACGCCAAAGGCAAAGCAGCTGAAACTGAAAGCTCCAAAAAAGGTGGCATATCCTCCTCATTATTAGCTGTTATAGAGCAGCTCAGAGAAAGATCTAGAGAACGTGAATCACTGGAAGATGATTCAATACTTCCACAAAAGCGAGGCACAAAGAGGAAAATCAAAAGGGAATCTGAGGAAGATATCAGTGTGTTGGAAAGTATGGATAATGTGGAAAAGACAGAAGACTCAAAATACAGATGCAAACTATGCCACTATTCTCACTTGGACTCTTTTATGATAAGACAACATATGAGGCTTCACAAGGAAAAGAAGCCGTTTGAGTGTTCACTGTGCGAGTTCATTGCCATTTCAAGTGAAGATCTACAAGACCACATGATAAAACACTGCAAAGTTAGAACCTACCAATGCAAGTTGTGCAGCTCAGCATTTAACTACAAGAGTCAGTTGCGAGCACATATGCGTGCCCATAATGATAAAGACATTTTTGTTTGCGATGATTGCGATTATGAAAGTAACAATCCAGTCGCCTATCGAAATCATGTTCGAGGGCATGCTGAAAAGAAATTGTACAAATGTGAAGTTTGTGAAAATCGTTTTGTTTCAAAGCATGATCTACGAACTCATAAAAAGCTATTGTGTGGCAAGAACAGATCATTTAGTTGTGATGAGTGTGACTTTGTCGCCATAGGTCCTCAAGAACAACGCACTCATGCTAAGGTACACAACAAGGAATTCAAGTGTGCAAAGTGCGAGTATGTTACAACTAGCATTACCCGATTTCAGAGCCATACAAAAACTCATGATGAGGAACCTAAATCCCTGAAATGCGAGCTTTGTGACTTCCCTGCTGTTTCCAGTAGAAGCTTAAAGTCTCACATGAAACGTCACATCAACGACCAACGCTTCGTTCAGCAGCCCCTGGAGCAGTACAAATGTAACTTATGTGGCTACGTTTGTCACCACCTGCCTTCCTTGAAGTCCCACATGTGGCGCCATGCCAGTGATACAAACTATAGCTATGAGTTCACCAATGAAGTGATCAATGCAGCAATTGATTATGATTGTCAAATAGGAAACCGAGACTGCCAAGAAATTGACATAGCAGCATTCTTTAACACGATTAGACAGAAACTGAAAGAGAGGCTAAGGAAAGAGAAGACAGATACGGATAATGAGCGTGCGAACCAAGCCGTGTGCTGGGTGACCTTCCGATGTTGTCAGTGTGGCTTTGAGACAATCAATAAAGCGGAGCTGAACTTGCACATGAAGAGTCATTCTGATGTCATTCAGTGGACACTTCAGGTGCCGAAAGAAGATGTCAAGAAAATCTGACTGTTCCATACTGAAACAGACATGTGTATTGATAGTTGAGATGTCTGCTATCATAACTTGATAGATACGGGTATTTGTGGGGTTTTCATGAATCAGGGAACCATGGCATTGTAGTCAGTTTTAACACATGTAAATGTAGAAGTTTGTTATAGTATGTTAATATCTAGGGGTTAAGATCTATATTTGAATTTTTTGGCAGCCATAGTATCTGAGGAAGATAGCATAATTTTATTTTACTTAGCATCCATTATTAGGTTTCTGTGTTTAATATCTGTCATTGTTACATGGTTCCCATTTTGGAATTATCTTCATGCATATCTTAAACAGGAAGTATATTTATGGTGGACTTTGAGTGTTCCTACTTCTTACTATCACGAACCTGCCGGTAATCATTATCATATCTGTATGATGTAATGTTAATGTGTATTTGGGGATGGATGAAATAGATCTCTAGCTTTTTTTGTTTTATCTTTGTTTTGTTTTTTAGATTATTTTGTTCTGCCTGAGGTTGTGAATCTGTGAATAGGTGTATGTGTATTTCAGTTAAAGAAATGTGTGGGAGGGGCTGTTATAAGTACCATTTATTTGTATGTACCTTGTAAATGATTAAATGATGCCTTGGTCATGACACTGATCAGCTGTTTACCTACCCCCACATCACTTACATCTTGTCTTGTCAAGAATTCCTTGATGCACAGTCAAGTTTTTTTTCTCCGAGAAAACTAGCACTTTACAGTTTACAGTTACTACAAGTAGTTATAGAGATATTGAAAATTGGCCTTGTTTGAATCTTTGTTTTGTTTTTGAAACGTGCTATGTAAGTTTCCTTTTTATAACTTTTATATTTCATGTATTTTTGATTGTGCAGCTATTTGAAGTAATTAAATGAGAAAGATATTTACTGGAATACGATGTAGATAGGGGCTTACATTTTACATGTATAATATGAACTTGTTTTCTGTTAACTATTTTGTCCATTATGTGTAATTTTCAAACATAATCCTTATGAAAATGAATAGATTATTGCGTGTGAAATATTTTAGGATTTGTTTAATACAGGATGCGTTTGTTAGTGCTTAATTATAGCATGTTCTTTAATCTGTAGAGGACCCTGCTTTTAGATTTGATGAAATAAATTGAATGTAAAATTTCTTAATATTATTGTTATTAAAAAAGAAAGTGTGGTTCCTGTTTTTTGCTATTTGTTAATGACGTAGTGCGAATATAGAACTACTTTAAAAGTATAATGGCAACAGATACGCATGCATATGTAAAATGCATTTGATATGCTAGTATAACCGTAACAGCACGAAAGACATATAGGGACTCTGCAACAACAACAAAAATCAATTGGAGGGAAATATAGCCGACAAAACCATTTATGAGTCTTTTCTAATCATGACAAGGAGCACACGACGGATGTGACCGGCCGGCAGAGCACATGACAAGGAGCACACGACGGATGTGACCGGCCGGCAGAGGGTGCTCAGTCCTCCATGGCACCTGATCCCACTTCTGATGTTTCGGAGGTCAGTGTTTGCTCTGCTCTTATTAGCTCACCTGAGCCGAAGGCAGCAGGAAGCATTCTAAAGTGGTGTAGATTCAAGTTTGTTCAAAACATTACCACCGGGGGTAAGGTGGAACCACAATAGACGATCAAAATTTTACATAGGAATATAGAGTATAATTCTTTAAAAATCTTCTCAAGAACAGCGAAGCCATGATTGGTGATATTTATATGGAAGCTTTCTCAGATAGTGTAGATGCAAGTTTGTAAAAACCATGACCCCCGGGGGTAGGGCAGGCCCACAATGGCCGACCAAAGTTTTACATAGAAATATATAGGAAAATTCTTTAAAAATCTTCTTTTCAAGAATAACAAAGCCATGATTGATCATATTTATATGGAAGCATCCTCAGGTAGTGTAGATTCAAGTTTGTTCAAATCATGACCCCCAGGGGTAGGGCGGGGCCACAATGGCCGATCAAAGTTTTACATAGAAATATATAGGAAAATTCTTTAGAAATTTTCTACTTAAGAATAAGAAAGCCATGATTGATCATATTTATATGGAAGCATCCTCAGGTAGTGTAGATTCAAGTTTGTTCAAATCATGACCCCCGGGGGTAGGGCGGGGCCACAATGGCTGATCAAAGTTTTACATAGAAATATATAGGAAAATTCTTTAAAAATCTTCTTCTCAAGAATAACAAAGCCATGATTGATTATATTTATATGGAAGCATCCTCAGTTAGTGTAGATTCAAGTTTGTTCAAATCATGACCCCCGGGGGTAGGGTGGGGCCACAATGGCCGACCAAAGTTTTAAATAGAAATATATAGGAAAATTCTTTAAAAATCATCTTCTCAAGAATAGCAGAACAATAACTGGTCAAAGGTTTACTTTTGGATTTAAACTTTTCAATAATAAAACCAATTTCTACTTTTTCTTAGCCACAGTGCTCAGGTGAGCGATGTGGCCCATTGTTTTAAGGACTTGGATATTGAATACCTCTTGTTTTGTATTGTTTTAAGGACTTGGATATTGAATACTGTTCACAATTGTTATCCCCATATCCTTGTATAGTTAACATTCAGTTACAGTGATTTGATGAAGAAAATGACTAAAGTCTTACTGGGTCGTTAACTATAGTTTACCTGTTTTAACAATAGATTTTGTTGATAAACATAGATTCACGTTTGTAAACTATAGTTTACTGGCACAAATATTTATCAGATCGTTAACTATAGTCAACGGTTTGTAAACTATAGCGTAACAGAAAAAAAGAAAGGTATGGCTCACTGGGTCAATATAGATTAAAGTTGTTAACTATAGTTTACACCCAAGACCCATTATCAACTACATGTACATCTATAGTCAGTTGCGTTAAACCCTGAACCTCCCTAACCAGACCAATATCCACGAACCAAACCACTACATCAGGAAGGAGATCAAACACATTTTTTAACAGTTTTGCGACTCTTGGTTATAATTCTCAGCTCTGAAGTTTAAGGGGAAAAAACATTGATTAAAAAAAATCGGGTTTCTCATTAGATGAAAATATTGAATAATATTTCTAAGCTTCGTGATCCTGGGGCTCGCTTACATGGAAAGCCAGTGCGTTATGAACTTCATTGTGGGCCATTTCCCAACTGAAGGAGATCTGTTTTTCAGACTTGCTGCAGATTTCTTTACAACACTATTTTATCCACCTAACGTTTAATAAAATCGTATTAATGACTTCATTGTTTCAAAGACAAGATCATCCCAACTGCATGACAGCCTATTGACAAATGATCATTTGGGTCCTTTGTAATAACTTTCCTGTTATAAATGGCATTGTTACTACAATTTCACTATTCACTAAATGGGTTTGCACTTGCTTTACGCTTTGCAATTATCTTGCACATATTAGGTTTACATTTACAACGTTATAAAGCTCAGCTTGATGTCAGGGGGTTGATATTGTGGCAAAGGTATTTCACAATAAGTGTCTTATTCTAAAAGAAAAGTGGTAGGTATAAATTATTAATATCAGTAAGATCTGGCATCAGACAAAATGCTCTGCCCAGCTTTATTACTTCTCTTTGTTAGTTTTACTTATACTGGTAAGTAATATTTTTGCTGCTGTGCTGACGTGTATTGATGAAACCTGTAGATTTTTTTTTTTAAATTGTTAGGTTAATGTAAAGAATTTTCATTTGTATTACTTAATTTTTTTTATGTACTATTTTAATTGCATGACAAATAGTTATACACGTACATGTATTTAATTAAGAAGAGAAACTCATAAGTTGAAAGAACATGTTTCCAATCTTTTTGATTTATTCGATTAAATATTTTTTAACGAAAAAGTAATATTTTCGCTGCGAATAAAAAATCAAGTTTTATTAGTTGATCTGTTGAAAAATAAAAGTAAGACTCGGAAGAGGTAAAGAATTTAGAATCAAGTACTCGAAATAAAACTCACATTCGATGTAATTTATTTTAGAAATACTCAGTATTTGGGCAAATAACTTTTAAAATTGCAATTCAGAATAGTATTTTAAAATTGTTTTTAAAAAAGAGAATTAATTAATATTCAAAATATCAAGTCGGATCCTGTGCCAATGAGAAGTAAGCATCCGATATCGACCTGTCAAAACCTTTCGTTTTCTACTTGTGCTGATTGGATAAAAGAAATAATTCGTATACAGTGTAGTGTGAAAATTTGCATGAAAATCAGTTTACATCCCACTTAATAATACATGTAGATTGTATTTGCTAACAGTGTCAAAATATCGACCCTATAATGTGAAAAATAAGCTGACTTTAAACGAGACTGCTGATATCCTTGTTTCATCTCTTATTTTTCAGTAGCTTGTCTCATAAATTGTTCGTACGTATGACATGTTTTTACGAAGCGACAATAGGGGAGAAAAGGGGGGGGGGGGGTAAACTCCATACGGAGATGATAAATGTATTATATTGCTTTATAAAGAAGGGGGCCTGCATGACAATTTCTATTTTGAGCTCAAAGGTTTAATCAAGAAAACTAAACGAATTTTAGGTAAACTTAAAACATGAGAAATCAAATTCAAAAATTCAATTTAAAAAAACATTATTATTTTATTTTTATATTCTTTCTAGGTATCATAGTTATGTATAGAGGAATAAAACATTAAAGTATTGAAGATTCTTTTGGCTTTTGGATTCTTTAAAAATAACATATCTAAAAATTCAAAAACAGATGACGTGTACAGATTTCATCATTTCTCCGATGAGTTTGAATTCCACAGTATAAAGCTGTCTTGGTTTGATGCTAATACTTACTGCCAAATAAGATTCGGTCATCTGGTCACGGTGGAGAATGCCAGCACTCAAGATTTGTTATGGACAGTGTTCTTGAACCGACCTGAAGTGATCTATGAGGATTATTGGATCGGGTTACATAAGGCACAGTCTGGGCCCTGGAGGTGGACAGGCGGTAGAGTATCATATGTGACATCATGTAGTATACGAAGTGATCAATTTTAAGAAATGTATCAGATTCATTCATAAATTTTCAGTCATCTCTTTAACCAAATGAAATATAAAATTTTAACAATTTAAACAGGGTTGTAGGATGAAATTTAAAAAAAAACATATACTGGTTAAAAAAAAATACAAACATATTTGATTGTAGGCTTTTAAAATCATCATTCGAACAAACTACATGTAGATTATGTACATGTAACTATATATCAAGAATGTTTCTTTGAAAAATTCTATTACAGGTTGCGTTCCTAGTTCAGTCTAAATTTTTTCATAGATCAAATATTCATCTACAACAATTGGTTTTATCGCCCAAAACAAGTTTCCAATAGTCCACTTTGTGCGAAAATGATTGCTGTAGAAAGACTAGGTTGGACGCACAGTGATTGTATTGAAAGGAACGGATTTATATGTCAATATCGTAAGTATGAAACTACCGGTATACCCGTTGTATAACCACTATTCGATGCCTTCTGAAGAGGAGGCATAAATTTTATGTCTTCAAAGTTTCGCCGGGGGGGGGGGGGGGGGGGGACTCAAACAGAACCGGTGTAACGTTGAATATTGACCCGAGTTGAAAATTGACCCGGGGGGTCATTTTTCAACGTTGAATATTGAACCGGGGTCATCTTTCAACGTTGAATATTGAGACCAAAAGTCGTTGAATTTATAACCGGGGTCATTTTTCAACAGCTTGATATTTTTTTTTCTTACACCTGATGACGTCAACAAGTTGAAAATTGACCCTGTTGAATATTGACCCCACCTCAATGTTTGAACATTTTTTTTTTTTAGCTTGGAAGATGTTTTACGGGATTTATCAGTATCACTTTATTTATATTTCGGTTTCAATTTTTTTCCCTTTTCAAGAATAATAGAAATAAACATACAGTATCACCCCGTGTATACATGTACATTTTAAACAGTGCACGGTTTTAGTTATCTTCAAGCATGACAATTTTATTTTTGACAATACTTTCCAAAATTCATGGCATCCATAAATAACTACAAAACAACGAATAGGGCATAATACAAACATCTTAAAAATCTGCAATCTAGAAAGTAGCCCTATATATATTGATCAGGTGGGTGGAACATCCCATCTAGTCAAATTCAGTATAAAAATAATAAAATTTATAGCCTAAAAATTAGAATGAAACACATCAACCAAAATGATTCCAATGATAGGTTATATTTGTGAAAAGAGCAATATAGCGACCATAGCATGTAAGTAATGCTGACTTTAAATAAATTGTTGAAATCCCTGTAACAATTAACTTATTTGTCGGTAGACTGTCTCGGCTTGATCGCTTTCGGACCATAACCTTGAGAATGAGATTATTCTTATTCTAAAACATTCTTATTCTATAGAATGTGATTCCTATTTGATTACTTGTTATTTCTATTCCATTATTTGTAATTTGTATTCGATAAATTGCTATTCCAATTACAGGAAATGTGACAATATGATTCATATATCATAAAATTTACATATTTTTTTTTCTCGAAAACACGCGTTTCCTATTCGATGTCATTAATATTTAAAACAATCGGTTGCTAGTCGCTAATTTTGTCATTCCTATTCGATAATTTTTTTATTCGATAATTATTTGGTTTATATGCAATAAAGTTGTTGTTCGAAAACATACTAGCATCCATTTCTATTCGAAAAAATACGATTTCTATTCGATAAACTCTCATCTTATCACATAATTTTATCTCAATGATCTCCTATGCGATGTTTTTTTTTCTTTTTCAATAATTGCCATGATTGCATTCTGGGAAATATGACAAATTAAACTAGAATTGGTTGTAAACTCAATTAAATAGGAATGTAAAGTTTCACATTATTATCGAATATAAATCATTTTATCACATAGACAAAACAAAATTTGAAAATTTTCGGAATAAGGCACAAGTTTTCTCTCTTCAAGACTTAGAGACTAGGGATCAGCATAAATTAAGCTGTTGCTGTTTAATATTAAATAAATGTGTTTCGTTTTATACATTGATGGAGTAATTATAGAGGATTTAGTTATTCAGAATGCTAATCTAATTATTTGATTATGTCTCGTATCAATTTTTGACAAAAGTATCCAATATGTTTTAATATAAAGTACATGTAGATCCTAATTAAAGACTTCAAAAGCATTGTTACGTCATATCAATTACGGAACATTAAAAAATATTAATACAAGTTGTAGTAAATTTTTTTTCAGAAACATCCAGTCATATTATACATATATCACATGGCTTCGAGGGTGACATACCAGAATATTTGCCCCGAGGTGACAGGAAAGCCCTGGAGTGTTATGTCACCCGATGCCGAAGGCAGAGGTGACATAACACTCCAGGGCTTTCCTGTCATCGAGGGGCAAATATTGTGGTATAGTCCCCCGAGAAGCCATGTGGTATATGTTATATGACATTTTTAAAATTAAAAGAAAATTTAAAATCATTCAAAATCGATAAAATTTACACAAATAATCCAAAAATGCCTTCTTGACGTTTAGACATACGCTGTGCTGTTTACTTTTGCTTAGCAACCGACGTCATAAAATCTCGAACCCGAACTAAAATGCGTAACGTAAAAACACGTGATGGTGATCGAAAGGCTGACATAACTGTTTCCGTCGGGGGTGACATAACTGTTTCCGGTGTGACTCAGCATTTTTCAGTGTTTATAGCAAATTTGTGATATAATAAGAAAACTTATTCAAAAATGTTATATTCTATATTATCTTTAATTGAGAAATCAATATACTATTTCTGTTTTTACAAAAAATTATCTCCATTTTAACACTTGTTCTATGAGAAAACCAGGCGGGGGGTGGGGGGGGGGGGGGGGCAACGATGTCTCTCACTTTAATGAAATTTTCTAAAATGACTCCTGCAATATAGCATATGATCACAAGAAAAAAAAAACATGAAGTCAATATGCATTTCAGATTCTATAAAAAGTAACTCAAGTCTTTATGCTGTTATATACTTAAGCATGTGATCAAGTCAGAGAGCTTAGAATAAAAGTTGATATCACCTTTTCGTGCTAAATAGGTGCTATCACCTATTTGAATAAGTGGCATCACCTATTCGAAAAGGTGATATTACCTATTTGAGTTTCTTACAACAGTCATTAATGAATGATACCTATAATATATAGATTACCACTGGATCCAAGAAAATTTGGACTACCCAGTTTCCATGCGTTTTCTACGATTTTCTTGTTGTTTACATGATATATAAGTGAAATAAATTAATTTGTAAGCTAAAAAAAACTACAGCTGTTCGACGGGAAAAGGTGATATCACCCAATCGAATAGGCGATATCACCAATTCGAATAAGTGATATCACCTTTTCGAATTGGTGATATCACAAATTCAAATTAAATAGGTGATATCATCTATTGGAACAGGTGATATCACTTATTCAAATAGGGGATATTACTTTTTCCAGTAAATACCAAAACGGGGCCTCATACCTATGAATTAAGTCACAGTAGTGAAAACCCAATCATAAATATGTGTTTTTATGCTGTTGAATTTTGAACCGGTTTCATGATCAAAATTCCACGACCCGGCTCAGTTTTCAACGGATTAGGGTCTAAATTCAACACCTTTGGTCTCTGTATTCTACGTTGAAAAATGACCCCGGGTCAATTTTCAACCTGGGTCAAAATTCAACGTTACACCGGAAGCGGCGTGATCTGTAGTATCATTCTTTATCCAGAGTTGTCGTTCCCGCTTCTCTCCCACATGACATACACATGTTGTGAGCGTAGCGGAAGGCAACTCTGGATAGAGAATGCTGTACTAGAATATTAAGCTATTGCGCGCATCTCACTTTTTTTCATTGAACAACAGCGATAGTTTTCTTTTCCCTCTTGAAGTTTTAAAATTACATGTAATTTTACTTCATACGCAAACAGGTGCATAGCTAGTTCCCATCGTAATTCCAACAGAATGTTCGAAGACATATAGGCTCGACAGACTACATCGATATTTCAAAATGGAACTCGATTAATTTTGTAGGTGACCAATCAAAAGATATAAAAATTTTCGAGTTCCACAATTATTGAAGAAGTAGCTAGTAGTCTGTTTTGTCAAAAACCTAGTGATGAATTTAAAATCATAAAATATGTTTAATTAGTACCCTTCCATCATCGGGACATCGTGCATGGACACGTGACTGGCGAAGATGATAAGTTCAGTGAAGATTATAAAACCATAAGTAGGACCAGGCGGGACACTCACACTCTGTAGATTCGGAAAGCGAGTTCTTTAACATTAACTTATATATTAGTAGCCTGACTTTGTTTAGAAATCACATGCTCTGGAATATCAAATCAGTCGGAAGACCTTAACACCATATGAAGGCAATATTGGAATATCGCTGCAAAAAATAGGAAAATTAAGGTTTTATTATAAAGTTTTGGAATTCAGTAAAGGTTCTGTACATACTTCAAATTCTTCCGTTTCCATATACAAAACAAAAACGCTTTTTTGCAGAATTTAATTATTTGAAAGGAAGCTGTGAGTTTAAAACGGATTTTTGGCCCCCGCTTTCTTTGAAAGTGGAAAATATTAATTTTGGTTTGTCCGTCCGTCTGTATTTCTGTCTGTCGTAACACTTTCGTTTCCACGCGATATAACGAGAAGCCTTTGAGCTTTTGCAAAAGTTTAAGGTCACAAATGTTTTAAAACTTTCGTTTCCATGCGATATCTCGAGAAGCCTCTGAGCTTTTGCAGTATAGTTTTTTTTATGACTTTTCCCTATTACCCAATATTTTTATTGATGTCAACGGTCAAGGTTGTTAATTCATACATTCTGTGTGTGTGTAAAAATTTTATTTCCTAGCGATATCTCAAAAAGCTTTTAAACTTTTTCAATTTTATACCACAACTCTGACCCCTTCCCCTTTGATCCTCTTCTAGGTCTGCGCATTTTCTTTTTTTTTTCTAAGCGGGGGACACACATTCTCTGAATTAGCTTGTCAGATTTAAAATTAAAATCAAATTCTGATTGAATGCTGTTGTAGTAATGAACCTTGTACAACAACAGAAAGTTGTTAAGGGACCATTGAATATATTTTTCATGTACATGTATGGTCTTTCAAATTTAATTCCAGTCTATGGAAAACTAAGGAAAGATGGTAATCATTTGGCCTTTTGATTGTTTAAAACTATAAGGTCTGACAATTAATTAGAAATTATCTTTTTTTCAGAATCCAAAGCTACAGGACTGCAAGACAATATTACAGAGCTGGATCAACTCGGAGCAACAGCGAGACACCAGGAGGAGACTTTCCTAGAACAATGGATGATCTACACTGCAATAGCTGTCCTGGCAATAATTACATTATTGTTACTTATCATATGTTGCTTATGCTGCAAATGTAATGAAAAGAAACACATTAGACCTGCACCAAGTGGAAGACCATTACACAACTTGAATTTTTAATGAAATAACTGAGAAAATCATGAAAACTAGTTTTTGATTTTTGTCTTTCTCTCCTAAAAATAAAATGGGAAAATAATATATGGTTTTAATTATGCTTGTCCATACTTTAAATCTGGGACAATCTCTGCTCACTGCTTTGTTTTACCTTGTCGATGAATGACAGAGTGTTGACATTTTTCTCATTATTCTTCAAACATCAATCTAGAATCATTGCTCGCTTTGATGTCATTGATTTTTTTGTTTGGTATTGGGGGTTCTATCCTTCCGAAATGAAAGGGTGCCATCCAGTTTCCGCAGGTACAATTTTTCAATTTTTTAACCATACTTAAAGTAGAAGATTGTTGTTGAGTTAACATCTTGTCTGACTTAGCTAATAAAACAGGTGGGAGAGTGTAGTTCTATAATACAAGAGGATTTGGAATGCCCATCATAAAAAAGTTAAAGTAAAAAAGAATGGCCCTTGCTCATCATTAAGCTATATAGATATTCATCTGCTTAATATCAATGAGCAGAAAAGGAAAATTTTCAAACACCAGAACCCCTTACCCTGGGGCCATAAAATTCACAATTTTGAAAGAGCATTCTTGCTCATCATAACTATGTACTTAGTTATTAGTTTATTTAATACCCAGGAGCAGAGAAGAAGATTTTCAAAGATGTACACGTAATGTATTGACACAATATAATCAATAGAGCCCTGCCCTAACACCAGAACCCCTGACCCTGGGGCCATAAAATTCACAATTTTGGAATAGGCACTCTTTCTCAAGATAACTATGTACCAAATTAGTTTATTTAATACCCAGAAGCAGAGAAGAAGATTTTCAAAGAATTAATGCATTTTCACTATATAATCAATAGAGCCCCGCCCTAACACCAAAACCCCTGACCCTGGGGCCATAAAATTCACAATTTTGGAAGTGGCACTCTTGCTTATCATAACTATGTACATAGTTAGTTTATTTAATACCCAGAAGCATAGAAGAAGATTTTCAAAGAATTAATGCATTTTTACTATATGATCAATAGAGCCCCGTCCTAGCACCAGAACCCCTGACCCTGGGGCCATAAAATTCACAATTTTGGAATAGGCACTTTCTCAAAATAACTATGTACTAAATTAGTTAATATCTAGAAGCAGAGAAGAAGATTTTCAAAGAATTAATGCATTTTCACGATATGATCAATAGAGCCCCGCCCTAACACAAGAACCCCTGACCCTGGGGCCATAAAATTCACAATTTTGGAAGTGGCACTCTTGCTCATCATAAGCATGTTCTTCATTAGTTTATTTAATACCCAGAAGCAGAGAAGAAGATTTTCAAAGAATAAATGCATTTTTACCATATAATCAATATAGCCCCGCCCTAAAACCAGACCCCTGACCCTGGGGCCATAAAATTCACAATTTAAGAAGAGGCACTCTTCCTCAACATAACTTTGTACTTAGTTAGTTTACTTAATACCCAGAAGCAGAGAAGAAGATTTTCAAAGAATAAATGCATTTTCACCATATAATCAATAGAGCCCCTACCTAGCACCAGAACCCCTGACTCTGGGGCCACGAATTTCACAATTCTGGTAGAGGACTCAATGCTCATTACATTCATGCAAACAGTTTGCCTGCTTGATGTCCAGGAGTCAAAAAGAAGATTTTTAAAGATTGCAATAATATTGGTGGTTTTGGCCCCACCCCCCAGGTTTTTGCCCCACCCCTCAGGCCCCAGGGAAGTGGGGACCATAAAATTTACAATTTTTGTTCCCCTTTACCCATAAATGCTGTATACCAAATTTGGTTGAAATTGGTTCAGTGGTTTCAGAGAAGAAGCTGAAAATGTTCAAATGTTAACACACGACGGACGACGACGGACGAAAACGGATAGCAATAGGTCACCTGAGTTGCTCAGGTGACCTAAAAAGGCAAAGATAAAACAGAGTTTTTATGTTTTAATAAATATTGATATCTAATAAATACTCATACAGCACTGTATTTAAAAAATACAATTAACTGTAATATCACAGGATGCTTTCAGTTCTCTTTAATATTATAAACAATGTTTTTTTTTAGTAAGTTATAAGTATATATGTGTCCTATGTCAGACATCCTGTTCTATGAGAAGCAGAGGTTGAAGGCCTGCTAGCCCGTGCACTGATTATATTCTCGTTAGAAGATGCATTGTACAGTGTATATTTAGAAAATTACATTTCTGTGAAGAAGTGACGTATATACATGTACGTCACTGGAAGAAGTCACTTTTGTCACAATGTTTCTGAGTGGATGATGAGGACTGGGATCTTGTTTCTGTTAGTTTCTTTGTGCAATACAACATGTATAAAGTTAACTTTCCACAGAAACCTGTTTATCCACTTTTCCTTTTCTATCAAGGTGGTGTGCTAATATTGAGGTAATTACTCTGTATTTCCCTTTCTGCAAAAAGAAATAAAATCAAACATTTTTTATTATCATAAAATGCAAAATTAACAATTCTGCAATTTCTATGCAATACTTTATACACGTATAGGTTTCTCAAACTTTTATAGTTCATCTGAGTAGCATATAATTAGTACAAACTAAATGCAAAATTTACCGTATTTGAAGTCCTTGATGTATGAAAAAATCATCGACAGAACCTTGAACTACATACATTGTAATACTTATAACTTTTAAATATCTGATGTAATCTCCCTTACCTTTGGATCAAGGACAGAGGTCAGGTCAATGAGTTTAAAGAACTTCCCAAGGTCAGATGGGGTGTACATGTAGCGCTTTCCTTTATGTGTCCCATCTGTATCCCCATCTTCAGCGAAAAAAAAATTATTGAATGCACTTTGATCTGTATACTTTTAATGTATAAAACAGCTATTTTTAAATGGTTTAAAATAAAATATTACTAAGTTTTATATAAATCAATCCAATTTACAATCTATACCTGGTTCATCAAGCCGAACTCCGACATAAATCCTGGAGTTATATTTTTGTTCCAATGGACCCCTGTATTTTACTATTCCTGTGTATATTTTTGGTTTGGGTGCTAGAAAAAAAATTATTCATAAATTTAAACCAGAAGTCTCTGATGAGACTGTAGCTCTACTGGTCTGTTCGTTTATAGGAAAAGTAGCACTTGGATTTGACTTTTCAACACGCAGAAATAAATAGAATAATGTATTTTTGTAATATACTTGTGTGCCAATTATATTAACATCTGACAAAATTTGTAGAAGGAGTTCGTTTTAAAGGAATTTAACAGAAATTTCTAATTTAGTTACCATGGCAACACCATTCATCAAAATCAAAAACGGATGCACTGAATTATGTATCTTAGTGTAGTCTACTTGTGTGCCAAGTTATATTGAAATCGGACTAAAACTGTAGGAGGAGTAGCATTTTAAAGGAATTCAACAGGAATTTTTATTTTTAGTTACCATGGCAACATGTTTCATCAAAATCAAAAACCAATGCACTAAATAAGGTATCTTAGTGTAGTCTACTTGTGTGCCAAGTTATATTGAAATCAGACTCAAACTGTAGAAGGAGTAGCGTTTTAAAGGAATTTCACAGAAAATTCTATTTTTAGTAACCATGGCAACACCTTTCATCAAAATCAAAAACTGATGCACTAATTTATGTATCCTAGGGAAATCTACTTGTGTGTCAAGTTATATTGAAATCAGACCAAAACTGTAGGAGGAGTAACGTTTTAAAGGAATTTCACATTAAATTCTATTTATAGTAACCATGGCAACAGTGAACACCGTTCATCGAAATCAAAAACCGATGCACTGAATTATGAATCTTAGTGTAGTCTACTTGTGTGCCAAGTTATATGAAATCAGACCAAAACTGTAGGAGGAGTAGCGTTTTGAAAAATTGTTTACAGACAGATGGACAGCTAGACAGATGGACAGCCTGACAGACGGACGGACGACGGACACCTTACTATCCAGAAGCTCTTCTGGTCTCTGACCAGTAGAGCTAAAAAAGACTTAAACTTTTAATTATTTAATAAAAATTTTAAACAGTAGGACTTACCAATTTTTTTGCCATATTTCGGAGGTTTCTGAGGCACTGCAATAACAATACGATCTCCCACATCAATATACTGTACAAGGATTGCCTCTCTTTCCTTAGCTGGTAACTTCGACAAAACTTCCACAGTTTTTGAGTTCTCTTCTGAGTCTGAGCTATCTGATGAGTTTTCAGACTGTAAACTCATAGAGTTCTCTGACCTACTTTTGCTCGAGTTCCAAGATGAAGACCGTGGAGAAGCACTCGGCCGAGATCCTGATCGGAGAGTCGTTTTGTCCTGTACACCAATGATACAGTCCACAGATGGCTGGAATTTAGAATTTGTCTTTTTCTCACTTGAATATCTGAGATCATTGGACCGTGACTCAGGTCGTCCATTAACAATAATAGAGAGTCCTTTGATAGGTACAGCCTCCTTTAGTGATTGGCTACGCTTGACTGGCCTCACTACTGCTGTCTTAGGTCGCGAGGATTCCTCCCTTAACACATTGTCCAGGAACCCTCCCCCTGACAATGGTCGACGCCGATTTCTCACATTACTCTGATCAGATGAGTACGGATTTCTATTAACATCTATATCCTTTGTCTGTAAAGAAACAAACAAAAAATATTTTCCAGTTGATATATTTATTTCGGAGGAAAGAATGTAGTAAGGGATTCTCTTAATGTGTTGGAACCATGCCTTGTACCTTGTTCTTATGGTGTATGAAATGATGCTTATTCCTATTGTCTATTTCTCCACTGGAAGACTCACTACAATGAAAATTAATTGACTTTTAAAAAATGATTATCCAATAAATATTTGAATGCTAAATTGACATTTCAAAAATATTCCTAAAAAGTTCCAGTTGAGGGGCGTATATTTACCAAACACTCCCGTTGATGGATTCCCTGTTGGATGATGTCCCTATCCTCTCCAGGAGTACGACTATCTTGTCTATCTGTTCTGGCTCTGTTGACAGATTCATTGTCTCTATCACATCCTGAAACCAGAGAAAGGCTGAGTAAATCTTCAGTACACTTTGAGTCAAAACATACTGTATGTAAAGGTTGGCAACATAAAGATTTTCTGGCTTCTGATCTGGAGTTCTGTATTTCAGAGACCTGTTCAAAAGAGCAGGTGCTTGTTGGCATTTTTGACCATTTGTTAGAGGGGTTGGGAATTTGCAGATAACATGCAAACACTCACTTGTTGAACATGATGCAGGTATCTAAATTTTAACCTTCATCTTTGACCCCTGAGAATATTTGGAGTACACACTTTGGCATTGAGAACTTTTGGTTTCTGATAATGATATACAAGGAATCCATATTTTGACCTCCATGCATGATCATATACACATTGGCAACATCAAGAACACTGGACATATGATCATGTTCTACTAGGTACCTACAATTTGACCTCTACCTTTGACCCCTCTGTTTATATTTAGTACACACCTTGGCCACGTCCAGAGCCTTGGACTTTTGTATGACCAGTTGGTCCTTCCCCTGTAACAATCTCTTCAGAGTTTGGACCTCACACTGGGCCATGTCTAACTCAGATTCCAGTTTCTCTGTCTTAGCCACTTTATACTCCATTGCCTATAAATAGAAAACACATTCATATATATTTCTCATTCCTCCATGTAATGTGACCTAATTCCCATTTGGGACTGGCCAGTGATTCACCTTGACCTACTCTTGATATTCCACACATCAGTGTTTGAGATAACAATAAATAAACTTTACTTAGACTGATTTGTAAATTTTTAAGGTAGAGTCAAAGTAATAATTCCTCTATTTATAGAACACAAACCCTGATCTGGTCCTTATATTCCCGCGCTGATTTTCGAGCCACAGCCAGTAGGGCCGTTTTGTCCTGGACCTCTGTCCTCAGCGAATCCACTTCTTTTGTTTTCTCCTCTATTTTTTCTTTTAGTTTTGGAATCATTTCCAAATTCTGAAAGTGTTTAAATTATAATTTTTAAAAATCTAAATATAATTTAACTAATGTTTCCAGAGCATTTAGTTCTTTGTGCTACACACAAAGAAAAATAAATATTCTGAAAGGATAAATATAGAAAGCATTTGAACTTCACTGTTTTATAATCAACTGCAATTCATTCCCTCTAAATTATGTAACTTTATACCTCAAGAAATATGGACTAGAAGTTACCTTTTCTATTCCTTCATTTCTTGTTAATTCATGTCGGACTTGGTAATTGAGATCGACTATTTTGGATTCTTGTTCACTGATTCTCTGATTGGCTAACTACACAGCATTAGGGAAAAAATATATAAAAATAAAATCAAAATTTTATATATTAAAAATTTTACATCCATTGACTCTCCTATCTAGATGGTCGATTTATTTTTTGCATAATTTTCTCTACAAATTATTTAATGTTAGTTACATTTATAAACACTGCCAATATACAAAGAACATTAAACCTCGTCTTTAAAAGCCATTCATCTACAGTAACATTTAACAGTCCATAATTTTAAGGTACCGTATTAAATCTACCGTATTAAATGTATTTACATTACGTATATAACGTACCATTAGTTTTTTCTTAAGCTCCTCCTCTTCTGCCTCCATTTTTCGGATCTGATTTTCCCGGCAGCGAAGCTGGGCACTGAAACATTGACAAGTATTTAAACATTACGTTGTTTGTACTTTGTATGATTATTTCAGTGTGCCTTATTAAAACTTAAATCCATTATTTACCTAGTGGACTCTAAATTTGATCGGGTTGTTTCTAGAATTAATTCAGCTTTTTCAACTTCAGAAGCTACAAAGGAATAAAGAAATAAATATAATGTTATTATCAAATGATAAAAGGCATTGTTAATCTCATTTGTATTTCATTTGAACATAAAGCAATTATATGGAATAATCGATAGCGACAGTCAGATTTGTGAAGATCACATTATTGGAGATTCAATTAAAACCTACTCATAATCTATTTAAACAGGTATAAAGCATGCACTTTCATTTCCAATTCATTTCTCTAATTATTTTTTCCTCTCATCTTCAAAGAGTACAAATGACTATATTTACTCTCTAGTTTACCCCAACACAGACCCATCCATTATGAATTGGGTCGATGGGTTCTTGAAGAACTTGACAGTAAAAAATATTTTTTTGGATAAAGATCTAACATATCAGCTTAATTCATCCAACATTTTAAATTTTTCAGTATTTAGCAACAATGTAAAGAGCAAGAGAATAAAATTTGCTGCTCAATTTTACAAGCTATTTATTCTTGTTTTAATTTATACCAAATGTATTTCAATTTTCAAAGGGGCAAGGAAATGTGCATTTTTAAATGCATTAACAATTTGCAAGCTTTTGGAAAACTTTGGATGTCACCCAATAATTTTGCACTTTCAATATTACTTTTGATTAAGTTTATAATAAAAAGATGTTTGTATACTTTTCCAATAGCGTCATATTGCTGCTTTTACAAATCTTAAAGTGCAAATAATATTCAGAGATTATTTTGTAAAGGATTTACATTTACTGAAAATCTATAGACTCAATTCTAAAATATTTTCCCCTGCCCAAGACCACTATCTATATATAACCTTATTATAAAAGGTTGGTACATCTTAACAAATGGTGTTGAGGACTACAAAACTTACATTTGGTTTAGGGGTAAAATAGAATCCACTTTTAGCATCTTATCAAATGTAGTATTCGCCTTTACCTCTTATTTCCAGATTTCTAAGTCGATCCTCCAGAAACCGTCCATCTCGCTGATGCTTTTCAATTTGCTCCGTTTTCTTTTTGCAGTCGAGTCGTAGTCTTTCATTGAGTTCTCCGGCTTTCCCCAGCTTTTGGTTGACATCACTCAGACTAATGGTTAAGCTGTCCACTTGTCGCTGCAGCTTCTGTTTTATTAAAATCAATTAATCATTTTTATTTCTTTACAACTCCAAAAATATTCCTCTAGTTACAATATGAATTTTTCAAGAAATTGAAACACAATAATTTTATTTGCACAGAATAAAATGAGATTTTAATTTAAAGGATTTTATTAATTATACTACCTTTTTTTAATTAAAAACTTACATTTCATATAATCTATCATCAGGAATATTTCTCAAGATAGCAAAAGTTTAATTTAGCTTTATGAATTTGCCGACCCCCCCAAAAAAAAATCATTTATACTGACAATGTCAATGTCAGTACTGGTGTCAGAGGCATTTTATTCATATAAACATTTAATTTTATTTTCCCCTTTTTTATAAAATAGGTCAGGTATATTTGATTTGGATCCTACTTCAAATTGTAACTTAGCTAAAAGCTTTAAATCATCTATTATGAAAAAAAAAATCCAGGTAAAAAATACGATAGTAAGATGTGTTTCTGTAACAGTTTTATAGATCATGGCTGAATTCTGTTAAATAAAATTAAATGAAAGGCACCAATAAACTTAGAGGTTGTGTAATTATCTATCAAACACCTCCGAGAACTTTTAGTTTATAATTCTGGTATCAATATATATATTAAAGTTTCTGTATTAAAATAATGTGGTCATCCATATGTGTATTACTGTAACGTCATGCATTTATTACTTCTTAGCAAGTAGTCAAAGCCTTTTAATTTTAAAGGCTTTTTTTGAAAAACAAAAACTATGAATATTTGTAAATTATGTAAAATAGTAAATTGATATAAATGGAAATATGTATATGTGTATATAAAACTGTGAAAACAGAATTATCTGTGAGTGAAGAGTCATTCAGTTGGCAGGAAATTCTTACCGCAAATTTTTTATTTATTTGAGAGGACCTGAACCAATGTCACCTAAATTTTCTGGCATATATAGCCAAATTTACGTGCAAATAATACAGAAGATTTATACATATTTATCTGAGATGTAACTTTAAAGAATATCAGGATAAGCAAAGTAAAATTTCCCTGGACACAAAAGTATGGAGATTTTTTCAATGACAAGATAAAACTTCTTTTTTCCATACAAAGACACAATTAAAGTATCCTTGCCAAATCTTTAAAATACATTGTATGTGTTACAGTAATTTAATTACCTCTTACATTGTAATGTAATGTTTATTTTAAGCTCATACCATCTCCTCTAACTAAAAGTTAATCAAAGTCTCAGGAAAAAAGATAAATTTCTTTCTACTTAATTTAATAAAATTTCCAGTTTAAGACCTACATGTATATACAGTTAATTGAAATTTGACATTTGTAACTGTTTGACTATTTCATTTGACTGTATAGCATTTACTACTGTAAAATATCTTCTTATCAGTAATTTGTATTGCTGGGGAATTTTTCAAATAATTTATTGACAGTGACTAAACCACACTAATTAACAGACAAACAGGATTAACCACACTAGATATACAAACCTCTCTCTGTAGTTTCTCCTCTTCATATTTTCTTTTAAAGGCTTCTAACTCTTCAATCTTGCTTTTGAGTTCATTCCTTTCTTTTTCCCTGTTCAAATAAAGCAAAATATTAACAGTCTGTACATATGTAATGATTACTCCCAGGGCAAAATCATATAAGGGAAACAACTCCAATATTAATTTCACGTCTTTAATCAGTGAAAATATCTATTTTTTAAATAAAAATTTATGTATCTTTTCGGACTCTGCAACACACAATCATATAAATGGTCTATGAAGACAATCATTTAACTTCTACCTCATCTTTGAATCCATTCCAAATTGGCTACTATAACTGAATTTCCGTCTGACTTGGCCAGTTTGTAGGAACGAGCTCTCTGACATAGACCTAGATATGTTTGATTTCACCGTATCCGACTTGACTTTTATTCTACTTGAACCATTTTTATCCCCTGAAATCCTATCATCCTCAGCTGATTTAGACAGATAGAAGGATTCTGGGGAAAGTGAATCAATAGATTCAGAAATGCTCTCCATTTTGGAAAAATAATCCTTTATAGTGAATGTGATTTTTTCCCCCTTTCTTTCACTAAATTTTATAAAAATACACAGCTTAGTTTTCCAATTTTTTTCCTTCTTAAAGTTAATTTCTCCATGAAATATCCATGTACTAGCTATTAACTAAGGAAATATCCTCCAAACACTTCCTTATCAAATCCGTGACATAATTTACATGTAATAGAGGAAATCTATCAAAACTAAGCTATCACTGTACATTATACCCGTCTTCTGATTAATCACTGTTCAAATTCCCTTATAAATCAATTTTCCCTGAACTTCGGAGACCTTATCTTTTCTGATCATTTTCCATTAAAATTCCAGACAAACTCATTCACACCCAATCCTAGCACTGATCCTTTTGAGATCACTAGCTCGCGTTTTACGACAGTAATATTTCGGGCTCTCCTTGTATGGTTTGGTGTCAAGAACATATCAATTCAGAACTTACCTGTTCCTCAGGATCAGACAATTTACAGCCCCAAAAAATATATGTAGATATAAATGTTTAAAATACATTCGTTAAACTTCTAAATTGTTTTTACAATGTGATGACGACTGCAAACGACATTTAAATATGAGGAAGACATACGCACATTGGCAAGTATAATCAAACACATTTAAGTAAATCATATCAAACTCTAAATTTGGACAAAATTCATTCTGATGTTAGCTTTGAACTTGACATTTTGACCTTCACTTGATTTTCATCTTTAACTTATATAATTAAATACAATTATAATGAATCAACAAATACCGGTATATAATTTTAGGTCCAAGACATTTATGCATTGGTATTTTACTTTTCTGGTAGGTTTTGAAATCTTTCCCTCAAAACAAAACACATTTCAAGTTAAAACTGATGTGTTTTACCTTTAACAATTGAACTTTTAGCACTTAATGATGGTCAGTATAAGTGACAATCTGCTACTTGAAGTTGTAAGAAAATTAAATGGTTAAGAAAACATTTACAAACTTTTTAATCCATTTTAAAAACATGCTATTCAGTTAGCTCTTTGCTTGTAGCTATCATCTTGTATATCTGGGCTAAAAATCTTTTTTGGTGAATTAATATTTCAATGTCTGAAATCAATATTTCTGATGAATTTTAGCTTGAGATTGGAAGGTATGCATTTAATAAATCGTACAACTCTAAAATGGTATTTTCTAGATCCACTTGAACTTTGAAGAGTCACCTTAAAGTTCAACATTGTATTAGAATTTGTATTAGAAGGTCTTCTCAAGTTCAAAAATTAAATGCTGCAATTGGTGCCAGTTGGTGGTGCAGTATTTAATCAGATTAAGTTTGAAAGTGAAACTCGGTCAAAAAATTTAACTCTAATTATTTACTCTACATGTCCTGCGGGCTTTCATTCATTTGCAGAACAGAAGATGGTCTTATTGTTGCTTTAACTTCCTAAAAGAAAGGTTACTTTGTGACTGTTGTTCTTTTTAAGCCAGTGAAAGGGTAATCAATATATCTGGTAGCATTATATACAAGAATAATCTGATGTGTTTTATACCTTTAATGAAGTGATGTGGTTTTACATTGATTCAAATACTTCCTACATTATTGACAAGCTTTTAGAAAAAGAAAGGTTACCAATTACATTAAGTCAAAAGTGGAAATTCTTTATATCACAATTCTCTCTGTTGAATTTTTTCATGTTGTGATCAAATAAGATGTAACTGCATGATGCCCCCATTGACTTTCAAATGATTAAATTTCTGTTTTATCATTCAGCGTAATCTGTCTCATTTATGTCTCACATCCTCAAGATCTGTCCACCTTCATTGATCTGGTGGCCTCCTGATACAAAAGCACTGGGGCACCAGTGATCAATATTGAAGTGAGTTGGCTTTAATAGTGTGAAAACGACAGAAAATACAGGACCCTGTGACAACAATGTGATAACAAAACAACATACACATGTAGCACTATGAGTATAATACGACTGACCTAAAGATGACCCTTGTGATGTTAGAATTGACCTCTGTGACAAGTGTGACTGACCAAAAGATGACCCTAGTGATGTTAGATTTGACCTCTGTGACAAAGTGTGACTGACCAGAAGATGTCCCTAGTGATGTTAGATTTGACCTCTGTGACTGACCAGAACTCTGATGACCCTTGTGATGTTAGATTTGACCTCTGTGTTCAATTCACCCTAGTGATGTTAGATTTGACCTCTGTGACAGACCACCCTAGTGATGTTAGATTTGACCTCTTTGATCACATTGACCTCTGTGACTGACCAGAAGACCTTTAAGTGACATTTGAGCACTCACATCAGTGTGACTGTTAAGGAATACACCACCTTACCATTCCTCCTCCTTTTTGCTCATGCACAACCTTAGTTCATTTTTCTCATTAGAAATTTTCCTCTTCCTAAAACAAGCATTTAATAAAAATGATAAACATACTTAACTGGGAAGTTTATAATAAATTGTACTTTCAGAATAGTGTAGGATTGATAGAATGCTCTTTTTTAATTTAAATGACTAATAGTAGTACCCACATATATCTAAATGAAGGTTAGTTGCATTCATCAATTCCATAAAAAATTATTGAAAGTGGGAAGGGAGGGGGATCAGGGGGAAGATGAAATAAACTAATGAGGTTCCAGGATAGCTCACAAACAACATCCACCTTTATCCTTCTGAGGAATAGGTCTTTTCAATACAACTATTGTACATTATTTACATACATTTTCAGATGAAATATATAACATAATTATTTTAAAAATCTGATGCTTCAACCCTCCAATACAACTTTTAAACTAAAGGGTTTCTTTAGTTAAATAAACCCACACTTGTACCATGATAAACATCAAAGGACAACAATTTTTTTTTTAACAACAAATTACACTAAAAGGATTTAGACACCCATGCAACAATATCATGCTATTTACAACTTTTTAAAACACATGGAATTTATATTTCACTCTATCTGCACACTATACCTGGCCAACAGCCTAAATCTGCATATGAATACAAAAACAAAATAGCTAGGATTAGAGCTAAGCAGTTTGTTTTCAATTTATCTTTGATTAATTTGACTGTTCTAGATCTCAATATAAGAAGAACCCTGAGCTCTTTTACCTTGTGCTCCCCCTTCTCTGCTCCTGAACAACTTGTTGGGCTACGGAGGCAAAACTAAATTTGGCGCCCCCTTTTGGGGATTTTGGAGAGTCCTGTGAGGCATAATCTTTCAGAACAGTGGCTGAATTTTGTCTTTTTAAGGCAGACATTATGTTTATTAGACTTTTCGTAGAAAATCAAATTATATCCTTGATACAATATCATAAATTTTTATCAACTTCACACATAGACACCCTTCAAACTGCATCCATTCACAAATTTCCTAATAAGGACAAAAGGCACATGGACAAGATTAGTTGTAAATATGGTTGGTGTTCTATTGAACTCTTTCATTTAATTTATCGCAATTTCAAAGCTTTCACTCCTTCCCTGAATTATGAATTATGTCTTCTTATGCTCTTGAAATGGCACTGATAAATGAATTATGGCTCTCAAAGAAAACACAGCTTGTGACCCATCCTGCCCACTTCAGCCAAGAATAGCCTTATCTTCTCTGGAGACGTTTTTCCTCTTTGAAACCCCTTTTGACATATATTCACTTCACTGTTTATAAATTCTGTATATGCCTCTATAAATGTCAGATCCATTCCAGCACCACCCAAGGTTCAAAGTTTCTCCAAATCAATAGTCAGCTAAATGACCATCATTTTGTTTTAAATGCACGTAATATCCCATTATCCAGAGTGAAAATCCATTAAAGTCTTGCTCTGGACAATTTTGGTGTATATTCTGGCAACTGAACAGTTTATAAAATTAGAAGTCACAATATTCCTCTAGCAAAATTTTTTTTCCTCTTAACTTTCCGCATTTAAATCCAAAAATGTTTTTATTAGTAACAATGTTTCTACCAGCATGAGAATATCCTTCAAAGTCTATGAATTATAGGGCAATTACAAGTAGATACAATCTCCCATTAACTGGATTTTAAAAAAATAAAAATTTTATTCAACTTTATTGCTTAAGTTTACGTAAATAATCCAAAGGATATACACTTCATAAAAAAAACCCACTTAATTTGAAATATCCTCCTTCAATCTTAAATATCCCACATTTTCTAGAAGAAAATGAAAATATTTTCCGTCTTATTCTGTAGGGTACTTAGAACTAGATTTACGATAAAACACAAACGTTTGAAATCTGCCACAGGATTTAATTTGATTTTAACAAATCTGAAGACTGAAGTTTAAATTCTTCGGGCAAAATTGGTAAGACCTTCTTCAATTATGTCTTTTAAATATCAATAATTTATTTACATAGACGAGAAAATATTTCAATAAAATTTTACAATAGTATTAAGAAATCCTTTATAATTATTTTGCTATCACAATGATGTCTCTAATCTTTTTTTAAAATGTTATAAAGAAGCCTGCACCAATGCCTAATTAACACTTATTAATTTCCAGATTTTTGCCACTTGACGGGAAAGTG